CAGCAGGTACACACACACACACGCACACACACACACACACACACACACACACACACACACACACGTGAAAGCTGCTCTCTCATTGGCTGTGGGCGATGGCTGATGTTATTTTCAGTCAAAACTCAATTCACACGGCATGATTTGAATCGCCGACAGCTCCAGATATTTAGCATGCCAAATATCTCACAGGCATCGGCGACTCATCGGCGATTCTCTCAGATCGCGTCTTTGATAGTTCATACTGTGTGATTGTCACTCACGTGCACGAGCAGCGATTTGCCTGTGATTTCAGGCATTTGTCGGCGATTTCTCAAAACCTGTCGGCGAGCCAAAATCGGGGCTAAAATCACGCAGTCTGAACTAGGCATAACGGTTTTGTAGATCCGTCACTTTTTTGTCTTGCTTATTACAAGTCTTCTTTGCTTTTTTATTAACGATGTTCACCAAACTTGTGCAGTAGTCCCCAGTCTCTTGAAGGAAACGAGCCGAATTTGGCTTTGATCTAGTTCGTCCTTTTTTTATGCATATGAAACTTGCCCATAATAATAAAAAGTTGCTCCAAAAAGATAATTTTCTTTGCATTTATTGACAAAATAACTGCAAATGGGTCGTTATCACTATAAAGTGCTTTTGATGTCCCACAAGACGGGATCAATCCTTTTTGAACACAATGCTAAATAATGAAACTCTCATGTTTCAGTATGGTTGGTTAAACCTTCACACGCATGCAGGTAGAATTGAACGTGTTTTGAAATATGTTTTTGTCAATCTGTCCATGTTCTTTCATAGAATGGATGTGATTTTGCCATGTCACGCCGCTCAGCCATCCTCAGTGAGTACAAAAACTAGGTCGATTAGATAAAGAAAGATTTTTAAATTTTCTCATTGTCTCTAACAAGTTATTTGAACCCCCCCAAAAAAATTTAATAACTATTTTGTTTTTATAACATTATTAATCATTTTGCACGTGCCCTTGAAATTGCTGTCTACCGTCACGATGTGGTAAATGCCCCTTTAAGGAACACTCTGATGTACTCATTGGCATCCCCATGCCCGTTTTTCCCTTTATTCAGAGGAGGGTAAAACGTCCGCTGTGACACACAGTAACCATCTACATTTATGTTTCCTATTTTTCCTCATGTTGTGTTCGAAATTGAATGTTGTCGAGCTTAACATGTCCACCCTTTCATAGTCAAATAGTAATAGAAAAAAATGTCAGAAATCAAAACTATAGCTTTTCTGTATATAGTTTTGATAAGGATGATGTAAAATAAGGCAAAGGGATATATTCAGTTGCTGTTATGAAGAAATGTGTTTCCTCTTTGGTCCCTGATTAAGGAATTTAAAGTGTAAAGCAGTAAAAGTGACATGTCTACTGATGCTGAGAACTGAATCTCTCTGCAATAAAAATAATAATAATTATATATATATTTTTAATAAATAAATATTATTTATATATATATATATATATATATATATATATATATATATATATATATATATATATATATATATATATATATATATATGGGGCGACCCCGGATTAATAAAGGACTAAGCCAAAAAGAAAATAAATAAATGAATGATAATATATTAAAAAAGAAAAGTAAGACTTAATAAGAGCTGAAGTCAGACTGAATCGTTCCCTGTTAAAAGAGCACAGATCTGTTTTGAAATGAACATATTTATTAACATAAAATTGGTTCACAAATAATCTGCGGGGAGAAGAAAAATCAATGTTAAAGACATGTTAAAAAAATACAAACTGTACAACATTTATAAATCTTATGAACATTCATAAATAGCAAATATCCGTGTATCCAGTCAATCAGTGTAGGTTGCAGCTCAGGCATGTACTGTATGTAGCAGAGCGCTTCATTACAGCCCCCTAAAAGAGGCAGAATTCATACCCCTGGCTTAAAAACGACAGCCTCTCTGAATGATGGAGAAAGAATCAACAATGTTTCTAATCCATGCATGACAAGAGGCAACATATTCAATATTCAGCAGATGAATAAAAAACATATCTTGCGTTTAGTCTTTCTCATGCAGTTAAAGAGAAAAAGATAATTAGCAGAAATAAAAAATTTACTTTTCCAAACCACCGCTCACAAACCCGTATCCTAAAACATCTCTTCATGTTATGACAGTTTGTACACAACAGATCAGTGCTTAATTAAACACATTTCTCCCTATATGCTATTTTACATTTCCCTCTACCAATAATCCAGCAAAAATAAAAGAAGAAGAGAGGAAATTCAGGAATACTTTTGGATTTCTTTGATATGACTGAAAGCATGGTTGCAGAAACATTTAACCACAGCAACAGTTACTGTATGTTATGAAGCAGAACCTCCAAATACATCATAATGCCTGCTTTCCTGTTGAAGAGACGAGCAGAAAGTATGAAATATGCATCATAAAAATGTACATTCAGTGCTTATGACAATCTTTAGATGCATTACAGTAAAGGCTGGTAGCTCGCAATCTTTCGCTGTGAAGATGTACAGAAATGTCAACATTAGATTACAGGTTACAGTATGTGTTCATTATTTTAATTACACAGGAATAAAAAGGCAAGAAATCAATAAGTTAAGACATCTTTTGGTTCATTACGTAAAAAAAGGGAACAAACTGTGGCTCAATGGATAGGCAGGGTTTTTTTGTTGTTGTTGCAAATACGAGGTCACATGATCTCATTCATTTAAGATCTGAAACTTGAGCAGCAACTTAAAGGGACAACACCACTAGAAGTGATGGAGATTTTTAGAAAATGTTTGTTTTGTTTTTTGTCCTTCCAATGAAAGTCAATGTGGCACCAACACATTTTTAGATCTTATTTAGATGAAAATGATTGTTCCACACAGACACAGACACAGACACACACACACACACACACACACACACACACACACACACACACACACACACACACACACACACACACACACACAAACACACAAACACACAAACACACACACACACACACACACACACACACACACACACACAAACAAATAAATAAGCTGTGATCTGTAAATGAAAGTCAAACCAGTTTGAAACTATTGGATTACATAAATGACAACTTTTAGTTTTGTGTGAACTGCCCCTTTAAAGTCTTAGGAAAGTCCGATGTTCAGGTCATAAGTTGGGAGTATTGCACTGGTAGTGGGAAAGAAAAAAAAACAAGAAATAAATGCTGGTAATTTGGAGATTAGCTGGTCGTGTTTTTGTAAATCAGCACATCAGTAAGTGAGCCCCATATGTTCCATAGCTGCAGCCAGTGTGGATAAAATAATAAAACCCCTTAAAATCATGATGTTGCCTAGATTATTGTTATAATATATAATGAGGCAATCAGCAAGAGGTAGAACAGTGTAAAAGTTCAATGTCCCTCTTTATCAGTAAACACTGAATTCTCTGCATTTGGTGGAAAAAAATAATTACAAAAAATACTATTTAAAATAATCCCGACCCCATTCAGAGTTTTAGATATATATTAAAGAACATAAAAAACAACTCTTTTAACAAAAACTGCTGTACAGTGAAAAATCCAGGAAAGTGATTTTGTCCTCATGCACGTAAATGTATGCAAAAAAAAAAAAAATCAGTGCATTATTATGGAGCCAGATCAATCTCAAAAATAAATACATTTACAAAATAAAAGTGATACAGGCACAGCACATTTCACATTTACAAAACCCAATTTGAAAATTCTAAAACACATTTCATAAATGCTACACACAATCGCATTTTGAATTACGAATTAAATTGGTGTATTTATGAATCGTGTTTTGAATTTTTTACAAAATGCATTTGCATATTTATGAATCGTGTTTTGAATTTACTAATTGGATTCATCTATTTATAAATCGTGTTTTAATATTACAAATTAAATTGAAGTATTTATAAATCGTGTTTTAATATTACAAATTAAATTGAAGTATTTATGAATCGTGTTTTAATATTACAAATTAAATTGAAGTATTTATAAATCGTGTTTTAATATTACAAATTAAATTGAAGTATTTATGAATCGTGTTTTAATATTACAAATTAAATTGAAGTATTTACGAATTGTGTTTTAATATTACAAATTAAATTGGTGTATTTATGAATCGTGTTTTGAATTTTTTACGAATTGGATTTGTGTATTTATGAATCGTGTTTTGAATTTACTAATTGGATTTATCTATTTATAAATCGTGTTTTAATATTACAAATTAAATTGAAGTATTTATAAATCGTGTTTTAATATTACAAATTAAATTGAAGTATTTATGAATCGTGTTTTAATATTACAAATTAAATTGAAGTATTTATAAATCGTGTTTAATTATTACAAATTACATTGAAGTATTTATAAATCGTGTTTTAATATTACAAATTAAATTGAAGTATTTATAAATTGTGTTTTAATATTACAAATTAAATTGGTGTATTTATGAATCGTGTTTTGAATTTTTTACGAATTGGATTTGTGTATTTATGAATCGTGTTTTGAATTTACTAAATAAATTGGTGTATTTATGAATATTGTTTTGATATTACGAATTGGATTTGTGTATTTATGAATCATGTTTTGAATTTACTAAATAAATTGGTGTATTTATGAATATTGTTTTGATATTACGAATTGGATTTGTGTATTTATGAATCATGTTTTGAATTTACTAAATAAATTGGTGTATTTATGAATATTGTTTTGATATTACGAATTGGATTTGTGTATTTATGAATCATGTTTTGAATTTACGAATTGGATTTGTACATTTATGAATTGTGTTTTGGACTAATGAATTGGATTTTGTAAGTGTATTATTTTTCAGACTGATCTGGCTCCATACATTCTCGCTGACAACCATATGTAAAACATTTATAAACCTCTGAAATGACAGAATGAGAACATTTCAAGTGGAAACATTCTGGCTTTGACTGGAAAGCTGTGCTGATATTCAACTTTGCAGTAAAAATAGTTTAAAAGAAGACTTAAAAAAGGAAAAGATGTTCATGCATTTAATCTGATATCGATCTGGAAAATAAAACTGATTGCAGGTAAGCTAGTGAATTAGTTTGACATTCTGGAAGCAAAGTTTTTCAGCTAAACAGCTGAAATATTGTTATAAATAAACTCACTTGTGCATCACTAAATAAAAAACGAATGAAATATTCCCCCTCTGAATATGAGGTAAGTCGAGGCGATGACATTCACATTATAACCTGTTAAAACAGGCTCCGACAAGCTCTTCTGACAATGTAAATAAACTGCACTAAAAATGTATACAAACACTAAGACCAAAGCTCTTTGTGTTCGAAACTGAAAAGATTTCGATAAAACCCTATTATTTCACAAAATCTAAAATACATGTAAAATCATGCTAATTTAGCCCTCTGTTTGTTGCTTGTATCTTGCAGTTTTGAGGTTTCGAGGGTAATCAAAGAATAAAATAATCCCTTAATGAATGACCCTGTCCAAACCACAGCAGCATGCAGATGAACGTCCCTCACACAGTACAGATGAGCGCAGATCAAAGACACTGAAGAAAACAGCCCTCTGTGGCCTTCAATGGAGCCATGTGAAACATCATCTACTCCATCACTCTAATCAACAGGACAAGGACAGACGTGGGTCAGAAAGGAGAGTTCATTCCCAGCTTCGTCTCAAACTGAAGCTTCTGCCTCTTCTGGTAACGCACTCGTACCCTGAAAACAGAAACAGATCGAATGAAATAGTTATTAAGAAAATCTTTAAAAAAAAATCATAAATAGATGGAGTATATATATATATGTATGTGTGTGTGTGTGTGTGTGTGTGTATATATATATATATATATATATATATATATATATATATATATATATATATATATATATATATATATATATGAGCAATATCACACGAGGAGCTGTGCGATATGGCTGTATATCAGCACTGGTGGCACGAGTCCGAGTGCCTTAGTGCCCCCACCAGTGCCGATATACAGCCATATTGCACTGCTACGAGTGTGATAATGCGTTTATACAACAGTTTAATGGCATAATTGTGTATATAAAAACAAAATCAAACATGGAGAGTCTCAAAAACCCTTTTGTATGAGGAACTACTTTCTTCCGGATTCAAATCATAAGCTGACAGTTAAACAGTTGAGCGTGCATCTTTTAAACTTTAGATCTGTAGTGTCTGCTTTTTGCTGGCTGTATGTGGGCGGAGTAATACACAAAGGGTAAAGAGGCTGTAGGAGTTCTGATATTGCAGAATATCACACAGCTATCAGCCAATCAGATTTGAGAACCAGACAGAACTGTTGTATATATATATATATATATATATATATATATATATATATATATATATATATATATTATATATATATATATTATTCACAGAGAATTATAATACATTAAAATGTCAATGTTTAATGTTTGTTTTCATAATTGTTCTAAACAAACTCTCAGAAGAATGGCAATTTTATTCTCACTGGGTTAGAAACACTGCCTTGATTACATATTACTTACATTTGTAGATGTAAATACAGCTTCTAAGTAAAACTTAAAATTTAACTGAATTTGACAACAAATTTGAAATAAATATGTAGAAAATAAGAATTCAGATGCACATTATTATTCTGTGCAAATATTCCAATATATTATTAGATAATGTTTTTCAGTTGTAATATTTTTGAACTGTAATTTGAGAAATATAGAAAAACATTTATAAATTAGTATTTGTATGTATTTTGACATACTTTTGTCTTTATGAATTGCACTATGAAACACTGATCTGTCCCTCAAATAATTTTGATGCTGAAAAGTTTGAAAAAGTGACTTTATTGGCATTTTAATGGTTTAAAGTGATGTATTGTCTGGATTGGTGCTGTAAGTTACAGTATAAACACCTGGTTATTTTATAGACTTTATTCGCTGCTTAAGAAACATTTCTTATTATAAATGTTGAAAACCGTTGTGCTTCATATTTGTAGAATTCATAATAGCCTTTTGAGGATTCAGTGGTTTATTGAATAACAAATACAATTGAATATGAAACTGAAACCTTTTGTAGCATAATAAACATCTTTATGTCACTTTAGATCAGCAGTGGTGTAAGGTAACAAATGACAAATACTCAAATTACTGTAATTGAGTAGTTTTTCTTAGGAATTGTAATTTACCAAGTACTTTTACTCTCCCTTGAGTACATTTTTAGTGCAGTATCAGTACTTTTACTCCACTACTTTACTTCAACCTGCGGTCACTACTTTATTTTTTTCTTGTCTATGGGGATTGGCTAAAGTAGAAAAATCATTCATGCAATTTCTGTCCAATCAAATCACACACAGAAAGTAAATCACATCACATTAAATAACTTAAGACATGGGCACTTTATAAATGCAGCAAACTTTTTGGAAGCATTAAAAGTGTCCAAGAAGATGTTCAAAATGTTTGTACACAATGACCCAGAAACTGTTTAGATGCATGTCAGACGTCACTGATGAGAAAATGAGGGATGTCGACTGTATGATGACGTCAACAGCCTTGAACAATCACTAAATAGAACCAATGAAGAATTTAAGGAAAGGCCAAACAAGGAATGGAAGGAAGGACCGAATAATGAAAGGGAGGACTGAACTAATAAATGTAGGAAGGACTAAATGAATGAAGGGCCAAACAAGGAATGGAAGGGAGGACTGAACTAATAAAAGAAGGAAGAAAGGACCGAATGAAAGAAAAAAAGAAGGACTGAATGAAGGAAGGAAGGAATGACTGAACAAACGAAACGAATGACCAAACGAACGAAAGATCGATTAACCGAACAAACAAACGACCGACCGAACGAAGGGAGGACCAAATAAACTAATAAATGAAGGTAAGAACAAACAAACAATGGAAAGAAGGAACGAATAAAGATAGGAAGAGCACTAAATGCTCTACAAAATGTTACATTTACACATCCCTGCACAAACTGCATGTGAACGCATCAACGTTTTACATTGTATTACCCACTACTCACTACTCTTGAGTACTTCTAAAAGCTCTGCTAAATCATATTTTGAGTAATATTTACAACAGATACTTTAACTCTACTTGCACTACATTTTTGGGCACATAATGGCACTTTTACTTGAGTATGATTTTTCAGTACTCTTTCCACCACTAAGATTCAATGCCTCAATGCAGAATTTAAAGTATAAAATCTTATTGACCTCAATTGTTTGAAAACAGTGTGCATTTTGGTGTATTATTCAAACTGCTATACAGCTTTAGATGACTTAATATATTTTAAATGAGTCACAATACTTCAATAAAAAACAGCAGAGGAAAGAAAGTCACACAGGTTTGAACTTTTGACTTCAAAATAAGGAAATGATGAGAGAATTTTTACCCTGTAATTTGTACCACCCCTTCGCCTTTGTCTCTTACCTGATTTCATGCAGTTTTACTGCTTCATTGATTAGCACCACAAGCACGATGGACAGAGAAACCAACAGCCACACCATCAGGGGAATGTGATGAAGAGTGAACACCACCTCTGTTCTCCTGTTCCTCCACAAATGATAATCAATCACAGCCTGCACCACCTGTCCCAACAACCTAACACAAGGGAGTGGAGAAAATTAGGTGGCATGTAAAGAGCATTTATATGATGGCAGATTTTTAAATTACTTTTACTTCTGTCACGACCACTCTCAGGATTTAGTATGATAATGAATATGTATATGTGTTTGGTCTTAGCGGAATAGACCTGCTACGCTGCTGCTTTGATAATTGCGACATACTCGCAGTAGCAGGTCACATGCTCTATTCACAGACATACCATCTGAGAATATAATATGCTGCTGCGACAAAAAATTTAGCTGCAAACCATAGCAGATCTAAACACAAGTGAAGCTGATGTAGAGGAGGGTCTCCAAAAATGAGCTACAGCTTAACAGCGTAGAATGACGGGGATGAGGAGCAAGCTTATTAGCTGCCGAGGCGACAGCAACCAATCTCCTGCACCATGTAGTTGATAACGCATAAACAGATTAGGTGACCTACAGTATCATGGTGACCGTGCATAGAGTTTCATGGCAGCACTGCTACATGAACTTACCGAACTTCCGGTTAGGGTGCACGCTGGCGCTTTTAGCTGCCGCTACCCACGGACAATATTTTTAAAAAACTTTTTAAAGAACTTCTGTCTGGACTACACAGTTGACAGTACATCTACTGTATAACGCATAGCACTTTATGCTAAACCTCTGCACTTTCCACTGCACCGGTCTGCTTTTGGTGCTTATCGTGACTTTGTGACAGTCTGTCACAGCAGCTGTCAATCAACTCAAACCCGGAGAAGAGACGAAACGACAATGAAAGCTCCTGACCTGCTTGTTCGGGTCATAACACTCTGGATCTTCCTCGCTGCTGTATATCGCCCTGCGGAGCTACTACTTTAGTATTCGGCAGAGGAACTTCTTCAACTCCGCTCCCACTTCTCGGAGACTCCGTCAACGCTGCGCTTTCATCCGGACATCGCGGTCCGGCCACGTCGGAGATATATTCACCGAGGATCACGACGGTCCTACAACATTGACAACTTATCCCAAATACGGTCTTTCTGGTCGTCTAACCCTCGCCAGGCATCAAGGTCAGTACGATCCATTGACCGTAATGTACTCACATACCCAGCAAACTCCGCTTCCAACGAAGCATGCAAAAACAATCTATCTTTTGGACTACTCAACATTCGCTCGTTATCTAATAAAAGTCATCTGCTGCAAGACGTACTGTCTGACCATAAGTTTGATTTCCTCTGTCTTACTGAAACTTGGCAAAGACATGATGATTTCTTTTATTTTAACCAAGCTGTTTTACCAGGATACAAATACATTTGTAAACGCCGCATTACTGGACGGGGAGGGGGCGTGGCGATACTCTATAAGGAGAAATGGAAGGTATCTCAAGTAACTGTTTCTGAATACCCCTCTTTTGAGTCAGTCATCATTAAAATTAATGGGGCAGTTCCGACTATTCTTGCTACAATATACCGTCCTCCTAAAAGCAGATCAACCTTTTTAACTGAACTTTCTGAGTTTTTAACTGAGCTGTGCTCCTTGTCTCCTAATGTTATTATGCTGGGTGATTTTAATATTCATATTGATGCTGGCAACAATATTAATACAATCGACTTTTTATCTTGTTTGGACAGCTTTGGAATGCAGCAATTTGCTAATTTCCCTACACACACTAAAGGCCATACCCTTGATCTCATCTGTTGCTCTGGAATAATCCCTAACAAATGTACTGTTTCTGATCTTCTTATATCCGACTATTTCTTAGTGTCTTTTTGTGCTCAGCTTGCAGTTTTTAAATTGCAGTCACCCCGGACAATCAAATTTAGAAACGTTAAGAACATTGATTTATTACATTTTTCAGATGTACTTAATAGTTTTGCATACAATGTGGACTCATCTTCTGCTGATGCTCTGGTGTCTATTTACAATAATGGACTATCTGAAATTTTGGACACTTTTGCACCTTTACAAACCCGGACTGTCTCTTTTTCTGTTTCTGCTCCTTGGTTTACTTCTGATCTGCATCAACTCAAAACTAAAGGTCGCAGGTTGGAACGGTTGTATAAGAAGTCTGGGTTAACTGTCCACAAAGAAATGTTTACAGAACATGCTCATCATTATAAGGAAGCATTACTTAAAGCAAAATCTGACTATTATGCTAACAGAATAGAATCTAGTCAGGGTAACTCTAGATTACTCTTCTCTGTAGTTAAAAAATCATTAAGTTTTCCTGACACATCACTTTCTTCTTCAACTGAGTTATGTAACAGCTTCCTGTCTTTTTTTGAAACAAAAATTAAGGACATTCATCATCAATTACATACAAATATTTCAGCCCCTGACTTCAGCCAAAATGTTTCTGAAATCATCACACATTTCTCTTTTGATACTTTTACCTTACCATCTACCACTGAAATAGTTGGTCATATACAGAAATCTAAAACTACCAACTGCCTGCTTGATCCACTTCCTACATGCTTAGTTAAGACCTGTCTTCCATCATTGTCCAAACTGATTACTAACATTATTCACAAATCACTGGATTCTGGATCTGTCCCATCTTTACTTAAAACTGCTGTAATCACCCCAGTACTAAAAAAACCTGGAGCTGATTCATCCAATTTGGCCAACTATAGACCAATTTCCAATTTGCCATTTATCTAAAAAATACTGGAAAAATGTGTTGCGTCTCAACTCCATATATACCTTGCTAATAACAATTTGTTTGAGCTCTTCCAGTCTGGTTTTCGTCCCAACCACAGCACTGAGACTGCTCTTGTCAGGAACACTAACGATCTACTATTGGCAGCAGACTCTGGTTTACTGTCAATTCTTATTCTCCTGGACTTGAGTGCAGCCTTTGACACGGTTTCGCACAAGGTTCTTTTGAATAGGCTTGCCTCACTAGGGATCTCTGGCACCCTTCTTTTATGGTTGAAGTCATATCTTGAAGATCGTACTCAGTTTGTTCAAATTAAAGATTTTAAGTCAAGACCGCAGATTGTCACTACTGGTGTCCCACAGGGTTCTGTACTGGGTCCACTCCTGTTTATCATATATCTACTGCCTCTTGGTCACATTTTCAGAAAATACAACATACAATTTCACTGTTATGCTGACGACACTCAACTCTACCTGTCCACCAAGCCCTCCTGTTCTTTTCCTCCTCCTGCTTTGAGCAGATGTTTAGCTGAAATAAAAATCTGGCTTTCAGCTAACTTTTTAAAATTAAACAGCGACAAAACTGAAGCCCTTCTCATCGGCACTAAAAGTGTTTTGGATAAAGCTGATAAATTCACTATAAACATTGATAACAGTACAATTTTTCCCTCCATGCAGGTAAAGAGTTTGGGTGTCATCTTGGATAGCACACTCTCATTTGAAGGTCACATTAATAATATTACACGTACTGCATATTTTCACCTGCGTAATATCACTCGTCTCCGCCCTTCTCTCACAACTAATAACACAGCAATTCTCATCCACGCATTAGTTACTTCACGTCTTGACTACTGTAATGCACTTCTTTCTGGACTTCCTTCCAAACTTCTTCATAAACTCCAACTGGTTCAGAACCATGCAGCTCGTGTCATCTCTAGGACCCCATCTCACGAGCACGTCACACCACTCCTCTATCAGCTTCATTGGCTTCCAGTAAAATATCGAATTGATTTTAAAATATTACTTCTAACTTTCAAGGCACTTCATAATCTCGCTCCTCAATATCTCACTGAACTTCTCCATATCTACACCCCTTCTCGTACCCTTAGGTCAGCTAACAACTTCACTCTGGCACCACCTCGCACTCGACTGAGCACAATGGGAGACAGATCTTTTAGCTCTATGGCTCCTAGGCTATGGAACTCACTTCCAGTAGATCTTAGGAGCAGTGATAGTCTTCACAATTTTAAATCACGTCTAAAGACCCATCTTTTTAAGCAGGCTTTTACTTAACAATTTTTTATCATGTTTTTATTATGTTCTTTTTCGCTATTGCGTTTTAACTTGTTTGGTCATTGATTGTTTTTAGTAATGTTTAAGTTGTTTAGCATGTCTGATGATGCTTACTGTAAGGCGACCTTGGGTGTCCAGAAAGGCGCCATTTATAAATAAAATGAATTATTATTATTATTAGAAATTGTACAAATGACTTCTCTACACTGAAAATTCATTCATTCATTTACTTTTCAGCAGACTGATCCGCCAACGTATCCAGCACATGCTTAACGCAGTGGATGCCCTTCCAACTGCAACCCATCACTGGGAAACACCCATACACTCTCATTCAAACACATACACTACGGCCAATTTAGCTTACCCAATTTACCTATAGTGCATGTCTTTGGACTTGTGTGGGAAACCGGAGCACCCGGAGGAAACCCACACCAACAAACTCCACACAGAAATGCCAACTGACCCAGCCGAGGCTCAAACCAGCGAATTTCTTGCTGTGAAGAGATCGTGCTACTCACTGCGCCACCATGAAGCCCTTCTACACTGAATAATTTAAACAGAAAACACTCACACCACAGGCACTGTGAGACACCACCATGTGTTGCTGAATGGGTTTCTCCTCCACAGGGGTTGTGAACGGTGTACATAGCTGAAAGAGATGACCACTGGGGAAAAAAAAAGAGCAAACAAAAGCAGAAATAACATCACTACAACTTCATCATGTTTTTTACAATAATTCAAATCCATTCAAATCCAGATAAATCAAATAGTAAAAAGAGGATCATGGTTTACCAATACAAAACCCAAATCACAAAATACCCAGTGTAATTTTTAAATACGGGGTTCATACACATTTTTACTACTAAAATTTTCCATGACTTTTTCAGGACTTTCAAGTAAATTTTCATGACCTGATATTTCATGTAATGTCTACGTATACATAGTAAATAACAAGAAAAACAATGCATGTTTAAAGTTATTACAGCATACTATAAAACATACAACAATTTATTTAGTTTAAATTAATCTTTATTAATCTTGTGTGTGTGTGTGTGTGTGTGTGTGTGTGTAAAATTTATTTAGATAATGCTTACTCAGCACTAATAATGTGAGAGCATAAGTTTGGCCATGGACAGAAAGGAAGACCACTAACCCATATTTAAGTCTACAGATATTTGTTAAACTAATATCCATGATTTTTTAAAAACTTTTCCAGGTTTTTCAGGATCGTATGAACTCTGAAAATAGCATTTAAATTTAATTAAATAAAATGTTGTTTAAATAAAAAAAAAAAAAAAACTTGTTTTTAGAGTGAATAATTGACTATGATTGAATGAAATACTATAATGCACTAGGATTTAATACTATAAACTAATAAAATAAAAAATTAACTTATTATTAGTGCTAAATTTAATTTAGCTAAAAACAGTCATATTTAATATTAATAAGTAGTATTGAAACTGGTCTCATTCACTTCCATTTATATTTAGCATTAAAAAACTCCTTGCTGTGTTGGGTGATGATGTAAATGTTATTTTTTTGTTATATTACTTTTTATTTTTATGTAGAGCCATAAACACACACGTTTGTATATTATATCATAACATATTTATTTTTATTTAATGCCATGCCAGCAACAACAACTTTTTTTATGGCATTAAAGGGCACCTATTTTACCCCTTTTTCAAGATTTAAGATACGACTTTTGTGTTTCAGCTCAAATGACTCATCAGATTATTTATTATACCTTTCAGAATATTGGAATTTTCTGCTCTGAACACAGTGTAGCTGTTTTTGTGGTCTATAGCCTGATTTATACTTCTGCGTCAGGTGACCGACGTAACCCACGGTGCAGGCAACGCGCGTGGCTGTGCATTTATACTTCTGCGCGCTGTCTCTGCCAGTCTGCATTAACACTTCCGAAACGCTAGTTGGCAGTGAGGTGTAAATGTTCCTCTGTGTCAAGTTTCTTCGCTACTTTTTTGCATTTCCTGAACACTTCCGGGATGTACAAGTGGCTCAAACTCGCTCATTTTGAGGCAGGAACCGGCGGACGTGCAATAACTTTAACTATGAGGTAAACACAAAACAAAACTTTCCATCTGGAGCTCCTTCACTGGACTCCACACTTGTAAACAATCGCTCGCGCGGCGTCGCGCCATTCGCGCGCCTCTCGGTCCCGCCCAGACTCGTCAGCGCTACCAAGCCGACCAATCACAGAGCTTACGCTACGCGTCGTTGCGACGTGTAGTTACATTTTTTGAGAGGTGCACGTCAGTGACGGCGATGGCCACGGCGAAGGGCTATGCGTCAGCGCCGTAGCATACGCCGGTGTTTGACGCAGAAGTATAAATCAGGCTTATGTCTTTAATGCTAGTTCTCCCTGCCCACCGTTCCTACGTGCCTGTCAGAGTGTGCCTCAATCTCCAGCTGTGTCAGATAAACAGAAAAGTGACAGACATGAAGGAAGCAGATCTCACGTAACGTTTGTGAGAAATACTACAGTAAGAACTTTTCCAATAATTATTTCATAAATTTGTTGTCGAGTTAATTCAAGCCTTTCTGCAATGATGAGTCACAAACAATGACGTTACAAAGTTTATGCACGCACACACAGCAGACACACACACATACACAGACAAAGTGGAAAATGTGATATGTGTATGGATATCCATTATGTTAATGTACAAAATAAACCTGATTTAACATCCATAAACCGAGATTAAAGCGTATTCATTAATAATAGAACTGACACACGGCTGTGGTGATAAAGACTGTAAAATCGCTGTAATTCATTACAAATTTGCAACAGACTTAAAATGTTTTAAACTGGTCTTGATCACAATTGATGATGATTGATGATCACAGCGAGTTGAACATCTTTTAATCCTGGTTGCTATGCGCACGTCCTGTCTTGTAAATAGGATTATACATGTTACTGCGGAGGCATGTTCATACGAGTTGTCAACCAATTTATTGGGCAGGGAAACCTCTCTCTTACATCAAGTTGCAGTCAGCCACAAAATGAGTGGAATTATTTTTCTTTTGCAAATTGTTTTTCTTTTAAAAAGCATGTCATTATACTCATTGTATTCTTACATTCTACATAATACAATATATATTTCCAATAAACATTCTTATAAAAAAAACAAAAACAAATGAATGCATAAATTAGATAAGATGTTTTGTTTGTGGAGCAAGTAGTTTAAGCAGTGTTTGCTGCTGTTTGATTTTCCTAGATTTCCCTCTATAAGCAAATGTACTAAAAGTCCTAAAACAGAACAGATTTAAAGGTTCAGGACACCCCGGAGAACTTTTTTTTTTAATATTAACAGATGTGTGTGTGTTGAGCATCAGTTAAGACAATGTTAGCACCTGTCAGCTTTAATTGTGGGGGAAACGGGATAATTTTGAGCTTTTGTCAGCTAATTTCAGCTTCCGGGTTTAAAATGATTTTTGGGGCGGGATCAAAATCGGCGACGTAGCTCAGAACTGCAAGTGCAATGATGACGCGTCGGTTTCTCATTATTATTCATAGCGGAGTTTTCTTATCCTATGAGAAGAGCCGGCTGCTTAATTATTCATGAGACCTGCCAGACCTGCCAGTGTCAAGCCCGAGCTGAGAGACACGGAAACCACGGCACAGTATTTAGCCGTTCATGTAGGCTCATATGCGTTTGTTTCCATGATCCACGGGGTTTGTTGCATGTTTTCCCCCGCGATCTTGTCAGGGCCGATCATACAGCAAAGCTGTGTGTGTGCTGCTAGCATTTTTGTCGGGAGAGCAGCACGAGAATTAGAGAATGGCGGACGCCGTCTTTTATCAGGAGTTCATTCACATTCAGACACATCGCCATGCTGCTGTGTTCGCCTAAATCCTCCAGATTACCAGCAGGGCTAACGGTTAAAATAGACCGGTCAGGAGACCTGCTGCACTGAGTCTGCTGGATACGGGGATTGAGGGAGAAGTCCTCATTTATAGTGTTTACATGAACACACGTCTTTATAATGATATAAATTGTGGTTTTCTGTTTATGAAATTACGAATAACAAATGTAGCAGGGCATAAATTCACTGTTCATTTGTTTGCATTTTAACTTTGTAAACTATAAACTCATGCGTCTCCTCACGGTTTGTGTCTTATTTTGTGAGCTAACTGACTACAACAGTTGTTCGCTCACCTTCTCCCCTGCTGGCTACGCCCACTCCTGCCCAATGCTCGCGGAGCTCTGCCCATTAATCATGCATCTTTTGAAAAAATTCTGAAGTAGACTTAAACCGAAAGTGGGGGTGTCATGGTCCTTTAAGCTAACTAATGCTTTGCAGAATAAAGAGCACAGCAATGGAAGTGTATTCTATTTTTTAATAAAGTCACCTGTATGCAAGGCCAGAAAACCTGCCATGATCTTCTGAATCAAAAGCAGCCCATTGGACAATTCACCAAACCACTCTGGGGCACCCTGGGAGCTGTGCGGAACACATTAATCATTGATCACCACTTATAATAAATTCATAAACTTGAAACTGACATTCAAGAGTATTTGTGCAAGTGCTTGTATACCTAGATGTGAGTATGTGCGAGCAGTTGATAGTGCTGTTGTCGGTTTTCGTGAAGTTTGCTGCTCTAGAACAAACTTCCTGTAGCGAAAAGCCGAAGCCGACTAAGTAGGCCAACACCGTCAGACCAAACTTCAACAGGAACCAGCCCAGGAAGTAGTGCTGGGTCTGTGGGAGGCAGTCAAAAATAACACAACATCACATGTTAAGCTTGTTTCAATAATTTAAATCGGGAGCATTGTTGGTCTCAGGACTGACCTTGCGTGGTATAGAGTCCAAATTCTTTCCAGTGGCAACTGTCATGACCGAACTGTCAGGAGGTTTTCCCAGCAAGGACACGCTGTGAATGCCAAAATAGTTCTTAATATATGCTCAGATATGACATAGTGACCTAGTTCTACTAAAACACACAACATTTCTTGTCTGTTACCTGAGCAGAGGGTAACAGAAGCAGGAAAGCCACAGTATGTCTGTGATGTTCATGGGAGGAGGCAGCTGAATAAGGCAAGCCAGAAACTGCGAAACCAAGATGTCGAGAGTTGAACTTTGAGTAATAATTCAGTGTGATTTACTTATTTATTCAGGTTTGAATGCCATATCAGCAGCATGTTTCTGTGGTGTGAAAAAGTGTTTGACCCTTTACTGATTTCTAGTATTTGTACATGTTTGTTACACTTTAATGTTTCAGATCATCAAACTAATTTAAGCAGTAGTCAAAAATGACACACAGTTTTTGAAATAAAGCTTTTTATTATCAAGGGGAAAGCAAAATCCAAAACTACATGGCCCTGTATGAAAGATTGTATCAAAACTGCATGATGTGTTTTTTCTTGTGTTGTCTTTCACTAATAATTCAATTTGTTTGATGATCTGAAACATTAAAGTGTGGCAAACATGGAAAAAAAAATAAGAAATCAGTAAGGAGTAAGAATGCATATTCATGGCAACAGTGGTAATAAACATTCAATATATCATTAATAATCAAAACTGTTTCATAATAATCTTGCATTGTGCAAAAAACAAATTACAAATAACAATGCTGATAAAAAGTCATATAAAATCTTTCAATTTGGATAATAATAATTATACAAAAATCCCTCCAGAAGACAGTTGTAAACATTTCCCTTCAAATATTTCCTGAATAAAAACATTAACTCATATCGATTAAACATAGACATTCTTTAAAAATATGTTTTATAGTCAAAATATTCTTACAAGAGTTACAAATAGGTTTCTCTTCCATTTTGAATAAATATTGCAAGCGTGTAAGTCTCGAGAAGCCAATTCTGCATCATGTATGTACAAGCTGGTCATGCCTATTTTTCAACTGGTAATAATTTCTTTGATTTACTAATGGATTGATTTGAATTGTTTTGGATTCACCTGAATGATGACCAGTGTCAGCTGACACTGCAGGAGGAAGAGGAAGCACTTGCGAATGCCATAGGTGGTGTGTCTCGCCTGAAGAAAAATCAGAAAAATCACAGTAACATAAAAACAGTAGTTGTACCGAGTATTATTTATCTTATCTATAAAATTACCAAATAAATTTTATTTTTGTAAATGCTTACTTACACCCCAACCCTAAACCCAACCGTCACAGTACTGTAAAAATATTAATGATTGTTATACAGTATCATAAGAAAATGCTGCTATATTAATGTGCATATCGCACTCCTGCCGGCCGCATATCCAATCAAGACTTTACTCGAGATTCAGCCCAACAAAACATATATGTTTGAAACACTATCGTTGTTGTGCAGTCGCTTTTAGCTACTTGTGGTTTTTACCCCCACCTACTGGACATTTAAAGTACTGTACTATGAGTTTGGGTTACTTTCGGTTTCTCTCAGCGTGCGCCCCTATATATGTAAGTGCTTTATTTTAACCAAAGCTCTATTTTTGAAAATATTCAAGGGTAATTTGATTATAATTAGTTTTTTACCACTTGTATTGTACAAACACATCTCCATGGCTTATATGTTATGCTGGGGGTGTAAATATGATAATTTTGCTAATATTCGATTCAAATGGTCTCATTTAATAGTTTTCCTGGAATGCATATTAAGACTTGTCTGAAAAATGTGCATTAGTAAAATTTGACTGCTGACTGAATTGAACATGTTAAAGTAAAATTGAATCTATATACACTCTTTCCCCCTCTTTGTCGTAGTTTTACAAAAAAAGAATAAGATTGAGAAGAACAATTGCCAGTAAAGTCAATAAAGTTACAGAATCTGTTAATCTTTGCTTACTTCATACAGCATAAACATTGTGTGCATGATTGGACATTTTGTGCTGTCACAGTACTTTTGCGCATGCGGATCAGTTTACGACCATGATCTGTTCACATTGCAAATCTAAATTGGCCACATTTATGACAGCAGTGTGAACAGCAATGCAAAAAAATCATGAGGAGAACATGCAAACTCCACACAGAAATGGCAACTGACCCAGCTGAGGCTCGAACCAGCGACCTTCTTGCTGTAAGGCGATTGGGCTACCCAGTGCGCCACCTTGACACCCAACTTCAATAACAAACAGGTATATAAAATGCAGCGCTTCCCATCTCCATCTGCCGCAATAACTTCTGGGACTTCTAGAACGAGTACTGTGCTCAAGTATTAAGAATGCATTCTGGATCTTTCATGTATCCTCCATTCTTGTGTTCTTGAGTATTAAAACTGAACTTTGACGGTTGATGATAACTTTACAGGAGAACACAAACACATGAGATTCCTTAGGAACGCACATTGAGAAACAGCCATAATCTCCACTTACCTGCTCTATGAGTTTGACCATGCTGACACTCTCGCCCTGATGGAAAGACACCGAGCAGGCGAGACTGTTGAGACTAGCGCTGAGGCCCAGTGGAGAAAGCTCATCGCATTCTTCATTCAGCCCACAGACCGCAGCATACCCAAATGTCTCCCATGAGCAGCGGGACGGGTACAAAGGATCAAGAGAGATACTATAACACAGAGAGAAAGGTTTACCGAAACACTGTGATCACTTACTATTCAACTTAGCAGTTGTTTTGTTATTACCAAAAACTCATAGCAGTCTTTTTAGCTTCTTGAAACTAGTCAGTCTTTATATTGCAGCTTTGTGATTGATAACATGTTATATTTATTGTCTGTATTACCCACCTAATGTCGCTCTGCAGGAAAAGGCAGCTGTTGCGGAAGTTTGCGGAGCTCCCCAAACAGCACGTCACCTCTCTGTTCTCCTGCATGATCTTCATCATTTCACACATTGCTGTGAAACGCAAACACAAGAGGCTCACCGCAAGCTTTTAAAGAACTAGTTCACCAAAAATGAATTCTTTTATTAATTATTCACCCTCATGTTGTATTAATCTCTTGAATTTGTTTTTAGATATTTTAGGTGGGATCTGAGATCTTCCTCATCATTTATAGACAGCAACAATACATTAAAAAACAGAAAAGGAAGCAAAAACATTGTCAAAAAATTCCAATTTTTTTGGTTTCTTGCCTTAACTCTTCGAAAGTTAAGAACAAATTTTAGTGAAGAAGAATGACTTTTGGTCTGCTCTGGCACATTTTTCAAAGGTGCCACAATATCGAATCACGAGCAAAAATTTTGAACAGAACTTATTTAACACCAGTTCGTCTCAATAAGATATTTTCTAATGTTTCTCAATGTTGTTTTAAGTGCAAATCCAATGTTGGTACTATGAGGTTGAAAATGTAAAATGATTAAGACATACTGGAAATAAATGCACAAATTAGTTCATAAGATTACTGGCAAGTCTTTTGCCCTATCTCCAGTTATTTATCTTCTGAATTTTAAAACTGGTCTACAGCTTAGTCATGGATAGGGCCAGACGGAATCTGCGGATGTTTTTTGCTATTTCTGCAGAGAATTTAGGTAAAAATCTGTGGATTTCTGCTAAATTATTTTGGGAGTATCATAACTAAAACATTATTATGTGAAATAAAATATAATATCTTTTTAACTTTTATTTAATGTTTAAAATGCAAATCCAATTAGATTCAATTTATTTGGTAAGCAAAGTAAGTCTCTCATATACTATATCTACTAAAATATTACTGTACAAACTGCATTGTACATAAATCAGATGAACATTTTTCATATTAGTCAATAATATTACTGTAATTAATTAAAAAAACTGATTAAACTTAAATTTACTCAAGTAAATTAGCAGAATTAATGATGGGCTAAAATTTGCGAAAACCTGCTGAATTCTGTGCGCGCAGATTCCTTGTGGGCCTAGTCATGGACTAGAATTTGTGTTACACCTCTGTAATTATGAGCAAGAAAATGTATTTTTTTGTTGTGGTCTTCTCCTAACATTCCTTTAGTCAGTATGTGGTAAAAACGTAAGACTTGCATCAGAAATCTTAGTATTTCTGGAATATCTGGAATCCTCTATGGGAGTTTCTGGAGAATATATATTGAAAGACTAGTTATTTCTCATTTGACCCTTCATAAAAGACTTGAATTACTAGCCAATGGACGATTGTATAATAGATGGCTGTATTATTGTATTTGATGAAATGATGAGACACGTATACTACTGTTTTGTCATTGCAAATCTTAATAAAGGTATTAAAAAGTGTTCTTGGAGCTTTGTATAATCACATTTAAACCACTGATGCTCCATGGAAAGTTTTTACAATGTTATGGACTTTTTTCATCCTAGGACCAAAATGAAGGATGAAGGGAGCTCTCAGACTTCAATATCTTATTTTGTTTAAAAGATGAACACAGGTCTGAGGAGATTGGAAGAATGGGAGGGTGAGAAGTAATAATATAATTTCATAATAATTTTTTGGTGACTAATCTTTTAACATGCATGGACAAAGGGCGCACTCACACTATGCAACCCAAACCGTGCCCAGGCCCGTTAGCTGGATCGTTTGAGAAGTGTGAGTGCTTTAAATCAGGCTCAGGCATTGTTCAGTTGGCTGGCCATAGCCCGGTTGGAAGAGGTGTGCCAGAGTGCGATTCACTTAGGCCCGAAACTAAAGACGAGACGTGAATTTTAAGAGACTGTTTCATATGGATTTATTAATCAATCTTACTGTTCAAACAACGCAAACTGTCGTGGATAATTAAAAACGCAAACCACTCACTGCATGGCCTGCACCTTTAGCAAACCTTATAATTCCTGCAGCATGAGGACTTTGATTGTTTATGAGCATCTAATGTGGCTGATCTGTTTGGTGAAATATTTGACTGTGTGTCACTGCATCCCAAACCATTAAAACAATATAACTAAAGGAATCTCCATTTTGTTGAGTGAGAGCGATTCTTAAACTGAACAGCGCATCATCGATGACGTAAGCGTGCTCAGGCTCAAATGCAATGTGAGTGCAGGCTGATGGGGGAGATGGGAAGGGGGAAAAGCGTGCTTCGGCCCGGTTCAAGGCAACTGTACATAGTGTGAGTGCGCCCCTAAAAGCCACAAAATTCTCATTTCTTTTTTAAAGCTGGTTTTGAGGCATACTCACTTTCAGGGGTGCAGTCTGTGAACAGCGGCACCAGTAGAGGCACATTGTCTATGTTCTTCAAATGAGGACGAACCTGATGGATGCCACGAGGCAGTTTTGCCTACAAAACAACACAGAGACATAAGCCCAAATCAGTCATCTGACAACTGCTGAACAAATATCATCGTATGCATTTTTAAACACCACAGTTAACAATGCTTCATAAATGCCAGACAAATGTCTTCCCCATTAGTATCAAAATATACAGTTTAATTGCATTCCTTCCACCCCTGAGTCACAGTCTGTGCAAAGCCACCACAGTCTGTGCAAAACACCATTTCAGAAGTGCTTGTGTGGTGTATGTGGCTTACTCTATTGCAGTCTTCTAAGAAACTGGGCACATCGCTGTCAGTAGGTTGAAAACTGGCAAGATCTGATTGGTCCTCTGGCAGTAGTGGGCCTTCTGCATCATCACGAGAATCTAAAACACAGAAAGGATAATTCGGTCAAATATATTATGGGACAAAAAGCTGTTTAAAATAGTTTTAAAATGAATGTTTACGATTTGTTGTGAGTGTCGCTGTGGACTAAATCTGCTACACATGTTATTGCAGTATGAATAAGCATATATAAATCCTGTAGCACAGTGGTTCTCAAACTGTGCTAAACGTACCACTAGTGGTATGCAGGCTTCCTTCAGGTGGTACGCTGAAGAATCGCTTAATAATGAAAGAATAAAATGAACACACTTTTAACCCTTTGATCTATACGATAACACTGATGTGATCAGACAGCATTGGCAGTTCCCTGAAGCGTACGTTCACACAAGCGTGCTTAGAATGTTTACTATAGTACATCGCATCATCAGATTTTAAAAATCAATCTGCTTGGCGCAGAGCCAGAGCACTTGTGTAGCAGATACACACATGCTAGAGAAGCGTTTTTGCAGACCAGTCCTGTTGTGTTGGCATTTTAGTTAGTGCAAACTCAGGAATTTCCTCATAATGCATCATTGGTAAAATAATTATTACAAATGTGTCTAAATGTGTGCTGATAGTTTTGTAAAATAATGCGTGTTTTCGATATATAAACTTATTTGTTTTGTAAAGCAGAGGCTTTCGGTTTAGTTTGTTACTTCAGATTTAAGCTAATTAATTTGGATGCGACTTAAATGGCGCGAGACACAGAACATAGACTCAAGCAACTTTGCCATGTTTGAAGCTTAGAGGTAGAATATAACTTAAGTTAGTCACTGTATGCGCAGGCAGAGGGACCGCGAACTGTACCCGAGTCTGCTTGAAAACAATGGTTGGTGCATGGTTAATGCAAACATCCTCATTCACAGTAAATCAGGGAAACACCGCACGTATGAGTAGGTCAAGCACTGTATGTATGCATTTACTCACTCGCTTTTCTGACAAACATAGGCCTACTGTAAGTGACGAGCAGTATGCAGCTCTAAGTTCTAATTAAAATATGTAATTCCAAATCATAATAAAATTCATGTTTTTTTATTTTTTTCATTTTTTATTTTGAGTTTTCAGATGAAAATACATATATATATCTTACATATTCTCTCCTACAGAAAGAGACTTACAGATCTTGTATATGCTTTGTATTTTCTTCTCTTTAACAACAAGTATAACTATGAACAGTAAAACATTGGGAGCTACAAGTCCTTTAAAAGTTTTCTTTAAAGAAGAAAAGATACTTATTTATACAATGTTACATTTAGGTTACAATTTAAGAAAACTTCGGGCATATTGGTGAAATATACTCAGTCCATTTACTCCAAATTAGAAAAAAGTATTCTGTTTGTGTTCTTAATGAAAACGATAGTTTTTCCATGACATATATAGTGTGCACTGTATCAATCCATTCTTCAACTGTAGGTGACTCTAATTTTAACCATTTTTTTGTGATTACTTTTTTACTAGCTGCCAAAAGAATAAATAGCAGTTTCTTGTCTTTATTAATCCATCCATCCAAATTTATATTACCTAAATATAAAGATTCGCAGGTAAAGGCAATCTCTACTTCAAAAATGGAATCTAGATGTATTTTAATCTCTTTCCAATATGGGGCTAATTTCTGACAATTCCAAAAAAACATGACAATGATTAGCTATTTTTTCCCCACACATTCTCCAGCAGCTAGTACCCTTTCCTCTATGTATTTTCTGTGATGGTGTGATAAAAAACCTTAAGACATTCTTCCAACAGAATTCTCTCCACATGGCAGAGCTGGTACATTTCCATTGGGTTATAAAATACATGTTAATGTTCAAATTATTTATAATGTTTAAAGTGGCTGACAATAATCCATATTCTTTTTAACAGAAATTAATCTGCCTTGTTTTTTAACTGTGCAGTGCTGTAGCTGCTTAATTGGGCCCGCTACGCTACTGTGTTTCAATACTGATCATTATGGTGGTATTTGGAAAGACAATTTTTGAGGTGGTACTTGGTGAAAAAAGTTTGAGAACCACTGCTGTAGCAAATCAAAACAGGTGATCACATTGACTGCAATTGGTGCAGAATTGGTGCAGGCCATTATTTTAAAATAATAAAAAACTGATATGAATTCTTGCAGATTCATTTCTGCATTAAAAAAAAGCATAACTGTCTGCGCCATTTATATTTTCTAGAGTGAACTAGATATTTAATTTAAAGTTTGTGTGCAGACAGGCAAAAAACAACACCTTGCAGAAGCTCATCATGTAGGGAACCTGCTTGGCTAGGGCTGGACGGAGCACCATCACAGTGACCATCTCCGTTTGGGGTCAGAGAGATGTGACAGTTCCAGCCTGTCTCCAAACCCATCTTCTCTGCAAACACCTACAGGCAAGGACAACATTAGGAGCTAGCCAAAAATGACATCCCAGATACATTTTCGCTGCTGAGTGCGTTTTCCTATCAATGTCATACTTTGCTGCGCAGTTCGTCTTCCATTGAGAAGTACACAAAGCGTATGCAGGCTCCCACCAGGTTCTCGATGAGCCGTACAGTATCCAGTCGAGCCTGAAACTGGGACGACACCATTCCCATGAAGATCTGACCACTCAGAGCCTGCACACAGTCCTCCTTCTCCAAACCTTCTCCTATACCCTCTGAAACATATACAGTACACATGGATATCAGAGTTGAATGATTGGTTTAAACAATTCAGTTTTAACTATACATTTCTGTCTAGAAATTTAATAAATGTTTAGCCACATGATCATCCGTCTATTCAACTACACTTTTCAACATATCTTTTAAGGTTACTATTAGTGCATCTGTATACCTATGCATCCATCTATCCGTCTATCCATCCATTCATTTATCCATCAATCCAAGTTTCCATCCAGGTATCTATCAGCCCATATACTCATCTCATCCATCAATCCACATATTGAGCATTCAAATCAATGAATCCATCCATCCACCCAAGAATAATTTCGTCATCCATCCACGTCACATATTCATCATGCATTTATCCAATTTTCATCCATCCATCCATCAATCCATCCATCCAAGCACATATCCTTCCATCATCTGTCTATCGTTTATTGATCTACTCATCCACTTATTCATTTATGCATCTATCAAGTCATCTATGTATCCATTCACTAATGTGTTCATTTCCATCATCAACCAATTAACTCACATATCCTTTAATCACAAACCCACCAACCCATCAATCAATTCATCCATCAAAGCACATGAACTTCCATCATCCATCTATACTCTATTCATTTACCCATCCATTTATTCATCCATCCATCAATCCATCTATGTATCCATTCATCGATGTGTTCATCCATCATCCACCAATTAACTCACATATCTTTTAATCATAATTCAATCCATCAATCTATCCACCCAAGTATCATTCAGTCACCCATCTTCTTATCCATCCTCATATTTATCATTCATCTATCCAAGTATTCATCAATTCACTCAAGCTCATATCCTTCCATCAGCCATCTATCATTAATTAATTTACCCATCCATTAATTCATCCATTCACCGATTGATCCATCTATGTATCCATTCATCCCTATATGCATTCATAATCTACCAATTAACCCACATATCATTCAAATCATCCATCCATCTACATATCCATTAATCCAGCTATCCATCCATAATTCATCAAACCATCCACCTATCCTTCCATCAACCATCTATCATTAATCCATCCACTTATCGATCCATCCATGTATCAATCCATCATGCAACAAATAATCCACAAATCCTTCAATCACCCACCTACCTATCAAACAATCAATCCATCTACATATTTATTAATACAGCTATCCATCCACAATCCATCAAACCACCCATCCTTCCATCATCCATTTACCATTAATCCATCCACCTATCAATCCTATTTATTCATTCATCCATGTTCTCATCCATTTTCCACCAATGAACCCACATATCTGTCAAATCACCCACCCATGCAACAATTCATATATCGAGCCATCCATCCGTTCATCCATCCATCCATCTGTAATACATCCATAATTCATCCAACCATCCACCTATCCTTCCATCAACCATCTATCATTAATTCATCTATTTATCCATGTATTTATCCGTCATACACCAAATAACCCACAAATCCTTCAATCACCCACCTACCCATCAAACAATCAATCCATCTACATAATCATTAATCCAGCTATTCATCCACAATCCATCCAACCACCCGTGCTTCCATCATCAATCCACCATTAATCCTTCTATGTATCCATTCATCCATGTTCTCATCCATTTTCCACTAATTAACCTACAAATCTTTCAAATCACCCACCCATGCAACAATTCATCTATCGAGCCAATCATCCATCCATATATCCATTATCCATTCATATTTGATCCAACCCACAACCTATTCTTCCATTTATAACATCTATCTCTCTATTTATCTGTCTATTAATCTGATTATCAATGTATCAATCTAGTCACATATCCATTCATCAATCCATCCACCCATCATTCTATCCATGTCTTCATTTATCATCAATCTGCTTTACTATCAACCTAACCATCGTCCATGCATCCATCCATCCATCCATCCATCCATCCATCCATCCAATCAGATATCCATCCACTGATCCATCCATCCGTCCGTCCGTCCGTCCGTCCGTCTATCTATCTATCTATCTATCTATCTATCTATCTATCTATCTATCTATCTATCTATCTATCTATCTATCTATCTATCTATCTATCTATCTATCTATCTATCTATCTATCTATCTATCTATCTATCTATCTACGATGAATAAATTGACAGACAAGCATATCAACACATACAACGTCTCTCACCATCAGAGCTCCAGCTGTTTCTGCGGCTGCCATGTTTGATCGGGGTGGTGCTGGGAAGCTCCACCCCAGAAAAGAGTGCGGGGCCTGGAGCCAACTCCACACACTTTCCATTGAGCTGTCCAGACAGTGTGACCTGCATAGGCTTATAGGCGAACGCAGAACAATATCCCGACAGACAGGCACGTTGGTAGAAATCTAGTACCTTTTTCCTATGGGGAATAACGCCAGTGCTTTAGTAACACAAACAACATTGTCCACTCTGCATATTCAGAGAACTGCATTTTAAATCAGGAGTTTCTAACCTATCCGAGCCAGACAGTGGATAGATATCCGCCCCATCCCAGAAATCAGTGCAGGCTTCCAAGATGAGGTCAGCCGAGCCGTGGGAGAGCATCTGTACATTATCTGAAAAGATTTCAAAGGGCAAAGGACAAAGATTAGACAAACCACCAGGGACAAACAGGAAGTGGGAGAGAAAAACATGTTTTTTTCCATACTGGTAGTGTTGTCCCTGACAAACAGACTAATGAGGTGACTGATGGGGGGCTGGCGTTTGGTAAAGTGATGGAGGCGCCGGGGGGCAGATTCTTTGGCCTTTTCTCCAGAAGGAAGCTGGTACAGAGCCAGATGATTCTCATGTTTAAATAGTTCCCTCGCACCCGGAGTGAAACCTGACATACAACAGAGGAAAAGAACAATCTGAATGCTGAAGAAGAGCATAATTATAATATGAAAAGATACTACACTTAACTTTTAATAAACTGGTCAAGAGATTTAAAAATCTATATACTGAATGCTAAACTATAAATCCTGAACATGTATGTTTGGTAGTACCTATAAGGCGAGACAATTCACAGAGCCCCCAAGGCACGTGAACAGGAAGAACCGCGCCGTGGCATTCCTGCAGCGCCAGGTTGGACAGGTGATCCGAGAATCTGCAGAGCTGCTGGGTGACGGTGGCATTGCACAGATTCAACAGGATGTTCAAACCAAGGGGCTTCAAGGAGGACAGGTGATTCTGCCAACCAGAGTCATCAAACTGGATGCTGACGGGGTTCTGCTGATCCTGAGACAGGCTCAACATCTCCAAATGATAGTCGCACACGAAATCATCTGCCTCACACAAATCATCACCAAGACCACATTGCTGAAAGCAGAGACATACACAAAATATGTGAGTCCAAATGTATCGGCAAAACTGGAGATGTACAATATTTTCAGAACGTTCGATAAATTGGTTGATAATGGTTTTAATTATAACAATGGTATCTGTCTGACATTTGAAAAAATGGCGATAAAATAATGTGTTGATTAAGAGCCTCCGTTAACCTCATTGTTTACTTGGAATGCTAGACGTAAGATCAGGTCACCAATCTGCTTATTCTTGAGGCGAATCATTGCCTCATTGATGAATACATTTATAAACAGTCTGATGCTATCCTACATTAATAAAAATGTAAGTAAAATACAAAAATATTAAGTTAGCTCTGTTTAGAAATTTAAGCATACTTCGTGTCATAAAATCAAATCTGATTAGATTTATTGGCTTCATGGGCTATTGGGGAAAAATCCCAAACCTGACACTTTCCAAAAAAAAAAAAAAAAAATACAGAAACAAACAAATATGTCAGCATTTGCATCAGTCAGGAGTTAAAAATGTTGGTTTATGAGATAAACCGATTCAATATTAATTAATATTTAAAATTCAATAATATGTAAAGACCGTGGACAAACCAAGCCGACGCCAAACAACTAGCTTCAACATGAACCAACTGTGTCGTTAATTTAGCTTGCGTTTGGTCTTGTCTGGACCAAAAAGCTGTGTGTGAACACACCAACCAGACAGTAGCCGAGTGATTCGAAAGTGTACATTCTGCAGCTGCGTTCGAGGATTTCATTTTCCGCACTGGCAGGTGGCGAACTTCTGACACACACATCCAGAGTAAACAAAGCAGCATTTAGTACCATTATTACGGTACTTATCAGTCATCATGCAGGGATTGGATCATGCAAAGATGCCTGGTAATCTAATAATCCAGATTGTTTGCAAACATTTGGAAATGTAGTAAACAATGTAGATTTGTGTTCCTTTGTGACTCAAATCATTCTCTAGCTACGTCACTTCAGTCTTTGTTCTGGTGCTCAGATTCATTGCTGGATAACCAAAGGGAAATTTCTCTTCAGCCAACGCCTGACACCTTATCTACATGCTGAATTTCCTGAATTAGCCCCATGAAAGATGACATGTGGAACACACCAAACCAACTAAACGGACCAACCCAGACCGACGAAGCCCAATGGCCGACCATTGGCTTAGTGTGTCCTGGCCTTTAAGGTGTAGTCCTACCTGAACAAAGTCATTTTCTCCACCCTCAGTGTCGTGGCTGAAACTGACATTGGAGCCCGATGGGTGTTTGGAACGGGTGGTTTGGGGTCCTCGTCGCTGGCGTTGGGTGTCCGAGGAGCGGGCAGTGTCGTGTGACGTCTCACTGGGTTCCTGCTCGGCCATGTGGAGGGGGGGTTCAAACGCTGGTAAACACAGCAGTGCTTCGCCTTCCTGAGGCTAAACACAAAAACCACACTCATACAGACTGAAGGGAGACAAAATACAGTGGCTCAAGTCTAGAATTGAATATTTTTACAAGTTCTTTAATAACCATTTTGCTATTCTGATGCTTTTGTCTAGTCATGAGTAGTACCTCATCTCGATCCTCCTCGCCCTCTGTCCTGCAGAGGGAATTGACTGACAGGTCGTCTCTGAGGTCATCCTGGCTGTCATGAGGAGGTTCGACTCGTCCACTGAAGAACAGTACGGTCTCTGGACTGGGATTGGGCCAGGATAGGATACCCTGCTTATCCACACAGCACAGCACCTATAAGCAGGTCAGGACAAAATAAAAGCAGACACCTTACTCACTTCATAAAGCTTGTGATGCAATGAATTTAAAGGATTTACTTTTTAAACAAATGTCTCTTCAATTGGCGTTCAAAATATTTTTTTGTCAATTATTTTTGTGGACTGAAGTTTCTTTGGCTATTGGCATGTTGTTATACAGGTGCTACACCACCAAATCCAAAAAAACTATGTACTTTAATCCATGATGCCTTATTTTTATTTCATTTAAAATTTAAAAGATGCCACTACCATGACTAAGGTCCACTGCTTCCGTCAAATCACGTTAAAAAGAAATTAACAAAGTAAACAAAAGTACTTTTAAACCTATATGACTTTCTTTTTTGCTGTTACTGCTCTTGTTGAACACAAAGTGTAAGCTATTTTGAAGAATGTAAGAAACCTAATGCCATTGACATAAATTTATAGCAGTAAAAAAATATTACTGAAGTGAGGGGCTATCAATATTCAACATTCTTCAAAATCTCTTTTTTTGTGTTTAACAGAAGGCAGGTTTGGAAAATGTGGTGACGAGTAAATGATTACAGAAGTTTATTTTTTAGGGTGCACAATTTCAGTAAAACTAAATCAGATTAGAGCGATACCAAAAATGTAAATTCTGTCATCGTTTACTCTCCCTCCACTTGCTCCAAAGCTGTTCCTTCATTCTGTTGTAACTGGTTAGTCGTTGACTACCACAGTATTTTTTGTTACTACTACAGATGTCAATGGCAGCTGGTTTCTAACATGCTTTAGAACTTTAGGTGCGTCCCAAAATCACATACTTGCACACAATTCTTCGCCATTTTGTAGTATAAATAGTTTAAGTAGTGCATTCACACTGAAAACTCTAAAAATAATAAGTGCACTTTAATTACGTTGATGATGCACTTACTCAACCGGTAAATTTAAGTGTGGAATAATGGACACTTAACACACTCAACATTCGCAGCTTTGCTCGCATAGTAAAAGGGGCAGAGCTCTCGGGCACACATATTTGATAACTTTATTTATTTTGGATTGTGAAAGCAAAATTCTGATACAAGATTGATTATAGCGCTTTCCGATGGTGAATGTGGTTATACGCATGGCAGGTCTTATTTGGTACTTTGGTCCTTTATTTCACTATTTTGGCAACCGTCAAATGTCATCTGGGAAACGGTTTGAATTTCCTCTTAATAAAACAACGTTAGTGTTCCATTTGGGACAACACGACATACATATACTATGCTGTTGAGTGTGTAAGTGCATATGTACATAGCATGCCATTTGACACAGCGAGTGTTTCTCAACCATGTTCCTGGAGGACCACCAGCTCTGCATATTTCCATGTCTTCTTAACCAAACACACCTGATTTAGATCATCAGCTCATTAGCAAAGACTGAAACCCCTGTAATGTTTGTGACAAACAAAGGAGAAATCCAAAACATGCAGTGGTGGTGGTCCTCCAGGTACGTGGTTGAGAAACACTGCTTTAGAATATCTTGTTTTGTGTTCAACAGAAGTAACAAATTTAGAAATGTTTAAAACAACTTGAGTGTGAAGAAATAGTGCGGAAATGTTCATGTTGGGTAAACTATCCCTTTAAGAGTTTACCACACAAGTGCCACAGAAATATTGTAAACATTGATAATCTATTTAACGGCATTTAAAAGACAGCTAAGACAGGATGTACAAGAATATGCACTTTAAAGATGTTTATGTTTAGCCTATTTGTAGGATTCCACACATGCTCTCGTCTTATTCATTGTAAACACTTGTTATTTGTTTTTACAACTGCTCTCCTCAATGTCAGCTCCTTCTGTAAATTGATTACAAGGTTCAAATAAAACATAAGTACAATCTTAAAGTGAACATTAATTATTTTTTCCATCAATCTAGAAATAGGAAGTCTAATATCTCGTATGTGACGCCAGGGGGAGCACTCACAGTGACTGAACCCAATGTGTGCAGCAGACTGGAGGTATAACACAGGGTCTGGGACTCTCCCTTCAACACACTGACCAGGTGTCTCCACACACAGCGTAGCATCTCCTGTAAACATGCACACATAACACACACACACATGCGCACAACATGAGTCTCATATTCAACAGAAACTCAAATCCATCTATCAGCAGCTCTTGGTTTCGAATGGCTCTGCAAAAGTGTCAGGATTTATGAAACCTGAAACCTGGTTCAAAACACAGACACAGACACGCGCACACACGTACACACGTACACACACATACGCGCAGAGTCTGGGTAGGTTAAGCAGGAAAAAAAGCAGTGTTATCCTATCCAGTCTTGGGTTTATCCAGCTGCATTTAGAAATTAAGTGGAGTTTCATTAAAGCACAAGAACAAGATTAATGCACCTTGCAGCAGAAAGCAGTAAAAGGGAGAGGGGAAATTGAATTGACTGAATGACTGGAGGTTTAGAACTTGAAGCAAACAAGTTGAAGCTTGAGGCAGCAGCTACAGGAGAGCAGCACTGCGGGAACTGAAGATGGTTAGTTCTTGGCATTAATATGAAGTCTATGTAAAATCAAAACTGTCCACATTACAAATGTCAAATATTGTCAATAAACAATCAAATTGCTTTTTTAGGTTATTAGGCAAAAACTGTACATGTGTGACATTTAAAAAACTGTTTTAATCAAGATTTTAATTTTAATTTCACACTCCCAGTGTTAAGGGTAACATATTACATGTAACACAAGTTATATAATAATATTAATTTTCTAAGTAGCAAGTACAGTAATGCATTACTTTTAAAAAAAAAAAGTAATAATATCGGAGTTACTTTTTTAAAAATGTAACGCGAGAAGGTGTAGAAGGTGATTGTCTTCAGAAACATTTTTTGTGATGGTTGAAAGTCTCTCTACACTGCAATAGTGATAATTAAAGTAAACGATTTAAATGTGTTTATGTATTTTTATATTCTAGGTAAGACATAAAACCAAAAAAATGTTCATCCAATTTAATATTGTCGAGCTGATAATTCCCATAATTCTGATAAGTAGCCCAAACTGTCTGTCAGCAAATATAGATTTGAACAACTGCGCATCTGTTTGCGCAGATCCGCTGATGCACGGTTCACACAGACATCGATCACGTGGACACGAGTGAGAGTGTGAAAAACAAGTGCTCAATCAAAACTTTAAAATTTTAAAATTTTTCAACTTTAATCAATATTGCATATTATTGTTAACAATAACAATATTGTTATTTTTGCATTTGGGTATTTCTTTTAGACAGGTAATGTTCTCTTTTAAATTGTTTTAAAATTTTAATTAATTAAAGTATTTTATTCATCCAAAGCCTATGTAGATGTTGTTACAAATGGGTTACATGCACAGAAGTGTTGTTCAGCCACTGATCTCCACCAGTGAACAATTGATGTGACAATTTTCAATTTCATAAGAGACCTTTTACAGCATTGATAATGTAGATTTTTATTTAGTTAAACAACAAAACATAAGTAGATAGCGCTATTTCACCTAGCTTGCTTTACTGAGGTGAAGTTGGTTTTATATTCACAATGGTTCATTGTTGAACAATGACAGCCTGTGATGCGCTCCCTATATTGTTGACCAGGCTACTCTGAATATTCTAGTCTGAAATAGCATGCAAGTATGGTTTAGTAATAAGTGTAATTCCTGCACGCCGCCAGCCAACTACTAAGCATACAGTAGTTGCTTTGGGACAAAGCGTATGTGAGACACTGATGAGTGAGACTGATGAGAGAGTGATGTTTTTCTTGCTAGCTACATAACTGAAAACTTGCTAGATATGATACAGTTTTTCATTCAGAATTGTATTATAAAGTACTACAAAGTTTTCTGACTGGCATGACATGATCTGGTGGGTGTTTGTCATCTTTAATGTGCACATTTGCGAATTCAGGAGGCAAGGCTTTGGATGACAAGGGAGGGACTGTATTTAAAAGATGTTATGCGAACCGGTTAACATTTGGGCAAATCACCTATTGCACCTTTTATTAGCTTTTAAAAAGTAAATTGCTGAATTCAAATTGAGATGAGAAAAAAAAAATCATTATTTTGAACACATGGAAGAAAAGTAATTGTCCTTGAAAATGGTTTGTACTTCACCAATAAGTAAAAAGCACAAAAGAAGCATTGCTTTAAACTTTAATTAATCTGTATATACGACATGTTCTGTAGAGCTTTGCGGTTTTTTTTTTTGTTTGTTTTTTTGCGATTTTGCGCTGAGTAAACAGTAGCTGTTAGCCATAACAGTCTGCCTGAACGAGACAGAAAATGAAGAGCACACAGCTGAACCTCAGGCCTGCTCTCTAAAATAAAATCTGATAAGTGTCTTTCATATATATTTGGAATAAGCATGTGTAAGTAATATAAAACGTTTACATATCTTTTGCGAGTTTGTTATTAGAGAGATAGAAAACACGGAACGTGGCCGCATAGAGAGACACTGCACGCACTGCTGAAGATTGTGGCTGTTTACAGCGGTTTGACTGATAAACATTCATTTGTAGTTAAATTGTTGGCAGTGCCAAACAGCATTTCCCATATTTTACATCCTTGTTTAAGTCCACGCTAAAACATACCGCTTCATCGGTAGGAGGAGTTTTAAGCCAATCCAGCAATGAACTGAGGGAGATTCTGGAAGCTCTCCTTTGTCAAAGGCTAGCTATATAAATTTTGTATCATTCAAAATTAAAATTAAATTGTAAGCACTTCTCTCTTTGTGTTGCGTCCTTTGGAAGCCCACATACAGAAACAGAAGAAGCTCTGTGGAAATAGCTGCATTTGGACAGCATTTTAGCTTTCTCTGCTATAAGTGTCTCTGGCCATGCCCCTTTGCAGCGGTGGGTGTATGCGCGTGGTGAATGCGCGTAACCTGAAGTGCTTGTGATCTCACTAGCCCCAATGTGTTTTTTGTTTTTGTAGTCCCCAAATTTGTTTTTGCCAAATTTGGCTTTGCTCTGTAAAAGCCAATGTCTCCCTTTGCATCGAACTTTAAGTGTCTTATGTTTAGAGATGTTGTTCATGTTCACACAGCTACATTACACATCAACAAAAGTTTAAAATATGATATCATAGTGGACCACCCCTTTAAGCAGTAAGGAGTATAGTAGCACATACAAGATGTCTAACAAACATGAAAAGTGTCCAACTTTGATTTCACTGGGTGTTAAAGAAAAACAGCTTCAAACTTATAGAGAGACACACAGACACACACAGACACGCACACAGCTGTTAAATCAAGCAAAAAGAATGCTTTTTGTATTCTAAAATCACTGAACAACACAACACAGTAGATTCCAACACTTTCAGCCTGCGTATGTCTGATCTGTCCATGCAGACAACTACTTACCTTGCTTTTAAAATGAAAAAGAGAGACTTGATCATGCAGTAGTTCTCCAAACGTACATTAACCCAGATAGAAATGTTTGAAAACGTAGTCCAGACAAGCACCACCACTATAGAGAGAGTGTGTACTCTATCATGCAAACCTCAGGCAGGCAGAATGTGGGCAGGCAAAGGCCGAGGGGGGGGCAAACGTCAGCGTGAGGGGTGCCAAACTAACCGGCAGCACAAGAAGCCAAAAATGAGCAAATAAATGAATAAGACCGCTGGAGTATTGGCTGATTTTGCAAGATCGATTAAACCAGGTGAGATGAAGTGCCTGTGGTGATTTTAAAAGAAATAATAATCAATAAAATGGCTGATAAGCAAATAATAAAAAACAAACGGCTCTTTTTCATAGTGATTCCCTGATATGAGTGAAACAAAAAAGGAAAAAAAAAAAAAAAAAAAGGGAGGTTTGTGAGGGTCCAGAGCAGGGGAGAAGGATCACAAGAAGCGTGTGGTGAACGGGTGTGAGCGGGGAAGGAGGAATACGGAGGATATACCTGGGAGGACACCACTTCCGTGTAGCTGCTTAGAGTGTCCTCAGAAAACTTAGCAAGCTGGGATGAGAGAAAAGTCTGATTAAACCCCGGAGTAGAGGATCAGACCTCCGGTTTCAACTCTGGCCGGCTCCGCAATCCCTCTCTAAACCTCCCTACTACTACTAGTGTGAGCCCAGCCAATGAGCTTTATTTCCTCATGCAGTGTTGTGACTGCAAATCAAAGTTAATACACAAGGTAATCATCATAGACGAAGGGGGTTTTATTTTAGCAGCAGCATCAGTCAGGTGAGATTTGGGGAGTTATGAAAGTAGTGTCTGTATTATGTGCGATCTGATAATGAAATGCATACTGTAAATATGCGACTGAATGAATGTGTCGTGATCGGTTAGACTTACCAGGCCAGTAGGAGAATTACGGCTCGACTCTGCTAACACACGGGCCTCTCCGTATGCGTTCACCAGAACCCACATTACAGGAAACAGCAGAGGTAAAATGGGCAACACACCCATCATCTATATAAAACAAACATTAAAATAGTCAAATATCAGGACTATTATTGGTCAATATTCTGATCATTTTTTATCAGAGCTTTAATCTTTTGACAGCGAGATCCCGATTGCTTGTTATTTTAGGATTAGTAACTATTCTAGTGTTTATTAGAAGTGTGAAAAAGTAAACTACTCCAAAACAATTATTACAAATCTCTTTAATAAACATTTATACTCATTACAGATATTACTATTGCTGGGCTACACATATACAGAAAATTAATCGAGATCCAAAATAAAAGTTTGTTTTGACATGATATATGTGTCTCTGTCTGCAGTGCATATTTAATATGCATGTATAATATATATATAAATATGATATAAATACACACATGCATATATTTGAGAAAATGTTTATTTATATTTAAATATAAACTGTTTATAAATTTATATTATATAAAAATTATATATAAATTGAAATATCTATGTAACAAAATTGTTTTGTTTCTATGCATGTATAAGTGTATGTCATATACATAATAAATGTATATAATACCCAGACATAACAAAAACAAACAAAACAAACCAAACAAAAGAAACTTTTATTTTAGATGCAATTAATCTTTGCCCATTAATATGTGTGTGTGTGTGTGTGTGTGTGTTTGTATTTTGATAATAAATATTAGCTTAGGACCATCGGAGTATGAAACTTCTATTTACACTCACCAGCCACTTTATTAGGTATACTAGTACCTAGTTGGACCCCCTTTTACCTTCAGAACTGCTTTAATCCTTCGTGGCATAGATTCAACAAGGTACTGGAAACATTCTGCAGAGATTTTGGTCCATATTGACATGATAGCATCCCGCAGTTGCAGCAGATTTGTCAGCTGCACATCCATGATGTGAATCTCTAGTTCCTCCACATCCCAAAGGTGCTCTATAGGATTGAGATCTGGTGACTGGGGAGGCCATTTGAGTACAGTAAACTCATTGTCATGTTCAAGAAACCAGTCTGAGATGATTCGAGCTATGTGACATGGCACGTTCTCCTACTGGAAGTAGCCATCAGAAGATGGACACACTGTGGTCATAAAGGAATAGACATGGTCAGCAACAATCCTCAGGTAGGCTGTGGCGTTGACACGATGCTCAATTAGTACTAATGGGCCCAAAGTGTGCCAAGAAAATACCCCACAAACCATTACACCAGCACCACCAGCCTAAACTGTTGATACAAGGCAGGATAGATCCATGCTTTCATGTTGTTGACACCAAATTCTGACCCTACCATCAGATGTCGCAGCAAAAAAAAAATTTGAGACTCATCAGACCAGGCAACATTTTTCCAATCTTCAATTATCTAATTTTGGTGAGTCTGTGCAAATTGTAGCCTCTGTTTCCTGGTCTTAGCTGACAGGAGTGGCATCCGGTATGTTCTTCTGCTGCTGTAGCCCATCTGCCTCAATTTTCGACATGTTGTGCGTTCAGAGATGCTTTTCTGCAAACCTCGGTTGTAGCGAGTTATAAGAGTTACTGTTGACCTTCTATCAGCCCGAACCAGTCTGGTCATTCTCCTCTGACCTCTGTAATCAACAAGGCTATTGTGCCCACAGAACTGCTGCTTACTGGATATTTTCTCTTTTTCTGACTATTCTCTGTAAACACTACAGACAGTTGTGTGTGAAAATCCCAGTAGATCAGCAGTTTCTAAATTACTTAGACCAGCCAGTCTGACACCAACAACCATCTCATATTCAAAGTCACTTAAATGACCTTTACCCCATTCTGATACTCTGTTTGAACTGCAGCAGATCGTCTTGACCATGTCTAAATGCATTACGTTGCTGTCATGTGATTGGCTGATTAGAAATTTGAGTTAAAAAAGCAGTTGGTCAAGTGTACCTAATAAAGTGGCCGGTAAGTGTGTATACAACTATATACTATATCAGCTGTGTGAAACTGTTCAGAATTAAAAAAAAATGCCTTAATTTGATTAACTTTCAACCTGCAACTGAAGGAAGTTGAAGGGTCCAGGGGTGAGACCAGGAGTGTCACAGAAGTATCGGATTGTATTCATAGAGAAAAAGGCCACCTATAAATAACAAAACATGACTGTCAACAAGTGGACATGCATATTCACACCCATTTTTTTTACAGCCATTTCACACATCTTGGGTCTGCTTGTGAGTGCTGCATGAGAAAGCATTACTGCTGCTAAAAGTTCACTCCAACATTATATGCTTCTTCACAAACAACATGTAGCAAGTATATAGCAAAATACTGTTAATAAATTGGTTGACAGAAAAGTCTCACATTATTTTTTGCATTAGTGGACCGAAATGTCAACAATGAAACACTACATACATACGATACATAATATTCAATGGCATACAGAGTGAATAAAGCAAATTGTTAATGTGGCAAAACGGATGTTGCTGAACATGTGAAACAGACCAAGTGTGCATGTGTTCAGTTTTATCATACCAATACAGCAGGACAGGCGAATTTGGCAATAATTGACTGCACTGTGAAGCGCTCATTATCGAGGGCTGTGATTGGACGGGAGAGAGCCAGGTCAAGACTGTTCCTGTTGGCAAAACAAAAACAGCTTCAAACAAATGTCCTGTTTCCATTTATTCAAATAAAATAACATCAAATTTTTAGATTATCACTGGCAGAAGGTTCAGTTAAAAAGTTCACCCAGAATACAATATAAAGATTTACTACTAATTTACTCATCCTCAGGCAATCTATGATGTAGGTGACATTTGTTTTGTAAGTAGAACATTAAATAGGAAGTTTTGAGGAATCTTTGGTGAATCATAAAATGCTGTTCATTTAGCAATCATCACTTTGAGAAACAAATTATTTACATATTAACTTTAATCAGAATAAGACTGAATGCTTCATTTCAACAGATCATGATTTATTTGTTTTGAGATCACTTCAATGATCTAAGCAAAAAGCAAAAACAGTCACCTATATGTACGACCTGAGGGTGAATTAACAGCCACTGCTCATATCTGGGTGAATTTGTCAGTTATTTCACCTGACGCTGTCGAGTATAGGTGTGCGCACCACTCTGAAGAGGCGGTACTGCTGAGGGCTATGGGGACCCCTGCGCTCATTCCCGCGTGGGGAGGGAGGAGGGGAGAAAGGTGGAAAAAGGTCTCCTGGCTCAAGTACAATGTGTTCGTCGTCCTGGTAATAGAAGATGCAGTGAATGAAAAGAACGGTCTTAAACACTCCAAGGTTTTCTTGTGTACTCTTTTAGATTCCAGTACAAAAGATTCCAGTACATAATTCTTCCAGTTACTGCCTCTTCAGTATGTTCTACAATGTGAAAAGCGCTATAGAAATAAAAATGTATTGAATAATAAGACTCATTTTGGATCTTCTTGAACAGAGAAGAGTCTCCTAACCTAACCTCTGTTATATTCACTGTATTACACTGAATCTTTTGAGTGTGCATTATATGTGTGAGTGGGTTTGACAAATCACTTGTAGTAAACACACTCTTTCATGTCTACAACAATTGACAGCCACTCGCACCAGACACTTTCTTACAAAAAATAAATAAATAGAATATTCCCCCCTACTCCCTACTTACTTATTAATTTTTCTTCGGCTTAGTCTCTATTTCAGAGGTCGCCACAGCGGAATGAACCGCCAACTATTCCAGCATACGTTTAACACAGCGGATACCCTTCCTGCCGCAACCCAGTATTGGCAACCTATTTTCCAGCATATGTTTTACATAGCGGATGCCCTTCCTGCTGCATCCCAGTATTGGGAAACACCCATACACTCTCTCACACACACTCAAAAACTATGGCCAACTTTGTTCATCCAATTTACTTATAGCGCATGTCTTTGGACTGTGGGGAAAACCGGAGCACCTGGCGGAAACCCACGTGAACACAGAGAGAACATGCAAACTCCACACAGAAACGTGACCTCAAACCAGTGACCTTCTTGCTGTGAGACAACAGTGCTAATCACTGAGCCACCATGCCACCCCCTACTTACTCGCTTTGCTACTAAAACTCAATTGGTCCAAAATGTCAATTTGTAAATAAAATAGTACACAAAAGGTAGGTTTACATAACAATGACATACCTAAAAAGGATATTCCCTGTAGTCCACCGTTACAGTTCTGTTTGTCAAGCATTTCCAAATGAAATTAGAAATGATCTATTGGTGGCTATTTTATTAATTAAAATTTGTTAAAGCACTAAATTGTCTAAAACTTAAACTGGCCTCTGTTACACTCACCCCCCTAAATCTCACTACCATCCCGGACGAGCCCCCACATGTAACCCACCAGTCCTACTGTACCCAACCCAGTCTGAGCAGGGATCTAACCAGCAATTCTTTGTATGGGAGTTGGTTGCTCTAACAAAGAGGCTAAAGACAATGGCCACTAGCATCTGTCGCTAGAGCACCTTTTCGATGTCAGAGGAGGTTTACCTGCATAGCACTTCGCTAGTAGGCCTCCGTTATATAAAATACAAAAAAAGCTACATATCAAAAGAAAAAACAAAGCAAATCTGAATCAAAAATAAATAAAAAACTGTATAATCAATATTAATACATTAAATGTATAATAGTATAATAAATGTATAATATTGTAAAATACATCTAAATTTGTTATGCATTTACTTTAATTGTAAGCACATTAACAAATGAATAAAGTACGATCATTGAAAAAAAAAATGTAATAATACTATTAATATAATACTAAATCAAACCTCACACTACCTTGATGCCTCTGAGAGATGCAAAGGCTTCCTGGCCGGGCCTAAGTGCGATGACATCACCTTCCACCAGGAGGCTGACAGGTAGATTGACCAGCTGTTCATCCCTGAACGTCCAATGCAGCGACCACGAAGGGGAGGTGGGAGTGTAGAGGTCAGGGTACAGAGACGGGGCCCATCTGATTGGATGTCCTGCACTTCTCTCCAAATAATCTGGTAACATATGAAGATAATTTTAGAGAGTTAACAAGTGAACGTTTACTTGGACTTGGAGCAGTAAGTCAAGAAACACAGATTGACCTAATTACATTTTTTTAAACAAACTACTAATTCGTATGTGTTTAGCATTGTGCTTAAATGTAATGTAAACGACTGAATGAGCAACACCATAATAATCATAACTTTAAAAAGCATGAATGTTTCCTATTGACCTTATTCTCCGCAGACGAGCGGGCGCTGCCATTTGAATCTTTTTGGCACGAGACTTCCGGTCTCATTCACTTCCATTCATTTTTAGACATTAAAAACTGCTCGTTTCGCTGTTTGATGTTGCAAACTGAAATTTCCTTGTTATATTATTCTACTTGGTCTGTATAGTCATGCAAACATTTGTTTGTAGAGCAAGTAGTTTGACCGTTTTTTGCCGTTTATTATTCCTTGTCATTTCTCCCATAGGCGACTGAAACGGAAGCTCTAAGACAATCGCGAAAACAGGCGCACTTCCGCATTTTAGAATAAGGTCAATAGTAGCATATCAGTAATTAGCAAATAGGCAGTACATTTTATTTCTTTTCCTGCAATACAGTTTCTGAAAAAAAGTTATATAATTGTGGTTTGAAGTCTGAAGCTTGAGGAAGTTTAAGATGTTAAGACTTACTTTATCAATTCTGAACTGTACCTAAAATATGTCCAAAAAATTAAGAAAAGCAAATTTACAAATAATGTGAGAGCAATTTATATTCATTGTTAGACACTTATCTTCATATAGTGCTATTTATTTTATATGAAATTTTAAATAATTATTTTCTCCACTATTTGTTGGACTTGTTGGACATTTACTGTAAATAAGGTCAAATAAAATAAATAAATAGGGCGTCAGAACAAAGGATGACTAAATTTAACAATTTTAATATTCCAGATACTTGCTTAAGATGCAGGGACATCAAATGAACGCTGTATCACTGTACATGGGAAAGTAAAGGAATACAGAACATCTGGAAAAATGTGAAATAAATTAGAGAAAATATTCTTGAGGTTAATATACCAATGTCTCCTTTAATTAGTTTATTTCATTTATATTCCAAGGAGATCAAGTTAAAAAAGACAGAGCATTTATTTATGAATATATGTATTCTGTAAGCGAAACGGCTTATTTCTTTAACTCGGAAAAGTCTATGTGCACTTAATATAGGCCGTTGGCTGTAAGAGATGGTAACAAACATGTCAATAGAAAAAATAACTTGTATATTAAGAAATTAATACATAATTTTTGATAGAGTTTGGGGATTTTTTATTTTGTTTTTAAAAGATGGTGGAGTTGGAAATGTTTTACTAGAAGATCAGTAAAAGAGGTGATGTTGTATTCTGATGTAAAATACTTAGAAGCCTTTTGTTTTGTTTGTTCATTTGTTTGCTTGTTGGTTTATGTTATATCTGGCACATGGAAATGTTTATGTACATGTTAAAATTTTATTAAAAAAAAAATAAAGGAAAAAAAACTTAACAATTTTATAGTGGTTCCCAAAAAGTTAAAACTGTAAAAGAAATTCTGAGACAAACTTAACAGACATTTATTAAAGATTTTTCCAATTTTCTTTTTAATTTATAAGAGCTGTAATTTATTGATCCATGCTTGATCAGACTCTGTGTCACATCATAAGAGATTTGGCTCAAAAACATAAAACATTTAATAACACATTAGTTTTTATAACAAGACATCCATGGAAGAAGAAGAAATGTTTAACAATTTACAGCATTTTTGAATGATAGATTTAGTGTGTGACAGTAGCTATGTTGCCATCCAAAAATGCGAATTAACTTTATGCACAAAACTGGATTATCGAAAAAAAGATGTGCGAATAAAGCAGCGTTTCCATCCAACGAGTCAAAGCAAACAAAATCGTCACTTCCTGATTAACTTGCATTAAATATCAACAATACAAACAGAATTAGCTGCATGAATCTTTTCTTTATTTAATAAATTAATTGCGGAGGCAATCCTGACACGCAGTTAACATGCGGTGATGTTTGAAGCCATGATACGCGGAGCACAGACGCTCTTGACAGTTCTTGGAGGTCATTAATAATACAATAACACTAATACTGAAATAGTTACAGTGTTTTAAAATGACCAAAACAATATTTTGTTTTACAATGTGCTCAGCCTGCCGGTTTGACCATTCACACACATTTTTATCATCACATGATCTCTTACAACAAAATCACATGACTGAATACACATACTGAAATAAGTTTGGTAAAGGTGTTTCCAATTTAATTTAAGCGCATCTTTTATTATCGAATAAAAAGTTTGTCCTACTCAGTTATGCGCATGTTTTTTCTGCGCATTTTCAAAATGTATGCACATATTGGCGTTTTCATCAACCGTTTTTTGTGTGCAAATCCTAAATGTGCAACAACAAATAGATACTTGCTTCTCTCTCCTCACCGTTCAGTTGTGAGATGATGGACTTGAGCCGCCGCACCATCTCACTTATTCGTAACCTCTGCTGCCGTCCGATGAGGAAGAGGTTGAGCAGCAGCAGGAGGAAGAGCGCACCAGCGTTCACCAGCTCTATGCCTTGACTGGGATTAAAAGAAAAGCAGCATACATGAAACACCTGATAGCTACATTTTAAAAATGAAAAATTAAAAGTGTTTTGCATTAAGCTCCGCCCACCTGCCCTCCGGCTGGCTGCCGTGACAAGACAACAGCCCCACCACCACAACCAGAGTAAGAACAGCTCCAGGCCAATGGAAGCACGAATGCCGGTCACCATGATGGAGGAAGCTTTTGGCCCACAGCTCCTGTGAAACAAAAAACAAAACTAAAATCAGGACTATCCTGTCAAAACTAATATACCATAAATGTGGTGATTAGAAGCGCTTATTCCAGAACAGACCTGTATGGTGGGTCTGCGGCGGCTGAATTTCTGGTGTTGCCCCAATAAGTTGGACAGCTGGTCCCGTAGGGTGCACAGAGCCTGAGCCGTGGACAGTCCCAGTGGAGTTGCCGTCTCCTCCTCCTACAGCACAACCAAATCTGTCAGTCCATGTCAGTCACTTTGTTTTGAAAATTGTTTGAGATGATTGTGGAAAATGTGACTCATAAATAATAAGTAAGATCGAATTGGGCAGGTCACATCATAGTCAACGAACAGTCAAGATAAGTTTGTTAAATTGAATTGGTGGCACTTAAGGTTGGCAGAATACAAGCTTTGGTGGACAAGCAAGTTTAAGGAATTGAATTTAGGTAAAAGGTTGCAGAAAAATCTGTAAATATTTAATAGTTTTTATGACCCTTTCGAGACCATCAAGTATGAAATTTTACACTTACACAGGGTTAAAGATTAAGGTTTTTTTTTCTAAATGTCTGGTATTGTAATGAGGAATCGTGTAATTGTGTTTAGTTTTTTTCCCCTGATTAGGAAATTCAATTTGGAAAAATTTGATGCAATAAAAAAAATGAACTTGTAGAAAATAAGGTTTTATTGAGATGTATTGTTGGTCATTGGATGGATTTTGCCCACAGTAAGTAGCGTTGCTTGGACAAAGCAAAATTAAGACCTGTTTTAAGACCTACAACACAATATTTCAGTGAATTTAAGACTTTTTAAGACCCAGTGGACACCCTGTTTTAGAAGAAAATGTTAATTGATGAAAAAAATAAGTAATACATGATCTTTTTGTATCATTAAAGACCACTCACTACTGCCTTTGAAACAAATATAGAGGTTGGATATTATTGGCTGGAATGCCTGTCAAAGGATGAGTGATTGAGAATTCATCAAAGTTAAGTGTCATCAATCAGTACACCAGTGATATAAAAAGCCATGTTTTTCATAGATCTTAGTGATGCCAAGCAGACAGAAAAGAGAAGTGGTCCTAGAACTGAGCCCTGAGGCACCACATCAGCTAGATGGTGCAACTTGAGACACTTATGCCAACAAGACATTCTGAAGTAACAGAGAAATCTTACACCCACATCCATGAATTTCAGATGGTGGGGATTTCTAATTCAAATGACAATGATTTGCATGTAAAATGTGCAACAGTAAATGTGACCATAACATTATGCAAATGCTTAAATTTACTTTTTATTATAATTAAATGTGACGTTGTATAATGAATGTCAAAGGGTACATCTGCACTAGGGCTGGGCCGATAAATGATATTATATCGAATCGTGATAAAACTTATGTCAATAACAATAATAAGCTCTGGACTCTTTACTCTATACCAGAGATGCCCAAACTAGGGCCCATGGGCCAAAGTTGGCCCATGGTAACCTTTGATTTGGCCTGCCATCTCATTTGAGAAGAGAATGAGAATGATGAGGATGGTTTCGAGATAGAAAATTTAATGAAGCACTTTGTTTGCTTGTTTTATTGTTTAAGTCTAATTGACTTTGGTGAACAAATCAAGTCAAGGCAGATTCTATGGAGCCAATATAGATTCTAGGGCCATATATAGGGCCAGAATCTAGGGCCATACAGTATATACTTGCAACAAAAAAGAAAGTTTTGCAAACAAAAAATAAAGTATTGAGCAAAAAAATGTAAAATAATGCAAGTCTCAAAAAATAAAAAAATAGAAATTGCAAAGGAAAAATAGAGCTTTGAGAAATAAAAAGGAACTGCAATTAAAAATTAAGTAATTGAATTAATATTTAATATCTGCAGTTTTTTTAAAATATTCATATACTTGCTAAATATTTTTTTCTGTATTGCCTTTACAAAACCTCTCAAGTCAATCGCAACGCTCATTTTGATTTGCAAGTTTTACTGTTTTAATATTTAAACATCCCGCCCAAAGGAAAAAAAGATTCAGGTATTTTTCTTAATCTCCATTAGATTTATGACAGCGACTCATGGCTGATTTCCTTTGTGTCACAATGTCTCCAGTTGATGATGTCGCTTCATAGGAGGCCTGTCCGGGCATGCCGTACACGCCCCAGTCCCTGTGACACCGCCCCCCTGTCAAATCAGGGCCAGTAAGTGAAACACACAGAAATGTGAAGTGCAAAAAGAAAACAGCATCGCAAACTCAAGGCTGACTGAAAAGCAAATCAAAATGAGCGCTGCAATTGAGAGGTTTTGTAAAGGCAATACTGGAAAAAATATTTTGCAAATATATGAATATTTAAAAAAACAACTACAGATTTTAAATATTATATTAGATATTAATATTATAATATGTTTTTTTTTTGCAAAAATATATATTTTTTTGGCACTGCTTGATTTTTATTAGCAGTTCGTTATTTTTGTATGAAAAATTGCTTTTTATTTCTCAAAACTTAATTTTCTCTTTGCATTTTTTGAGATTTGCATTTTTTTTTTTTTTGCTCAAAACTTTATTTTTTATTTGCAAAACTTTCTTTATGTTGCAAGTATATATGGCCCTGTATTGACTCCATAATATTCTGCTTGACCTGTGTGTATTGAACACTGAACTTGATTGTTTGTTTTTATTGCAAATAGTTTAAATTTAAATTGTTATAACCGCATTAGTTAATACGATTTAAGTAATATATTCTATTTAGTTTGAAATATTACAAAATAAATTAGGAACTTGGCACATGGCAACTTGAATGTAATACAGCTTGGTATATTTATCTTCGGCCCACAGCTCTTGATGATATTTGGTTTTTAGCCTTTTATGTATATCGTTATCGTTCAATAAGAAAAATAATTATCAAGATTGCATTGCAGCCCTAATCTGTACATCAGCAATGAACAACGAGCTGATGAGCAAGTGAGTAGTAATTTAAAATATTGATGGAATGTAGACACACTGACTCAAACCTATTTATTTAGGCAGAAACTTTTATTGCCCAACATGCCTAGTATGGTCACAAATAAAAAAGTTGCTCTTCCCTCTGACGCATTTTGGCTATCCTACCAGCATTAAGGAGAAGTGCATTTTTTTGGGGACGGCTGATGTCCAGTAGTAGCAAACGAGGGCCCCACACTATAAATAAACACAGTGCTTTCCCAGTGCCTGCACTAAATCCCTGTATGAGCATCACTCACACATCAACAAGCAGGGATTTACTAGTGGCTCGCAAACAGAAATATGCGGTCACGCATGCATGTCCATTATATGTAAACCACTCAAAACCTTAGAAATAGAAATGTGTGCACGCACCTGGGAGGGCACTTTCACCTGTTCACGGTACTCAGGATCAATCACACATAAACAAGTGATTTAAGCCTTCACACACTACATTTTGCATACCGGACAGACGGACTCACACAGATCACACGCAACTGAGTGTACTATAGAAGGTGTGCACAGATCCACTCACTCTTTTCTTCCAGAACCAGGTCCCATTTTTCAAGATCATGTCTGCGACTATTCCCTCTGCTGCTGACAGGCTAATGTGCGTCTGGTGTGCGTGTGGGTTGGACAGGAGTGTGTCGGGGTGCTACAGGATAATGTATGCTGCTGTTTCAGCACCAGTCACGCAGTCTGGACAGTCAGTCTCTGCCTCTGCGTATTCAGAGGCTCTGTTTGGGCACGTCCCAGCCGTGCTGTGGGTTGTGTGCCAGCTAAAAAAGCTTTGCACAATAAAATCAGTGCAGCTGACCTGAGGGGATGAACACAACTGCTTTATCTAAGTGTGTAGTTCTCCTAAAAAAGGACAATGAAGAGAAAAGGAAGGAGATTTTGTTTGTGGTTTCTAGTTAGTTAGTCTGAAAGCTCTGCAGAGGCAGCTTTAACACCCTGCCTGAAGAGAAACCGGCAAAAGGGGGTGAAATGACAGTGAAAACCTGGGAGGGATGAGCAGGTATCAGAAACGAGGAGCTTTTCAGAGAAAGAATTAGAGTGTGAAGTGAGGGAGCGGGGCTTGACATAGCAGCAAAAGCATGCTGTGCCCTCGTCGCCCTGTCCAGGCATTCATCCATTCCAGCTAACACAGCAATTTACCATCCTAGCAGTGATGGGGCGCGGCAGGACCAAGAGCATCCTCTCTGAACCTCATCACCTTACTAGAGCTAGCGATACACATGTACTGTATATTCATTCATTTTCTTGACGGCTTAGTCCTTTTATTAACCCGGGGTCGCCACAACAGAATGAACCACCAACTTATCCAGCATATGTTTTGCGCAGCGGATGCCCTTCCAGCTGCAATCTATCACTGGGAAACATTCATATACTCTTATTCACAAAGAAACCTACGCAAACTCCACACAGAAATGGCAACTGACCCAGCAGAGACTCAAACTAGTGACCTTTTTGCTGTGAGGCGAATGGGCAACCCACTGCGCCACCGTGCAGCCCTGTATATATATTTAAACTATAAAAAATTTTTTGAAAATAAAACAACTGTTGACAATTTATGTAAAAAATATGAATAAAATGGTAAAATCCTCTCTCAATGTTTATTCCGTTAAAAGTGCATTGCCTCATTTTATCAAGCTTTTATATTTAGGTTCAGTAATTTGACTTAATGGCCATAAAAACCGTTATTAGGCAGTCATTATTTCATGCCATAATAGTGAAAGGGCTGACCTTAATGTGTGAAATTGATAAAAAAAAGAAAAGAAAAAAAAAAGAAAAGAAAAACATTCTGACAGACTTCAAGGTTTTTGTATCTAAAGTCTTAATATACATTAACAGGGTTCAACGCTAAGGATTTTTTTCTACTGGCCCGACTGGGTCAGTGGTTCAGATTTTTAATTGCCCTGCCAATATTTTCCCTGGCCCCACCAAAAAAAATAAATAAATAAAAAAACCAAAGTTAATAGCTATTTCTTAGCCACACAGGCCTGTGACGATCCTGTCTACTGTCCCGAGCGTCTCTCACACTGACAGTCTTTATTGTTGAGCCCTGATTAATATCATAATTAAACATAAACATGAATGATATTTGTTTGAGTAAAAGGTAATTTTTGTTTTATTCAGTTAACTAACTAATCATTGTTTTATTCAATAATAAAATAATGAAAATAATAAAATGTTATAAAACTGTGTTTTTCCTTAAAATAAAATAATGTTACCAACTACATTTGTCATTCTGATTAATTTTTTGAGAAATAAAATGCACTAAATTACAGTATTTCCAATTTGGAAGAAATGTTATCAGGGGTCTGTTCTTCGTACGTGGATTACTTAATTAGCTGGATTTGGATATTGACGATTTGACACGATCCAGGATCGTTTCGTTCTTCAATGCTGATCCGAGAGTTGTTGTCATAGCAACAGTTCTGCTAGGTCAAACCTGATCGGGAGCAGGTTCAACTCATATAAACAGGATTAGATCGGCTCATTTCAAGCAAAGATAATACAGAAAGTATGTTCCGAATTCTTATGTTTTCTTACAGTAGTAGTTATATACACTTGGGGAAATGGTACATATTTTTAACTATATATATAAAGTTATAGTTATTAATAAAATAAATAAAGTTATACATTTTAATAAAACTTATGCAATCTGCACCCTCGAAATTAAAGTACAAAGACTGCCACCTGCTGGTGCAAAGAGAAAACTTATTTATATGAACTTTTTAGATCGCTTTAGTACAAATTGTGTATAATAGAAATGCACAATATGTGACTTTTATCAAAACAAGTTTTGATAGTTAATATGCCAGTGATTTGATGCTTCACAAAGTTGCAGACGCCTTTACCAATATGAAAATGCTTTTGTAAACAACCAGTTATTCTTTACACAGATTAAAAAAAACGGCTACAATAATAAAGAAAATCTTTTTCTAAATGTAGAACTAAATACATTGATTTGCATTGAAATACATGATGAATACTCTTGACACATGAAAGTGTAAAGCCTGCAGCTCACAACAAATGTGGAAGGTTATTGCGTGTCATATTTAACAAACCATTTACTGCTAATTTGATGTAATTTTGCTCACATGGATAATTGAATATTAATCAGATGATGTCATTACGCTGCTGTGCCGTCAGCCAATCGTTGCACTGCTGATCATGATTTCGAGGATCGATAGATCTGTCCTTCGCAACACACGCATCGATCTCAGATCAGTTTATCCAGACATTCTAATCTGATTCGCGAACTTGTTTGAAGAACCAAATTAGCGAGAGATCAGTTATCAAGATTAAAAGATCCAGGATCTGCCAAATCATCTTTGATCATTTAAGTGAGGTACGAAGAACGGACCCCAGACCTTTAATTCACATTTCACTCAAACCAAACCAGTTTACTTCACTACTTGTCTTTAATTTAGTGTACAAAATAAAAACTTGTAAAAACACTACTCTCAATGAACCTCACAACCCTGTTCCTGAACACAACAACCTAAGCAAAGCTCAGCAAAATCAATACAGGTAAGACAAGAACCCAGAGAGGATCTCAGCAACATCATTACTGTCAAATACACGTAATGATTTTAATGATGCAGTCCAACACGAGCAATGGTAGAAGATGGATTCAGACAAGGGTAAACGTAGACATTTAAGGCCACACACAAAGTTAGTTCTGCTCGAGTTTCTGATAGATTGGAAAAATAATTAATCTCTCGATATCTCAAAAATACAAATAATAAAACTGTAAAAAGACTGCTGTCAACTGAATGTAATGCATGAAATAAACCTCTTATCACAAATTATAGGTAAAGTCACTGTTTTTCTGGCCCATCCTCGCTACTTTTCAGATGCATTATAAACTAAGGCGCACAAACTCACAACATATCGGCTTTTCTTTATGTTCAAAGTCAAAACGATGATACGGCTTAGATATGGCTTTCACAACCTCCACACTTTAGTTAAAAAGTATCTTGTTCAACTGTTAATTATTACAAGGCACCAACTTCCTATGACCAGAAAACAACAATAAAACTGCCAGTAAAAAAAAAAAAAAAAAAATCATAATGCAGTAGCAAAATAGTGTATCTGAGCAAAAAAAAAAAATAAAATAAAAAAAATAAATATATATATATATATATATATATATATATATATATATATATATATATATATATATATATATATATATATATATATATATATATATATTCCCACAAGCTTTTTAGCACTTCATGTACAACAGTATATTAATGTGATCACAGCGGAAGCACTGCTGAAACCCAGAGTTCAACGAGTTTGAGTTCAAGCTGTTTTTAGCAACACAAATGAACAGGCCTTGTCATATTACAAGACAGCACTTCATGTATTGTAATTGGTGGCTGGACATTGTTTAGAAAACGTGATAATTAAAGGAAAGCTCTAGGTTTTATACTACATAATATACAGTCGAAGTCTGAATTATTAGCCCTCCAAAATTATTAGTGTATGAGTGTGTGTGAATGAGTGTTTGTGGATGTTTTCCAGAGATGGGTTGCAGCTGGAAGGGCATCCCCTGCGTAAAAACGTGCTGGATAAGTTGGTGGTTCATTCCGCTGTGCCGACCTTAGATTAATAAAGGGACTAAGCCGACAAAAAAATGAACACATTTATAAACATAACCATTTTAATAACTTATTTCTAATAACTGATTACTTGTATCTTTGCGATGATGACAGTACATAATATTTTACTTGATAGTTTGTAAGATGCTAGTATTCAGCTTAAAGTGATATTTAAAGGATTAACTAGGTTAATTAGGCAAGTTAGAGTAATTGTATAATTGTATAACGACGATTTGTTTTGTAGACAATCAGGGAAAAAATGCTTAAGGTGGCTAATAATATTGACCTTAAAATGGCTTGAAACTTTTTTTTACTCTTTTCATTAACCTTAATAAAACAAGGACATTCTCCAGAAGAAAAAAAATATATAGGAAAAACTGTGGGAAATATTCCCAAAAAATAAAAAAAATAAAAATCGCAGGAAGTTTGACTTCAGCTGTGTACACACACACACACACACACACACACACACACACACACACACACACACACACACACACACACACACACACACACACTGTATGTACACAGACAGTAGTTAACATTTGAATTAGATAAAAAATATAATTATTTTATAATAAATAAATAAAAACAAAAAATAAATTATTTCTAAATATTTATACTGTATGATATTGCAAAATATTAGTATTGTTCAATACAAGTTTCGCTTTTAGGACAACTTTTAAGAAAGGTTTTGATTCCCTTCAAATGTTGACTACTGTATACATCTATGTTTTCATTGTAAATTAGGAAGGAGTTTCCTAGTTTACAAAATCAAACTAAAAGGATTTTTCACTCAAATATAAAAATCTAAATCCATAGAAGTGATCTCTTTCTTTTTCCATACCTGAATATTAATATTTGGGTCAAAGACAAAGTTCCATTTTAGTGTCAGCATCAAATGAAATGTATACAAAGTGACTTCATATACATCGAACAAATGTCAAACACAAGTAAAGTGTCAAAAAACTAGACAGAAAATATTGGTTCAAAAAATCCAATTACCCAGCATAACATATATAATTCTATCAAATTAAACAACAATCCCAATTCTATTTTCTGTACTCCTACCCCTCCAAACCCTTGGCCCTTGAAACAGAGCGTGAAGGGGAAGGGCTTTAAAAATTACACTACAGCATTACAGCACTACAACTCCTGCACACGTCATCATATGTCATCGTGAGCTCTTGCTTCATATGACATTGACGATCGCAACTGCTGCAGTTATTCCAGTTGCTTTATTTTTTGGTATTTATACTCAGGAAATCACCAAAGGCAACAATATCATGTTATCATAACGCTATAATGTGGCAATAAGATCGTAACTGTACTGTGCATTTACACCGTGGCCATATTCATCTATGTAAACACACAAAAACAACAATAGTAGATGGTGTATTCTGGCAATTGTAGATGGTGTATTCTGGGAAATTTTCATACCCCTTGGTTTCGAGTGTGGTCCTGAAAAATCTCAGTTTCAAGGGGTATCTAGCCCTTTCCCTTAGCACTATGCCTTCAAGCTAAAGAGAATTGGGACCCCCTACCCCTTTACTTGAACATGCAAAACGAGGGATATAGGCAAGTAAGTGGAAGGGCTAAGGGGTAGAAATGGGACATGCATTATAATATATAATAACATATTTAAAAAGACAAGTGACTTAAAGGTCTAAGACAGTGGTCACCAATCTCATTCCTGGAGGTCCGGTGCCCTTCAGGGTTTAGCTCCAACTGTCCTCAACACATCTGCCTGGGTGTTTCAAGTATACCTAGTAAAACCTTGATTAGCTTGTTCATCTGTGTTTGATTAGTGTTGTAGCTAAAAATCTGCAGGACACCGGACCTCCAGGAACAAGTTTGGTGACCCCTGGTCTAAGTCAAAGAGTCGTCATTCATTTAAATGGTGATCAACATTCTGATCAAATATCAAAAGTCTTTTGTGCCAACTGCTATTTTGAGATACTGGGTTTTAAGTATAAATAGGGTTAATTGAGTTTTTAATGTTTTTTATGTGATGAAATTGAATGCATTTGTGCTGCTTGTTTTTTGTGATATATGTGATGTGAACGCTGATGTGGTTGTATGGTAAAGTCAAAGAAAAATTTCTACTTGTGGATAATAAAGAAAGTAAAAAGTAAAAGCAAAAAAATGGTCTCTCATTTCTACGAAAAGAAAGAGCCTGAAGAGCTGACCTGTTTCTTATCCTGTAGCTCCATGGCAGGTGCTGTCTTTCACCATACTCTGTCCAGACGCCCAGAGCTGGTGGTTACACTCAACACTTGTCCCGATCCCAGTTCTGCTGGCAGAGGAAGGCAACCGCTGCCCCCTGCTCCAAGACACTGCACCTGCGGGCACTGCCAGTCTGAGGGACGCTGTCTTTGTTAATGTCCAGAGAGCTGTGATCAATGAGAGCGAGGGGCTTCTCTCTTCTTACATTCAAGGGGATCTGATAAGACAGAAAGTGTTAGAGACGATCAATGACCACTCTAACATTATTATGTCAGTTTTGCATGCAGAAGTAGATATCAGAAAGTAGATATTCACGCTTTACTCCCCGCACGCACAGAGCACAGAAACAATGGCCTTTGCTGACTTACTCATCATGTCAATGACAAAAGCACACAAGAGTACGATAAAGAGCAAGAGGCTGACTGTAAATAGTGACAGTTGATACAAAACACATCTGTGACTTTTTTTTTTATAAATAAACATCAGGAATTTTCATCAAAGGTCTATATGGTAAAGTCAGTGTATGCATATATATGCAGTACTCAACTTTTAAAGAGGTTTCATCAAAGTTGTCTTTTAACAATTCAAGAACACACATTCTGGTTTTATGACAAGTTTGAAAATCTTTTTTGATCCACTTCAAATGTTGACTACTGTATATAAGGGCCACACAATATATTGTTTCAGTATCGATTTATTGCAGTGTGCTCATCTGCAATAGACATCGTAGGATCTGCAACATCGAGTTGAGATTATATTTGACCAGAAAAACACTTTGAATTTCAAATTTTAACCATAAAAGTTAACAAAATGTTGGTAATGCATTTAAGGCCTGTGACTGTGTGAGCATTTCAAGCCAGTTTAAAGCATTCAGGCAATGGAAATTATCATTTCTGTAACTTAGGTGAGTTGTATTTATGTATTATACAATAAAGGCTATGTGGTGTTTTTAAAAAAATGTTTTTTTTGACATTTGATTATTTAATTTGTGCCTGACACTGCTAGACTCGCAGAAAAAACTGTTTATTTAATAAGCATTTTTGCTCTACTGCACTTGTGATTGGTTTATTATATTTCATGCAAATGCAATAGTCTACAAAATCATCCCAATCAACCCAAACCCATGAATTCTTTCAAAACAGAACTATTCCTTTCATATGGTAAAACTATACTCAATATCGCAATATGAATGGCAGAAAAAAAATAATGCAATGTTGATTTTTTCCAATTTTGTGCTCTATTCGGCCTCTTTATTTTCTCTTTCTCTATCACTGTCTCTCTTTCGTGGATAAGGAAACGGTTTTGTAAACACTCTAATGAAGACATCCAGTAGCCTACATATTTAATTTCGTTTGTTAAGCACAAAGATTTGTTTCAAAACTATTTCTAAATTCAGTTCTTATTTCCAACAAATGGATAAATAAACAATAATAACAAAGTGTGGTCAAAAACACGTCTTATGCCCCATTTTGTCCAAAATCCGACAGGTGGGCTATTCCAAGCTTGTTTTTAGTAAAACAAATATAAATATGCATATAGTATTTAATAATAATAATAACATTATACAAAAGCAAGTTGTAATGAATAAACTGAAAAAGCCCCCGAGATGATGAAGGCATGTAGGCAGTGGTTTTTATATTTATGTAGAATTTTTGTATATTTATGTAGATTTTTTGTAACATTTTAATCCTTTAATTTTTTTTCACTTGTAAAGATATTTGTGTATTGCTGTATATCCTGTCTGTAATAAGCAATGTGTACACATTTAAGGCACACAACTAAAAAGCTTTCAGCTGGTCAATTGAGCAGTCTATTTTAGTTCCTCAAAATAGCAAGGTGTCAACAATGCCCCTTTCCTAGATCGAAACACTCGTGAGCCCACAAAATGGTGCAAATGGATTTGCTATTTAAACAATGTGGCGCAAAATGGGAAAATTAGGGTTGCATAAGTCTGAAAAAAGAAACACATCGTGCCAAACCACATCACCAAACACGTCTTGCGCCTTATTGCACCAGGTGTAAAATAGTCCTTTGTGCTTATTTGATAGTTGTTATGTTTCTAAACAATTGAACACAGATACCACAACATCAGCAAAAAATGACATAAATTTAAAATAAGAGATGATATAACTAAATAATTCTGGTAATTAAAATGAACAGTGAATAAATGAAGATTGTGATATTACTGTTTCTTCCACTTTTGTTTCTGTTGAGGTTACAGAATACAGAATTTGCCCTTTAATTACTGCAATAAATTAGAGTATTATGAAGTGATTGAGTAGTACTTACACATTCAGTTCACAATATTCTAATTTATTACAGTAATTAAAGGGCAAATACTGCAACTTAATACAAAAGTTCATTTCTGTCCCAAACATTATATCTTATTTTATTTTAATATATGCTTGAGAATGTCACAGAAGCCTACGTAATCAAAATATCACCATCATTTGTTGAGTCCAGGAAAACTATTGTGCTTGTAAATGCGGTTTCCACTGTTGTCACTGTAAACATGACCTACTAGGTAATGATTCTAAAATTAAACAAGACTAATTAAATAAGAGTGCCAGCAATCTACAAATACAGCTTTTGGCTCCAAGCTCAGACAATGTGGAACATTTAATCTTTGGCTTTCAAGGTAAGACGCTATATTTGACAAGCAAATCACTTAGTTTGTCTTATTCTTTGAAAACATGTAAACCAAGCCGGCTTACATTACTCTTGACTTTGAAGATCATCTAAACTGACTCGCAAAGCTGTAATTACCCTCACTGGTCAGCAAAAGAATATATAATTTTAGAAATCCAACATATTCAGAAAGAAAAGTGCTGGCCTGCTATGTAATAACAGTTTATGCCAAACATCTTGTGTTTATGTAAAAGTTTACTACAGGGAGTGAAATCGCAATACAGGATTTATCTGAACTACAGAATAAGCTTTAAAGGAACAGCTCACCCAATAAAAAAATAAAATAAAATCTATCATCATTTACTCACCCTTGTTCTAAGTTTCTTTATTCTGAAGAAAGATTAATACCTGTAACTATTGACTTACATGGTATTTGTTTTTCCTTAGATTTAAGCCAACGGTTACAGGTTTTCAGCATTCTTCAAATTATCTTCTTTTGTCTTCACCAGAAAAAAGAAACTCATAAAGGTTTGGAAGCACTTAAGGGAAAGTGAATCGTGAGTGAATTTTCAGTTTGAGTGAACTATCCCTTTAAAACAAAAATGACAGCCTTGTTAAGTTCATGTGACGTGTATATAACTGCACTGTTATCCTTAACTCACTTATAACTACAAAGAAAAGCTTGCATGTATACTTATCATAATATCGGCGATATTGTTGTTTAAGGAATAATAATATGAAAGACAGCTCCCATTTTCCATGTTGATCTGTACCAAAGGATTATTAAACAACCCTTCTGATTCTCAACGTTGAAACGAGCCGTCAAAGTCAATAGTTAGCATTTACACATAACATAAACACCATTAAACCATTTATAAATCATCTAAGCAGCTGGTTGAGTTTACTAGAGGTGGCCTAGGGGTTAAAGAATCCCGGCTAAATAATAAAATCACGATAAATCGACGTCAACTTACATTATAAAGCTGCAACATCAACGACCTGCAAGTAACATCGTTTATCATCAAGAGTTAATAAGCGGAATCAAATAATATCCGTCTCAAAATCCTTGGACTCACTCCCTGGTGACGGCCATGTTAGTGACTGGAAGGGCGTGGTATGGTTGTGCAGAGACGATGTAGTGGAATCTGATTGGTCAGCGGGATCCTGAGGGCGGAATTTGCTTTGTTTTGTCGTTTGTGATTGGTTTGTACTCCGGGGCGGGTAATCGGCTTTCTGCTGTTGGCTGAAAAGGTGGAGCTTTCGTTTGGCGTAGTTACCCGACATCAAAGTGAAGCCGCTGACGACAAGAGTTCTTATCATAAATGCATATTGATGAATATTGAATGTTGACCGCTTTGTGTGATAAAGGGTGACATTTTCGACGTGAAACACTTTTTTAAAATATATAAACTAGTTTATTTTAACTTATGCTGTAGTGTATATATTTGGATATGCTAATAGTTTACTGTAATAGGTAAATCTAACACTTAGACACGCAAAATGTATTCTTAAGCAAACACTCTCTAATTCACAACCTACATTTTTTCACTTTTTTTTTTACTGAAATGGAATCAAAAAAGGACTTTTGCTACTTGTTCAAACTACTCATTAAACGACTTGAAACAACACAATTCTTAAGGAGGTTTAGGCTTACCAAATCTAAAATATTACTACTGGGCAGCTCAATTAACCGCAATAGTAGCTTGGGTTAAAAATTATAAAGAATCAGGATGGGTTAAAATAGAACAAAGCACAATAAAAGAGACATCACTGTCCATTCTACCTTCATAAATGTAAAACAGGCTCCAAACATTAAAATAGATAACTAATGGATAAAACATGCTTTAAAATTTTGGAATAAAATAAAAAAAATGTTCAGAGGTCCAGAATCTATATCCAGGGCCATGCCTATAGTAGAAAATATTGGGTTTCTCCCATCTATGTGGGATGGTGGATTTCAAATATGGGTAGATAAAGGTCTTATAATAACAATAAATCAGTAATTCGTTGGAAAAGAAATTATTTCTCACAACTCCAAGAACAATTTAATATTTCACTGAAAGATATCTATAGGTTTTTCCAAATAAGACATTACATTACAAACCATAAAGAAAAAGCTAAAATCATGCAAGAACCAAATAAAATAGAGGAATACTTCATAAATATTGCAGAAAAAAACATTCCAGCTAAAAACACGTCTCCCATTTATATAAAAGATTAGTAAATAATACTGTACAAAGTACTGATCATGCTAAAGGAAGATGGGAACTAGAGCTAAATACCATAATCGAGGATGAGGTCTGTACTGAGTTATGTGAAGAATGTCATAAAGGAATTAATAGTCAATTGTGGAAATGATTTGATTAGAAAGTAAAAATGAGGTACTTTAATACTGTAATACGGTACTGTACGGTACTGTAATACATGTAAAAGGACTATCTGTAGCTTTGTGTTGGAGAAAATGTGGAAAAACTGGAGATCACCCACATTTTTTGGGACTGTCCTACGATTCAAGAATTTTGGAAAAATGTTAAAAAAGAATTAGATAAGATATTAGATATAGAGATACGCCTCAATCCAGTTATGTGCTTACTGTGAGCACTGCCCAAAGAAATGTTTAATAAGGAAACAAGATTTGTCCTAAGGATATTATTGCTGGTTGCAAAAAAATGATAACAGTACATTGGATGGAAGAAAGTTATCCAAAGGCTCAGTGGATTCAGAGACTTAAACAGGTCTATATAATGGAAAAAATGACTGCATGTCTACAAATGAAGACTGATATTTTTCTGAAGAGGTGGAAAAGTATTATGACATATTTAGATATGTATATTTAGAGGTTGCTTAACCTCACCCTATCATCACTGTAATTGGATGTAACTACAATGCAACACAATGTAACTTGATGTACAAATGTATCTCCTGTGAAGTAATTATAATGGTAATACCTTTTATTTTTATTTTTATTATTATTTTTTTTTATTGATTTTCTTAATTTTTTTATTATTGTAATTTCATCATTATTATTTTTTTTATTTATTTTATGTATCTCCTCGTGTGTAAGGGGTAAAACTGTTGGGGAAGGGGTTGTTCTGTAAACATTATATTGAAAAATATCAAATAAAAAGTAAAAAAAAAAAGAAACAACACAATTCTTAAGTCTTTTAGTGCCAACTTAATTGCGTTATGTTCAATCTACTTAAATTTGTAAAAATGATTAAGTTAACAGTGCAATTTGGTTAAAATCTTTAAAAAAAATTTTAAAAAGTGCAAACTGTTGAAAAAATATGTATTTTTTAAATATTATTAAAAGGAATCGGAAAAAAAACAAAACGCTACATGTGCTTATTGTTTTCCTTTTTAAAACTTAACATGAAAAATTCCTCCTATTTAAGAAAAAAATGTTCCTGGAAAGTCAGTTTATCTGTCAGTTCTTTTTATTTTTGATACATAGTAAAAAATAAATTAAAAATATTGCTCTTTAAATGTATATTTGCACACAGATTCAAATCAAAATGCTTTCTTAGTTTTCTGAAAGAGTACCGAGAAGATAAAGCAGACATTGTTTATTGAAAAACAATGAAAAACACTTTAGAAGGCTTTTATACTTTAATATTTAAATAGTCTAACATCTGTACTCACTAATCAATTATCTTCATTTAGACACAAATAATTAACTGTGATTAGTGCACATATACAAAATAGGCCATCCTTACAATAAATATAAACCACAAATTATCCCCCATTTGGTGGTATAAACACATACTAAATTAAACACATCATGTTTAAAAATAAAGCATTTCATTAAATAATTCTTATCAAATCAATCCAAATTGTTAAAAACATTTTGAAAGTAAATTATACAAGCTGTTTACTTCTCTCTAGACACTGGCTCTAATGAATTCAACATTTCACAAGTATTAGTCTTGCTATTCTGTAAACGTTAATACATGTTTATTACAAATAATGTCTGTAATGTTTCATGGCAGGAGATATATTTGATCTTCAGGGTGAGTTGTGGGATGTTGTGTAAAGTTTGTGTATACTGGTTGTTTAGTGTGGGGTCCCAGCTCGACTGGGGATGGTGCTGTAGGACGGTTTCACCACCTCTTCCATGATCACAGCGATGGTGTGACACAGCTCTTTTGCCTGCATGGGAGAAAAGTGTTAAATAAATGGAGGAATAAAAACCTGAATGAACCAAAATAATACTAGGCCCAATCTTTTAAAAATGACAACATGTACATTATTATTATATTATTATGACAAGGGCTTTATTTAGATTTTGTGCAACACGTGCCAATGGCCTGTGACTTTTGAGGCAGAAAAAATGTGAGAAAAAGAGAAAGTATGATATTTCATTAAAAAAGGCAGAATAAATTGTAGAACAAATACATCTAACTGCAATTGTTCTAAAATGAATAATAATAATAATAATAATAATAATAATAATACTAATAATAATAATAAAATATAATTAACAAAAATGTTTCATTATATCACTATTGAACTGCAAATATTTTATAATAATGTACATTTTATTGTGAATAATAATAATAATAAATTGTTATAATTATATAATTATTTATTTATTTGTGATAAATTTGGAAAAAAAATTGTAGCTTAAAAAGTACAATAATGACAACAATAATTATTATAGCTATAATATGTGATATATTTTATTACTATTATTATTCACAATAATAATTAGGCAGTAAAAATTGTATGATATACTAATAATAAATCATTATAAATATAACATTATTTATTTACATAATTAGAAAGATTTATGTGTTTTAGTATATTTTTATTAAAATGTATTAATTAAAAAAAGAAAAATTTAAAATAAATTAATTATAAATTAATTTTTATTTATTTATTTATTTATTTAGAAATGTTTATATATATATATATATATATATCTTATCTAAATTTCGTCCGCTTTTTCTGGCGCTAGTCTTAAGAGAGAACCCCAGACTTTCCTCTTCCCAGACACTTCCCCGAGACCTCCTCCCGGTGGGACATGCCTGGAACACCTCCAGAGGTAGGCGTCCAGAAGGCATCCGAAACATATGCCCGAGCCACCTCAGCTGACTTTTTTTAATGTGGAGGAGCAGCGGCTGTACTTCGAGCTCCTCACCCTATCCATAAGAGTGCGCCCTGCCACCCTGTGAAGGAAACTTATTTCGGCCGCTTGTGTCCAAGACCTTGTCCTCTCTGTCATGACCCAAAGCTCATGACCATAGGTGAGAGTTGGATTGTAGATTGACCGGTAAATAGAAAGCTTTGCCTTTCAGCTCAGCTCCTTCTTTACCACAACGGACCGCTACATTGATCACATTACTGCTGCCGCTGCACTGATCCGCCTGTCAATCTCACGTTCCATCCATCCTTCCCTCACTCTTATTTTTTATTTTTAAATTTTTAATTAATTTATAATAATAATTATTTATTTTTATAATATATTTTAATATATTACAGAAAAAAATATTTTGAAAAATTCAAACAAATGAAAAGCACTATATTTTATTAGCTTTATTAAAATTATTAACAACTGTTAATATAAAAAAAAATACAATTACAAATCTAATATTTATGATTGAAAAATCTTTAACATTTGAGCATAAAATAGAGCTTTTATTAAGACAGAAATGTATCTGAATTGTATCTGAATACTGAATTGCTTTGAAATTGAAACAGATTTATAAACAATTCTCTCTGCAGACCTGCAACATGTCATATTTTCAAATGCATCTTATGGGAGATTCAAACTCTCTATGACTTGGACTTTGACAAACATACCTGCTTGAGATTGAAGCTGAGAGTCTTGTGTTGAGTCTGGCCACCAAAGCTGATCTCAACTGATGGCAGCTTGTCTTTTTTGGGACGGATTGAGCGCAAGGACAACACATCCTCCATGGACATCGTCAAACACGCATTCTGCAAAGATTGTGATAGTTTACATTATCAGAACATCACAGGAAACATGTTGGACTGTGAGATGAAGTGTGGCGTACCAGTGTTTTAGGATCGAGGACGGTTATGACTTCATGATTGACTGCGACCAGGGAAGGCGAAGGACAGCTGCGATGACTGACTTTCTGAGCCGTGAAGATGTCAAAACCAAAGAGAGGCAGCGAACTGATACTCTCTGGAAGATAGGAGCAGTGTTGGGTATAATTATACTTATATCAATTCACATATCGAGAAGTAATTACTGTTTATTTTTAGGTCATTTAATTCTCCGGGGTCTGAGGTGATTTCAGGACCCTTTGAATGTTTTGACATGTCCAGACATTTGTGCTTATTTCTTAACCCTTGTGTGCTGTTGGGGGTGTTTTCGTCCACTCTTGGGTGATTTTAAGTCTTAATTTGGCCACGACTTTCTTTGTGTTTCAGCAAATGGAAAGCTTTTTGGTGACAAATCTTATTTTGACACATATTTTAGGAACATGCTTTGAAATTTTAGCAAAAACTACACAACACACTATGAATATTGACTACCATTTTGTTATGTTGGTGGCTGGTTTTGGCACAATTGACCACAATTATAATGACTTTTTTTGATTGCAAGGCCATGACACCATATCATCATGCATTCTTGATTGCTGGTGATTTTCCCTGTTGGGAAGTGGTAACATTTGACTTTTTATCATCAGTTTTTGGTTTTTAAATGGAGTTTTATGAAGTATAGTGTGTGTGTGAGTGAGTGTGTGTGTGTGTGTGTGTGTGTGTGGGAGAGAGAGACCTTTGCGCACTTACCTTTATACATCTGAAAAAATCAAAATAAGCAGCTCAGCTTTCAGAACATTGTAAACATAGAAGCTGTATTTATGTAAGCACAATATAATTGGCTTTTATACTCCATAGAATAAAAAAAAAAAAAACTTTCTGTCCAAGCCTATTTAAAGGTTTAATGGTGCCAACTGATGATCAACAGTAAAAATGCAACTTTTACTTCTTCCCAACAGGGAAAACCACAAATCAGGAATGCATAATTATATGCTGTCAAAATGGAATTATAATGGAAGTCTATGGACCAAAAACAGCCAACAACATAATGAAAGGGTGGTCAATTTAAACAATACACAAGTATAACACTATTGGCTAACCTGTAAAATGCATTCGGCACAAACTGTGCTACAATAATGTGTGAACAAAATGTATATATAAGGTTGGATTATTTTTTTTAAATATACATATTATGTGATGTTTCTAGTTTTTTTGGGGGAAGTCACATAAAACACATACTAAATAGTTCTACATCCAATCATTGATAAAGCTGTCTTGCAGGCTAAAGAATGTTCTTCCAAAACTATGCAAAAATCATTATGATCACATGCAACAATGCAATGTTGTTTTGCAAAACAACATAAAGAACTATGAAAATGGTGTACTTGCTTTAAATACTGTACATAAATTCGACAATTCTGTATAAATTGAGTAAGAGAAGCTGAATAATTGTATTTTTGTGTTATACAAATATATTTTGGACAATAGTTCTATTTTTCACTACTAATACATTTATCAAGATGATTGCACAATATATTGACGTATGAAATATGGTGTCATTGCTTGGAATGCTTTCATGTTTTTATAAATAAAATGTTCAGCTTTTCTCTTTTTTGAAGATTAATTCACAAAAATTAAAATTCTGTCATCATTTACTCACCCTTTACTTTGTTTAAACCATCATGAAAAGAAGAAAAGAAGATAGTTTGAAAAATGCTGAAAACATGTAACCATTGACTTCCATGGTATTTGTTTTCCTTCTATGGATATGAATGGTTTCAGCTCTCATTAAAAAATCATGTTTTGTGTTCAACAGAAGAGATAAAATTGTAAATAAACCATTTGGAAACACTTCAGGAGGAGTAAACATTGAAAAATAACATTTTGGAGTAAACTCTTTAAAAAGCTTAAAATATTATAAAAATAAGACCAAAAGTGACTCAAATTTGAATAATTACAATCTTAAATTTGGTTTACTATGCACTGAAATGTATGTATTGAGTGAAGTAAATTAAATACAAATGTACCACTATGGAAGTCAAAGGCTACTTTTTCCGGCATTCTTAAGTATATATTGTTTTGTGTTCAACAGAGGAAATAAACTCAAACAGGTTTTGAAGAAGTGGAGGGTGAGTAAATTATGAACATTTTTTATTTTTTGGTGAACTATTCCTTTAATTTTCATCAGTAATTAATGAGTTTTTTTAAGTAACTTACCCCACATCTGTTTTAAGAGTTTGTTTTGGATGTAAAATCATTCATTATAATTGTGTAACAATAACCTGGGAGCATGTTTGGACAGATTTGTTCACTCACTGATAAACCGAGCTTTGGCATCAAGAGGGCTGATGGGGCCTAAGGTTGAAAACTGCGCTCGTATCGTAGCAAGGAGTCTTTCATCAGTAGAGTTGAGTCCATCCATCCGGGGATGATACTGCTTTATCTCAGCACTGGCCGGGTTTAGAAATAAGAGTGTCAGATGGGGAAACAATTAATGGATGCAGGTTTCATTTGATATTTTAGAAATCCGTCTGTGTGAGATGTATGAAATTACTTTGAGGGCAGATTATTTAGTCCAAGCGCAAGGTGTTGAAGAGCGGTCAGTTCTGCCACCTGCTGGTAAACTGTAGAACTGTTCATGGACAGAAACATTTTCCCTTCCAGATAACTGGCCACAAGCTGAAAAACGGAAAACAGTAATATTGTGAAATGTTACACATTTAAACATTTTAAGGTCAATATTATTAGCCACTTTATAATGTTTTCTATAGTGCTATAGTTCCTATCCTGCCCAGTTAACCTAATCAACCAAGTTAAGCCTTTAAATGTCACTTTAAGAAGTGTCAAATATTATTTACTGTCATCATGGCAAAGATAAAAGAAATCAGTAATAAGAAATGAGTTATTATGTTTGGAAATAGGTTGAAAAAATCTCTTTGTTAAACAGAAATCAATTAGTTAAATTTAAATTTATATATATATATATATATATATATATATATATATATATATATATATATATATATATATATATTTTTTTTTTTTTTTTTACAATGATGCCTCTTGTACATGGTCTTATTTTTATTTGGGAGAATGCTGTGTCAGTTCCAGACAGTCAAAAAAATAAAAAAAATAAGAATAAAATAAAAACTGCTGGTTAAACAAAAGGAGCGTTAAGTTAGGATTTCCCAGTAGTATGAATAATTTCAGGCTTGACTGTATATTTACATTACACATATTAACATGTCATTTGTGATTGTATTGCAGATTTCTTTTTTTTACCCCTCAAGTATATTTGAAGAATAGAAAGAAAAAAATTACATGTATTTAGAATATAAATAGCTTGTAACATGTTTTAGGTGTCAATTTTGCACACTTTGATGCTGAGAAAAGGTTCACTGGATTATAACTTTGCTTCACTACTGGTAACATTGTTTTTTAAATTTAAAATAAAAATGTATCAAAATATCAAAGAAGCTGCCATGTTTTTAGACATAATAATATTCATTTTCATAAAAAAAAACACAAAAGTATGCATATCAATCTCAAATGGGTGCTTAGCAAAACAAAAAAGTAAAACAAAAAAATATACATGAAAAGGTGAAACACCAAAGCTCCAAAAATATTCAATTTATATACTTTAAAAGGCCGTCACAGCATGTAACATTTCAAGTCCACCGTCCGTCTCTTCTTCAGACATTATTATACAACAGTTCTTTAAGGTTGAAAAATCATTATATAGTGGAATAAACAACTCATGAAAAATGAAAAATGTTGTTTGGCAAAATTCTATTTTCTGAAAAACCACATCTAATTAATTCAGATACGATGACAAATTTCAAGTTGTCTCTTACTGTAGTGTGTATAATATTTGACCTTTGAATGAATTCAAAAGCGTCAGTTTTACCAGCTGGTAGTGGAACTCCAGGTAAAGATCATTGCTGAACTGGAGTGGCTGTTTCCAGATCAGTCGTTTAAAGGAGAGGGCGATCGAGCCGTCATCCAGCAGGAAGTCAAACAGATACTCATCCGAGTGAATTGGACGTGTCACATCACCTACAGATACAGATTCATGTTAAGAACAGAAGGAAATCATAGACTGATTTAAATATGAGTCATGGGAGTAACAGTACATATACAGCATTTGTAACATATGGGTCTTGCCATTTCGGTTCTGTACCACAGCATGTGAAGTTAATCTAAAACTTCAAGGTTTAAATACATGCTGAAAAAAAATATATTTATTTTAAAATCCCAAGATTAATATTTTGGTCTTTGCTGTTTTAGTTAATGCAAGACTAAAGGTTAGCATATAAGTACTAGATATTATAATATGTGTCTCTAGTCCAATGAATGTATTATATCCAGATCAATTAATAAATATCAATCAATTGGTGTAGTTTGGCTCTATTTTTAAATTGAAACTTAACAGGGATAGTTCACTTGTCACTTCACCTGTTTGATTTGCTTTTTTCTGTTGAACACAATAAATCGTTTTGAAAAACGTTGGAAACCACTGACTTCCATAGTATTCTTAGTTAATTTTTCATACAATGAAGGTCAATGATAACCATTTTCTAATTCTTCAAATGATCTTCTTTAGTGTTCAACAGAAACTCATATAGTTTGTTTGCTTTATTTATATAGCACATTGAAAAAGAACAAATGTTGACCAAATTGCTTTACAAATTCAACCAACACACAAAATCTATACTTGTATATGTAAACAAAATCAAATTAATTACAATTAAATGCAAGAGACAGAAGATGATTTTTTAAATCAGATTTAAAGCACCGAGGGAAGAGCATGACCTAATAAAAAAAGGCAAACCATTCCATAGACTAGGGGGAAGCAATTTAAAAAGCCCTGTCTCCTTGTTTTAATCGAGACTTGAGAACACCTAAAAGAAATTGTTGTGCCGACCGAAAAGGCCTTGATGAAGTATGCCAGTGGAGAAGCTCACCAATGTAATTAGGTGCTACATAAAGTTGAATTATTAGCCTCCCTTTGAATTTTTTTCAAATATTTCCCAAATGATGTTTAAAAGAGCAAGGAAAATGTCACAGTATGTTTAATAATATTTTTTTCATCTAATAACCATTTTAGGGTCAAAATTATAAGCCCCCTTAAGCTATATATTTTTTTCTATAGTCTATAGAACAAACCATTTTTATACAATAACTTGCCTAATTACCCTAACCTGCCTAGTTAACCTAATTAACCTAATTAAGCCTTTAAATGTCACTTTAAGCTGCATAGAAGTGTCTTAAAAATATCTAGTTAAATATTATTTTCTGTCATCATGGCAAAGATAAAAGAAATCAGTTATTAGAAAGGAATTATTAAAACTATTCTGTTTAGAAATGTGTTGAAAAAAATCTTTTCTCTGTTAAACAGAAATTGGGGTGGAAAAAATAATCAGGGGGTTAATAATTCAGGGGGGCTAATAATTCTGACTTCAACTGTATATATAGATTGGGATCCATAGTAAATAGTGACTAATTATAATTCTTTTTAATATTATTATTGTATATGGCTCCTATACACAGAAGTTTATAGCATTGTCTGAAACAGATTTCTTTATTCATTAAAAACATTTTATTAAAACTATTTAAAGTGATGTCGCGATTTATTCAGTAAACCAATGTTTAATGAAAATGAAATAAAAATAAGCAGTTTTATGTTTAGTTTTCACTTTTGTTGAACCAAAAACCAAGCAAAGCATGATTTTAAAACCAAAACTATACATTATTATTGTTTTAGATTGTCATAATTCATGCTATTAACTACTGGTTTATTACCTGCCTATTATTAAGGTATTACCTGTTCATTAGTAGTTACAAAGTATTATATAATTCTGCATCAATAATCCTAAATCCTGCCTAAAACCTAAATCAAACTTCTTCCTTACTTACTATTAATTAGCTAGTGTTAGTTGATGGTTTGATAATACTGTGAATTGTGACCTCAATTAAAGTGTACTGCTCCATTTTTAATGTAAATATGTTTAAGTGTGCTTAAACATATCAGAGGAAATCTTACCCCCTTTTTTAGCAGCATGGATAGAAAACTCCTTCATTTCAGCAGGATTCATGATGCCCATCTCAGTGCAAAAGTCTTGTACCACCTCAAATGCAACCTAAAAACAGGCATTAAATCACTACATGTAAACAACACATCATCTTTTAAAATTAAAAGACAGAACAACTGTCCCTCGCTTACACTAAAGCTGCGAATCTTGCAGGCAAACTCGGTTCCACCAGGAAGCATGATGGGTAGCCGACGAGAGTTTCTTCCAGCCTGCATACAAAAAATCATTTCACAATTTACACGACCTCCTCTGCTTAAAATCGTTTCTTTTTCATTTGTCTTCTCTTACCAAAATGGCCTCCATCTCAGAATGTGAAGGGATGTGTCGGCGTCCTCCGAAAATGAGTGACCGTTGGAGATTCTTTGCACATATATTTGCCAATTCTATAGACAAATAATATATTCACACAAATCATAAAACACAAACACGGCTATTCAAAGCACTGTGTGATCAGGTTATACAGGAAAACAGAAAGACAAATGAATCATATACACAGGGTTTGGCACAGCAGCAACCTTCTTGCTTTGAGGTGACAGTGCAACACGGGCTCATTCTGAAAGCGTAACGATACATACATTTCTGGAGAGCGCCAAATATGCCCTAGGAATAAATATGTCCTATGTCCTACACTTTCTCATACAGTGCCACCTGCTGTTGGGTTGGCAACACATGTGCCTTTATCCACTGGCACGACTCTGCCCTTCACTCAGTGTGATCAATCCTTAATGATAAAAAAAAACAATAAATGACTGAAAATATATAAGTAACTGAACAATATCTATTTACAAAAACCATAGGTCTGGAAGTGCAGGTCTGAGCCGTTCGAGTGTGCAGTTGGATCTCTGGATCTGCAGCTTCATAATTTTGCTTTTTTGCAGTTTTTGTTTTCGTGAATCCACCAAAGGCCGCTGTGCACGCTTTTTGAGATCTCAGATTTCTCTCTAGAAATCCACCAAAGGCCTCTGTCAACTTACTGACTGACCAATCGACTGACCCACCCTCCTCCTTCCCTAAACTCAACTGATAGTGTTTTCAAAAGCACAGATTGACCAGCGCCCACCCACTTCCTTAAACCCAACTTACAGTGTTTTGAAAAGCAATCCAGAAAAAGAAAAGCTCTCGCCTGATTTTTACCACATTTTTTACCATATTCTCACCCTGTTATTTACTTGTATATTTTTTTTTTTCCTTTTGCTTTTGTCTTACCTGCTTTCTGGAACCGTTCTTTACGGGACTTAAACCCCGTCATTGTGGTCAACTCCTCTGCGTCTTAAGTCCGCCGACGCACAATGCGAGCCACTAGACAAACTGGTAACAGCGGGAAAGCTGTCCACACGGAGGTAAGTGATCAGCCGCTTGTGCAAAAAGGAATGGTGTCATACCACCCCATAGGGTTCGTTTTAAAGACAAAATGCAGCCGTACATACTTCTGGCTACATACAGTAATTGGCGATCTCCAGAAATGTATATAGGGCTATGTTTTCAGAATGAGCCTATGTTGCGACAGTGCTAACCACTGAGCCACCGTCCCGCCCTCTTAAACAAAACAGACAGTTTTATTAAACCGTTATATTTATTAAAATAAAAGTTTGGTCATCTAAACTGTAAAAAAGCTGGTCTCTACACAATCCCTTCACCTCGCCTCAACGCAAATCGATTAAGTTAATGTAATAGTGTTTACAATTCAAAGTGGATTGTATGTAAAACAATTAAGATGTCCCTAAAAAACTCAAGACTTGTGTTGTTTCAGCTCATTTTAAATGAGTAGTTTGAACAAGCAGCAAAAATATATATTTTTGGAGTGCAACGTCTTTAGAAATAGAAAGATAATATAATTAAATTCAAAAACTGTTACTGTTAACACATTATGAACTACAACATTTCAACAAAATGTAATAATTTTTATGTTTCTCTTGATTTTTACTGTTAATTAACATTTTATTAAATACTTCCCTCCAACTAATTAATTTTAGTCTACTCAATTTTGCACTGTGATCTTATTATTTATTTATTTTTGTTAGATTAGTTCCAGTTTTGGCTTTGGTACTGATTAATATAATGCATATGCACAAACATATTAAAATAAAGCATCCTGTATAAAATATTCCTTTAAAAGAGATATATGTGAGGGGTTTAACTCGTTTATGCTGAGCACTGCATGATATAGACTAGTGGTTGCGTCATTGAAGCAAGTTTGCACTATAGATATAAATATAAAGTGAGTAATTAGTAATTACCTTGATATGGGTGGTTGGCATCTTGAATGATGGTGTCCAGATGGCGAGTGCAATATGGAAGAAGAGTGTTGGAACAAGGGAAGAATCCAGTCACCAGATTAAACAAACGCCAGCCACGAGTACAGTTCTCCCTAAAAAACAAAAATGAGAAAAACTAGAATTAATTAAAAAATAAATATGATATAAATAATAGTGCTGGTCAAAGATTAATCACATCCAAAATAAAAAAGTTGGTTTTGACTTAATAAATGTGTGTATTATATATATTTATAATGTATACTGTATGTTATACACACACACACACACACACACACAGAGAAAAAAACTTTACAAACATATTTTATTACATAGATATTTAAATTTATATATATTTGTATTGGTGGCTCAGTGGTTAGCACTGTTGCCTCACAGCATGAAGGTAGCTGGTTCGAGCCAAAACAGTGACAGATGGCATTTCTTTGTGAAGTTTGCATGTTCTCCCCAAGTTGGCGTGGGTTTCTACATGAGGAACACAAAGTAAAAGCAAAGCAAAAATTCATAAGTGTCTGTTTAGGGCAATTGCCAGGTATAATTAATCAAAAGGTTGAATTCCCTTTGATGCATGGTTTGTCATCAGAGGAGGATTTTTGCCTAAGATACAACTATTTGTATTTTTGGAATCTGAGGATTCAAATATAAGTAAATATTCAGAAAACTGCCTTAGAAGGTGTCCAAATTAGATTTTTAGCAATGCATTTTAGTTATGAAAAATTACGTTTTCAAATATTTACAGAAATAAAGGTAGATAATGTCTTTATTGAACATGATGTTAACTTAATTTTCTAATGAATTTTGGCATATCCATCATTTTCATTCATAAATCATTTTGGCTTTTCCCACAGATATACCTGTGCAATATAAGAATGGTTTTAATCCAATTAAAAAAACGTTTTTAAAATAGTATTACTTTTTGCCATGACTATTATGATGACATCATCATTATAATACATTATTCAGGATTCCGTTACGAACAGTTCAAGTTCAAAAACAGAATTGATTTGAAATAGAAGTCTTTTGGAACTAAATACTGTAAATGTTCGATGAATTCAATACATCTTTAAAAGTCAAAAAACTCACACTTTATTTTGATGGTCCATTTGTTGAATTAAAGTTACATTGCATCTACATGCCAACTAATTCTCATTAGATTATAAGTAGTACTTGCAAAGTTTCTTATAATCAGTTAAATGTCTGTTGAAGGAGCAGTATCAAGCACTAATACTCACTAATACTACTAATACTCAATTGGCCCATCAAAATAAAGTGTTACCAAACTTCTGCACACAAATGTCTACTGCACAAAAATCACTCACTTGATCCGGTGTTTGGTGGTCTGCTTGATGACCTGACAGTAAAGCTCATCCCTAAGGAACTCCTTCTCTTTTCCCAGCTAAATCAAAACACAAGTTTTAGTGTTACATACGTAAAAAATTCACAATAGTTCTCATATTGCTATAGATTTTTTTTAAAGTAAGCTCACCTGCAAAATGAAGTTAACACAGTCCCCTTCTGTCTGGTTTTTCTTCATAGGCTGATCCAACATAAACTGCATTACAACTGAGGAAAGAATTCTTGTGTCAGATAATTGCATTCTGGAATGCTTAATTCTGTCAGTCTGTCATTAGCTCGGTTATACTGAAAACTAAATATATATATATATATATAAATTACTGCTTTCCAAGCCTTCATCCATTTACAGTATCTATTAATGTAAATTTTTTTTTTATTTTAGTTACTTTTAAAATTAATGTTAAAATTTTGACTCACTTAAAAAAAGTTACTTAAAAGGCTCTATTTAATGATCTAGGCACAAAGTCTAAAGCGCATGACGCAAAAGCATTAAGGGTGAGTCCAAATCCACTTTTGCTATTTTAAGTACGTAAAAATTTGCTCTGCGGCCTGGTGCATAGTCTAACAGGGTTGTGCTTATTCTCTTCATGAGTTATGGGAGTGTTTTGAGCATAACATGAATGAGAATCTCCCATTCCCTTTAGGAGTCAGTTGTGCCACACCATGGCGCATTTGCCATTTACAAGGCGGACTTTGTAGGTAGAAAAACTGAACGCTTCACTAGCAAGAAAACAGTTAAACAGACCAACTGCAGCGCAAGGATAGAAATTAAGCATCCTCCATTCGGCCTCTTTACTTTTACTCTTTACTTTTTCCTTTACTGTCATGTATAAGGAAACAGTGTTATATGCATCCACTGATGACATCTATTAGCCTACATATTTAATTTTGTTTGTTAAAAGCTTACTAAGCAGCTCAAAAATTCACAATTGCACAATTAATTATTTTCTGACTGAATCTGCTTTTGAATTAATCAAATAAACCAAATATCTTAAGATTCTATTCATAGACAATTCTAAAAATAAACAAACAGGCAAATAAACAAACAAGCCTTTTTGAACAAATGATTTGGATTAGTGATTCAGGGAATCACAGGGACGTCTCTGTGATACCTTCTGGAGGTTTTAGAGTCATGTTTATTTTAAGTACCAACATAAAGACATCACTCACACCTCTTAGGGCTCTATTTTGAAGGTCCATGCGCAAAACGCAAAGTGCAAACGCTTTCAGGGCGTGTCAGAATCCATACCTGCTAATTTAAGGACGGGAAAATCCGTTTTGCGCCATGGCGCATGGTCTAAAAGGGTTGAGTTTATTTTCTTAATGAGTTATAGGTGTGTTTTGAGAATAAACCAATCAGAGTCTCATCTCCCCTTACCTTTAAGAGCCAATTGCGTCGCGTCATGATCGCATTTGCTATTTACATAACGTAAAGTAAGTTCACTTTCGCTTTTGCTCTCGTGGGATAGGGAAGCCTTTACGCACAAACATCTATTAGCCTATAAATAATTAATTTCGTTTGTTAAGCGCAAAGATTTGTTTCAAAACTATTTCTAAATTCAGTTCTAATTTCCAGCAAACGAATAAATTAACATTGATAACGAAGTGTGTTCAAAATACTGAGTTATTTCCAAATACACCTGCCATGCCCCATATGGTCTAAAACCTGACAGGTGGACAAATCTAAGCTTGTTTTTAATAAAAAAAATATAAACATGGATATAATAAATAATACTGCTAATAATAATAACATTATACAAAAGCAAATTGAATGAACTGAAAAAGCCTCCCGAGATGAAGAAAGGCAGTGGTTTTTAAATTAATGTAGGCTAGAAATTAATATGTTTTGTAATATTTTAATCATTTATATTTATATCCTATATATATACTTATTATATATATCCTTAATATATTATATCTTTTTCATATGTAAAGATATTTGCGTATTGCTCTGCATTCTGTTTTGTAGTGTGTAAGCCAGGCACACTTTGTGCCAGACAAATAGACCGACTTTGTTCTGGTCTAAAGATCAGACTATTTACAGTTTCTCAAAATAGCAACGCGCCAAAACACGCCTGCTTTTTTAGACCAGAACGCCTATAGGCGCACATACGAGCGCAAATGCATTTGCTATTTAAACAGTGTGGCGCAACACTTCAAAATGACCCTTGCGCCGAGGTGAAAGTAGCAAATAGCAATTGCGTTGCGTCTTGCGCCACATTGCGCCGGGTGTATGATAGAGCCCAAAAATTTACATTTAAATTGATTATTTTAATATTGAAATTAAAATTAAATAAATGTCAAATTTAATTATTTTAAAACTAAATTAATAAAAAAATCATAAAAAATTTAATTAAATTAAAAATTAAATAAATACATAAATAAATTAATTAATAAAATTAAATAAATAAATAAAATAAAAAGTAAAAAAAAACATGATTAAATAAAATTAATAAAAAAATAAAAATAAATGAATAAAAAAATTAACGTTGCGTCTGTGTGGCTAAATTTATTCACTTACCCATGAAGCTTTGCGCACCCAGGCGAGTGAGCTCACTGTCTGAGAAAAGGATCAGTGATTCCTGAATGGGATTCTAATAACACAAAACACAAAGCAAACCAAAACAATTAAACAGACTCATTAAATCCCCACATACACAGAGAATAAGATAAGCATACTTACAGGAGTGTATTCCACCATTTCATTAAGACTTCTCATGTTACCTCTAAGCAAGCAGAGCAACAAAAATCAATGCTCAGAGGAGTTTTTGAAGTACAATGCAAGGTTATTTTATATATTTCCAGAGGTCTTTACCTGTTGATAGCTTCTGTGAAGAACTTGCTGGCGAACTCCGTCATGATGAACTGCTCACGTTCTGGTTCAGATCTCTGGATTGAGGCCACTTCTACACTGTATTCACTGCCGCCCGCCACTGAGCGGGCAACAGACATGTTGTAGATGGAGCCATTTGTTGATGTGTTGATTTCAGCAACATTGGCCGGCATATTATTAATGGAGCCATTGGATGGTACGATGCGGGAAGAGCTGGTGACTCTCATACTCTTTTTCCGTTCCAGCTGTCGGTCCATGTTGCTGCTGTGGTAATCTGGTGGAGCACAAGGCTGAGTGACATCAACTGGGAAGAGTCCTGAACGGCCTCCACTCGAACCAAACATCCATCCTGAAAAGGCATAAGTAAACCCATATCAGGTCTTGTACTGTACTTTACACAGGTTTGAGCCCCCCTAATTAATGCTTGATACCCCTGAAGGACGTCAAAACAAGATGTGTAGGGGTCAGCCCTTAAAATTGTGCAAAATAGTTTGCTCTGTAAAAATAATAGTAATAATACCAACAATAAGTTAATACAAATATAAATACATTGATCAGGGAGACTGGATGATGGATAGTATTGTTGGGTCTTTGTTGGGTTTAAGGAAGAGTGAAATTGTGGCTGTAAACATGGTTTCTGTGAGTTGTGATTTTTTAGTTTTGATTCATTTAACTTTTGGGTGAAAAGTGGTGATAAAATTTATCAAAAGTGTTTGTAGAACTCAGTAGGGAAACCACCAGGACATGGTGCTTTACTGTTTGGAATTAGTTAAGGAGCTACAAAAATGTCTTGTTCTGTTAGAGGGATTCTAGAGTCGTTAATTTTCTCTAAGATAAAGTTAAATGTGAATTTTCTCATTATATAGATTTTTTTAACCTGCAGATTCCAGATTTTTTAAATAGTGGTATCTACCAACTCTACCCAAATTTTCTCTATTCTACCCTCTCCTATCTTACCCTATCTCACCCTACCCTATCCAATCCGACCCTATCTTACCCTACTCTATGTCCTACCTTATCCTACTCTACCCTGTCCTACCCTACCCTACCCTACCCTATCCTTTCCTTTCCTTTTCTTTTCTTTCCTATCCTATCCTATCCTATCCTATCCTATCCTATCCTATCCTATCCTATCCTATCCTATCCTTTAATATCCTATCCTTTTCTTTCCTATAATATCCTATCCTATCCTACCCTTTCCTTTCCTACTCCACTCTACCCTATCCTATTCTACCCTATCCTATCATATCCTAACCTACTCTATCCTATGCTACCCTATCCTATTATACCCTATCCTATCCTACCCTACCCTATCTTACCCTACTCTATCCTATAATACCCTATCATACCCTAACTTATCCTATCCTACCCTATCTTACCCTACCCTATTGTACCCTTTCCTATCCTACTCTAATCTATCCTATGCTACACTATCCTATCATACCCTATCTTACCCTACCCTATCATACCCTATCTTACCCTACCCTATCTTACACTATCCGATCATACCATATCATACCCTACCCTATCCTATCTTACCCTACCCTACACTACTCTATCCTATCCTATCCTATCCTATCCTATCCTATCCTACCCTACCCTATCCTACCCTACCTTACCCTACCCTACCCTACCCTATCCTATCCTATCCTATCCTATAATATCCTATCCTACCGAGAAGGCTACAGAGAAAGGCCTTAAGCTCCAAGTGGGCTGTACAAACCATGGAGCTTTTATTTATTTAATGTCTTGTACACGACACAAAATCCAATATTGTGCTTTATGAATGTCTACACCTACTCCAACCCTAAACCAAAGCTCACAGTAACCTGTTGTGTTTTATTAACATCTACACCCTTCCCAAACCCTAAACCCAACCTCACAGTAACCTGATATGTTTTATTAATGTTTACTCCACCTACACCACCTAATCCCAACCTACTTGTGGCATAAGGCCCTCCCACTTTGAGGTCACCCAACCAACTTGCAGTGTAATCCCTCCCACTTGGAGGTCTCCGGGCTGTAGCGATAACTACTTGATCCTACCTCACCTTACCCAACCCTACCTTAACCTATCCTATCTCACCCTACCCTACCCAGCCCTACCTTACACTACCCTACCCAGCCATACCTTACCCTACCATATCCTACTCTACCTTAAATCATTGTAATTTATTCAGCTTTCAGGTGATGTATAAATCCCAATTTTAAATAAATTGCACTTATTTGTTATGTAGTCCAGAGCCACACCCTACCCTACCCTAACTATCCTATCCTACCTTACCCTACCCTTCCTCATCATGTTTTTTCATGCTTTCTTCTTACCATCCTTGAGTCCGTCCATGTTCAAGAGTTTAATGGCGTCACCTCTGTGGAAGCTCAGCAAGCTCTTGTCATCTGTTACATAGCTTTTCACTGCGATCACATACTCTGAGTTCTGCAAATGGAAATGAGAGGATAATATTCTTTATAACATCAAAGAAATAACAATTACAATACTAAACATTGATTTATGAATTTTATCAATAAATTTCCCCATACAAACTTTTGAAACATCACTACAATACTTATGACATAAAACTGTAACCCACATTAACTCTTTTAAATGAAAGGTTAAACCACTAGCTATTATTCCAACTTTGAAAGACGGTTGTGCATTTCCAAACAAGGAACAAAATATACTATAGAACTCAATGGGTGCTCCTTTCCAACAATACTTTGTTTTTGTTTTTTTACAGAATAAAGAAACTCAAACAGGTTTGGAACAAGTGGAGAGTGAATAAATGATGATGAAAGATTTTACATTTTTGGTGAATAAACTTAATAAAAGCACCTTAATCAACTCCATGAGGAAGAGGCGAATAACAGCAGCGATTTGTGGTGCCTGTTGGGAATGCAGTTCCAATTCCTCATTGCTCAGAGTGATCACGACTTTACCGGTCCCTTTCTGCTGTACTGACAACACCTGTGAATAACTGAGAAGTAAAAAATATTATCATACAAACTGCAACAGTAAAGATCGTTATTATTAAATAAATTACTGCTCTTTTCTTTTTTTAACAAATCAGCAAACATTAGTTATACTGTTCAATAATGACATCTATTTAAAAAAGAAAACAAAAGACATACAGTATATGCAAACAATCAGGTTCCAGAAGTAAAAACTCTCCATAGGGAAACATCTGGACTTTTAACAATAACTGATAAACCTCTAAAGAAAGCCTTTTATCAGCTTTGAGGTTGTTAAAGGGATAATTTACTCAAAAAGGAAAATTTACACACCATTAACTCACCTTAAAGTGTTTTTTTTTCTTTTGTTAAACACAAATTAAGAAATTTTGAAGAAAGTTGGAAGCTGGTAGCCATTGAGTAGGAAATAAAAACCCTACATAAGTAAAATACTGCCCAACATTCTTTATTTGTGTTCATAGATATTTACACTAGATGTCGCCTACGCTGTTTTTGTCTATCGGAAGGAATGCGATCAATTAAAGTTGATATAATACATGTCTTGAAACACACCCCTCTCCTGCTTTTACTTCTAATTCTAACTGAGGGAGCGATTCGTTTGTGAATGAATCCTCGTTATGAACGATTCGAGTGAACCATCGATATCCCTGTGTCTCAATGTGCACATCGACCTTTCTGATCTAAACGGTTTATAACATTTTAACATTCAATAATTTAGGGTGGAAAGTATGCACACTGAGGCGCAGGCACTGTTGTGTTATCAGGCACTTTTTAAAGTTGCTTCAAAAACTAGCCGTTACTTCATTTAGCCGACAATAATACAAGTTACTGGCACCACATCATCTTGTTGTCATGTTTCATTTACATTGTTTGCTTATTTTATTTAACACAACTAGCATAAGCTTAGTATTTAGAGCAGGTTGGTGCTACTTTGACTATTAGTCAGTGCAGTAAGTGACTGTATTATCATCAATAACGTTACTTGTTGAGCACAAAAGTTTGTAACATACAAAAATTTAAAAAACGAAATCTTACCTATGAATTGTTCTACCTTTAAGCTTTGTTTTCTTTGTCTGCTCGTTACTACACCTGTACACAGCGCTAAAGTCCAGCATCTTCACATTGGCTTTGACTGGTGCAGTTGAATGACTTTCGTCCTAGGAGCACTGTACAAATGTGGCAGCGCTATTGACGCATGCTCAGGGTCTGTATTCGATATCTAGTGTATATATATCTATGATTTGTGTTCAACAGAAGAAAGAAACTCAAAACAGTTTGGAATAAGTGAAGGGTAGGTGATTTTGTGAAAATTTGTAAGTGATTATTCATGTATAAATTATCCCTTTAAATGGTTTTGCTAAACCCATCTGTTGGCATGACATTATCGTCACCCACTTCCATGAAGCCCCACAAACTATGTAAGAAAGTAAATCTGAAATAAATATTTGCTTATTAAACTTTATCTGTTGTAATTATTGTGTCATTTGCAATGCTTTATGAGATTGCAGATGTCCTCATTTATGCATGTCACTACAAATCCTTTGTCTTTTTATCAGATCTTTATATTTCTGATTTCCCTGCTTTAAATCTTTGCTTTATCCAGCTTAGAGAAGTCCTGTGGTGAAAAATACTTCCAGAAAACAAGAGTAGCTCCTTAAAAAACATTTGCCAAGACAGAGAGCAATTGAAAATAAAAACTATTTAAATTGTAATGTCAAATTATTTAATTGTAAAAGATCCCAATATCACAGTATTTTAATCAAATGAATACAATCTTGGTGAGATTTACTGTTAAAACATCTTGCTGACTGCAAACTAGAGTAAGTGATGCAAATAAATCAACAGTGTAAAGAAGTCATTGGGAAATTGAAGACAAGATGTTCCGTACCTAAAGGTGTGGAGCACTTTGAGGTGTTTGGGGTTTATTCCTGAAGCTCTGGCAACCTTTAGCAGTCTGATTCCTCTATGAGAAACTCCCAGCATCTGAGCATCTCCTCCATTCCCAACCTGATGAAGCGTGCATGCAAAAACATTTCAGCTCACTTCAATTTCATCATGTGTGTTTATGTGCATTATATCAGGACAAGTGTTTCACCTTCACATTAAAGAGACGTGCGAAGTAGTTGGACCAGTTGTCTCTGGCTGCCATGACGATTCTTTTCTTCATAGCATCATCTAAAGACCTGATATTGGTTCCAATATGGAAGCTCGCTGATGATGCAAATAGAAATGCAAATAAACTCTACTGAAATATGGAGAATCTAGCTGAATTATGCTTAGACTGATCAGATTATGCATCTGTCCTACCCAACAGGTCTTTCATTTTACGCCGTTCTTCACGTGAAATCCTCAGACATGAATCAGAGTAAGTGTCTCGCATGATCTAAAAAACAGTGGGAGAAACTACAGTATCTTAATTTTAAACGGTAGCACTTAATAAAGATCCCAAAATAATCAGAGCAAGCAATGGCATTTGCTACTGACCTGCTCACAGAGTAAATTGAGGGTGTATGGGTGGTTGAATTTTTCCCTGGGATAAAACAGCTGGGTACAAAATAAAACAAATACAATAAGTTGACATCAATAAGCCAGAAGAAGCTGCACAAGTCACATGAAGCACATAAAGGCTTAGTTACCTCCTTGCGAAGGAACAGTTTGCCAGGCATAATGGGATATGAAAAGTAGACGCTGGCTGAGAATTTGTGCAACTGGGAACGAACGCTCTCCTCCTCTGCCATCATGTTGAGCTGATCTTTAGGAACACACACAAATGCATGGGATTGTATAAGCAACGGCATGGGTTGCTGAAAATTTGATGAACTTCCAACTAAAATTTAATATTGAGTAGGGGGCGGGGCTTTCTTTTGCACATCATTCTCTCATCGCAAATTTGCATTCAATAATAAGCAATTCCCCTTGTACTGTACCTTCTGATACACTTACGTTGAAATTTAAGTGTGCTTTATTTTCTAAAATAAAAATATTAAACTTTAAATGTAGTATTTAAAAAAATCTAATACATATTTCCACAAAAAAATCACACTAATTAATGATTAATTAATTAAAAAATAGTTAATATATTTATAGTTCCACATAATTATAAAGTATACATTATTTTCCTTTTTAAAATCATTACACAAGTTTCACTCCCTGTAATATTTTAATTATTGTAAAAATTTACACTGAAATATTTCTTAAGAGACATATGCTCAAGCAATAAAATGGGCCAATTATGCATTTTTTTATGATACATGTATATTATAAATATAATTTGAATGTCCGCAGAATAACTCTGCAAAGTCTCAGCTCAGAGTATCTTAAAGTCTTTGTGAACTGGAATTTGCTGAGACTTTTATCTCCGATGTACTTTCAACTGAAATGGAATATTGAGTAGGGGCGGAGCTTTCTTTTGTGTATCATTCTCTCATAGCAAACTAACGATAAGAAGGGGGTGGTTAAGGATATTGATGTACAGTTGCTATGGAAGCCCTCAGGAGGACGTCAACAGAATGACTGTCACTCCAAACATGGAAGCAAATGATTGAAGATTACCAAAACAAACTTTTCCTTCAGCGGACTTACTTGCACTAATTAATAATTCATTTAAAGAATAACAACGTGAGCTATCAAAATAAACATTGTAAATTTTGATTTCTGGCGGTATGGTGACTCAGTGGTTAGCACTGTCGCCTCACAGCAAGAAGACTCAAGTCCCATATAACCTAAATTTATTTGGATTAACTAAATTTGCCGTCGTGTATGAATGTGTGTGTTAATGTGAAAGTGTATGATTGTTTCCCAGTAATGGGTTGAGGCTGGAAGGGCATCGGCTGCATAAAACATATGTCGGAATAGTTGGCAGTTCATTCTGCAGTGGCGACCCCTGATAAATACGGAACTAGGAAGAAGAAAATGAATGAATGAATTCTGATTTCACTTGGACTTTAAGGTCAATTATATCATCACGTAAATCTGTTTTCGTTCAGTCCACGCCTCCTATTCAAACGAGGGCGGAACCTTTTCAATAAGCAACAGTTCACACTAAAGGACATTAAAAGTGCATAAAAGACCCCCTTTAGACATATCTGAAACACTACATACACTGCATTTACAGATGCGCCATACTGAATAATTTGCAAATGTCTTACTGAGAGCAGGTGCAGGCTGTCTCGGTGGGTCGGGGATGGGGGGCGGTGGAGAAGGTATGGATTCACGAGCACGAGGCAGAGGCTGAGAGCGCTGAGAACCGAACAGATCAGCTAGCGAAAGCTGCTTCTGTTTCATGCTATTGGAGATGGAGCGAGGCCCACGGGACTCAAGCTGCTGAGGGGGTGAAGGGGGCTTCTCTACCCACTGTTTCTGCAGCACAAACACATAGAAGAGTCACAATCAATTTCTGCATTCTCAAATTATCAATTAAAGCACTACATTATGACATCTCATTTGGTTCAATATCGTCTACCTTCTGATGACTGACAGGGCCCTGAGATTTGAGAATGGCTAGTGCCTCATCTTTGGGGTCATTTTTCTTGAGAAATTGTTTGGCCGGAACCCTGTGTAGAACAAATCCTTCAATTTTTATCTGGAAATCACTCTTAGATAAAAATGTCAAGAGACAGAACATTATGCAAACATTCAGTAACAGCAGAGGTTGTATTAAATTAATGAAACTCGCAGTGATCATTGCTATCTACATTATTTATGTATGTTTTTTCTTCTGTTGAACACAAATAGCTTTTTCTTAAATTGTTGGAAACTTTTACCCATTAACTTCCAGAGTAGGAAATTAAAACACTACGTTACTGCTATATAATATACTACTAGAATAGAAACAGTTGAAGTCATATTTATTAACCCGCCTGAATTATTAGCTCCCCTGTTTATTTTTTTCTTCAATTTCTGTTTAACAGAGAGCAGATTTTTTCAACAGATTTCTAAACATAATAGTTTTAATAACTCATTTATAATGACTGATTTATTTTATCTTTGCCATAATGACAGTATATAATATTTTTTCAGGACAATCTATACAGCTTAAAGTGACAATTAAAGGCTTAACTAGGTTAATTAGGTCAACTAGGCAGATTAGGGTAATTATGCAAGTTATTATATAATGATGGTTTGTTCTGTAGACTATCGAAAAAATATCAACTTAAAGGGGCTAATAATTTTGATCTCAAAATCGTTTAAAAAATTAAAAACTGCTTTTATTCTAGCCAAAATAAAACAAATAAGACTTTCTCCAGAGGAAAAAAATATTATCAGACATACTGTGAAAATTTCTTTCTCTGTTAAACATAATTTGGGAAATATTTAAAAAATAAACAATAAAAATGAAGGGAGGGTTGGGGAGGGGGGGGGAGCTAATAATTCTGACTTCAACTGTATGTAATGCAAAAGAACACAGCAAGAAAAACAATTATGCCAGATTTGATTTTACCTTTGGGTAACTGGAGAGCTACAGTAAGTAGAGTCGATTTGTGACCCACCTGACAGGCTCGTAGGCTTTAGGTTCTGGATTGGGACGGTTTTGGTACTGCTTGATGATTTCTCTTATGTTACTGGTTGGCTCTGGTTTAGGAGATGTGGGTTCTGGAGATTCTCGTCCAGATTTTTGGATTTGAGGAGGTTCTGGGAGAGGTTTCACTGTGTAAAGAAGAGTTTTCAGTTATAGTTTTTTTGTATGATGACTGTATAAACAGAGGAGACACCAGTTATATCTCATTTGGGAAGTTTTTTAATCCCAGAAGAGATAAACAATTAAAAAAAGTTTTTTTTTGTACCCTCAAAATACACATTGATAAAATATATTTAGCTTTTATGTCACACTTTTGGTAATTAATTTTGTTTGTAATGATGATTTAGCAGATTAAAAAAAACGTCTGACCTTGAGTCTTTACTGGAGGTGGTGATTTGGGTTGGGACACAGGTGGATTGGCATATATCAGTGGCTTCGCAACCTTTGGCGCAGGCTTTGGTCGTGTGTCTGACGTACCTGCGATGCACAAAGGTAGTGAAAATCTTTAATGCCATTTTGCCTTAATTGAGCAATTTTAAGGATTCAGATTTGCACACTCACCAATCTTTTGAAAAAAATCCCTCTTTTCTTTGAAAGACCCGTGATCTTCTGGGGCCCTAACATCCCTCTCAGTCACAGGCTGGGTATTAAAGAACACATTAAGATTTAAAGAGTTGAAACAATCAATCCCTATATTGTGCTCAGCATATACGAGTACACCCCATTTTGAAAATGAATATTTTTATGCATTTCTCAGTGAATATATGTAATATATTTTGGTGCACTTGAACAAAACTGATTTATTAAACAGATATATTTATTAAATAATATTTTAGTCACCAAACATATTTAGAAATAAAAAGATAATACATTTAAATTCATGCAAAATACTGCAAAAAATACAAACGACAACATTTCAACAAAATTGTAAATATTTTTTTGTTTCTCTTGATTTTTTCTCTTTTTAAAATTTGTTTTTAATATTTTTCTCTAACTTATAAATTTGGGCTCCTAATTTTTTAACCATTATTGTAAGTTATTTTGCTAGAATAGTTCCAGATTTGGTTTCAGTACTGACTAATCTAATGTATCTGCACAAATATAATATTGTAAAGCTTCCTATAAAAAATATTAATTTAAATGAGAGATTTGTGGGGGGTGGACTCATATATGCTGAGCACTGTATACCCACACTTTTCATGATGCATTGTGTGAATTAAAGGAGTAACTTCTGTTCATTAAAAAGGTGTCATTATTCTCCTCACCGTTCATCCATCTGATATTGAAAACAAAACTTATTAGAATTAACAAATGACTATGAATAACCCAAAAGATTCAAATCAAGTCATTCTGCAGCAATGCAGAATGCATTGAATATTACAACTGCATGCAAAAGAGTTTTAGCCACAAATATGCTTGTGCTACTTATGTCACATTAAAATACCAAAAGTAAAGATATTTTCACGACGGATAAAAACAAAGCATGAAGCCAAATGTACCTCTCAATCAGTTTTTCAAAGTGCACACAGACTATTTGTATCACAACCTTATCTTTATTTAAAGGGGTCCTATTATGCTTTTCACTTTTTGAATGTTAGCCAGTGTGCATGTTTGGACATAAAAAAAGATTCAAAGGGTTACAAATTACAGGTCCATTCCAAAGGGAGATTTAAAAAAAAAAAAAACTACAACAAGTTACTCATTTGGTCAACAATAATTACTTTCTGGTCTTAATGACAACACAGAGTGGCCCAAATCTGGCCTATAAAAATTTGAATAGTCAAAATTTGAATGTTAAACAACAACAGCATCCCATTAAACCCATGTAAAATGATTTGTTCCAGTTCTTTTCAAAGGAAGTTCCCTTCCCATAATTTTGAAATTCAGTAGTGGCATGTGGATTGAGTAAAAGGAAACAGGTGAGTTTTATTGGTGTACCTCAGGGCTGCGGGGTTTTGGAAGGGGCTCTGGGGCTTGTTTGGGGGTCTGATGATTGGTTCTTTGGCTCTGGGGGCGGCTTCGAGGTTTGGGTGAAGGTGAGCGTGACGGTGAGCGTGCGCGTGGAGGAGAGCGCCGCCGCTGGCGTGGGGACTGTCTCTGTGACTCACGCCTGCGCATCTCATCCTGCTGCTGTTTCTGAGACAGTGACATTGCCTGCATGGTCATTTGCTGAGCCTGCCAGAAAAAAAAGAGATTTCTGTGTTGAAAATTGTAACACTTTATGCGGTTCCATATATATATTTTCAAGTAAACATGGCAATATTCACACTGCAAAAATGTTTTCTTTAACTTTTTTTTGTCTTTTTTTAGTCCAAATATTTAAAGATTCTTACATGACAAAGCATTTTCTAGACAAGTCTTGTTTTCAGAAATAATATGACAAAATTAAAACAAGCTAAATAATCTGCCAATAGGATAAGCAAAATAGTCTTGTTTTTTCTTTTGACGTGAGATTACCCCATTTGTTTACCCCATTGGAAGATTATTTAGCTTGTTTTGAGAAAAAACTCACTAAATTTAAGAATATTATTTCTTAAAACCACCCAATGTGGTTTGCTTGTCAAGAAAAGGCTTCTTGATGTAAGAATGATTAGATATTTGGACTAGAAACAAGACAAAAAAATCTAAGTAAGAAAAGCTTTTTTTGCAGTGCAATCATTTAATACATCGCTTTAATGAATATGCACAATATTAATATTGTTGGACTTCAAAATAGCATGAAGTATTCAGTCTCTGATTTTGCAATTGTTTTTAGAGCATTTTTTTCTGTTTAATGGAGGAAATGTATGAGACTGAATGTAGGTGACACTGCATGCAAGAGATAAACATGTCTCAAAGTACTACTGGTCTACTGACAACACAATATCATTGTAATGTTATGTAATTAATATCAGCAGTGACGATGATGATGCAAAACAAATGTTTTTTGTGTGTGTTTTTTTTACAATATTGATGAGAATTTTCATTTAAATATATCAAGGCATGAAATGAAAAAAACATCTAATCTGAGAATTACCAGCATCAACACCCCTGACATAACTTAGATTTTATTATGTCATTCCAAATGTATAACTCATCATGACTGATCAAAAAAAAAGTTTCCAAACAAGTAAATCAGGCATACACAATCATCATAAATACACAATTATCATAAAAATTCACTCACAAAAATGTGTTCAGGGGAGAAAGGGACAAAGGCTAAATATATTTTACAAAATTCTTTTAAACATTGAGTTTAAGAAAAGAGCATCCTAAATAAAATGTACTATAATTTATTATTATTATTTTTATATAATTTCCCAGACACTTTTTTTGGATTTATAAGAAGGAATTTGTTGTTTTTAATAAATGTCATGATGACATTTTTTTAACTTAACAAAATAAGTTAATCATGTTCCAACAGTTTCAACAAGATTCAGCTTGATGTTTCAAGTCAGTTGAATTGAAGTTGAAATGACTTGTTAAGTCTAAAAGGCACTGTTAATTTTTAGTATGCTTTGTAGTTGCACGTTTGAAATGTGCTTGGCGGCATGGTGGTTCAGTGGTTAGCACTGTCGCCTCACAGCAAAATTGCTGGTTCGAGTCCCAGCTGGGCCAGTTGACATTTCTGTGTGGAGTTTGCATGTTCTTCCCATGTTCACATTGGTTTCCTCCCCCTCGCTCCAAACACATGCATTATAAGTCAATTGAATCAACTAAATTTGCCGTAGTGTATGATTGTGTGTTTGATTTAGTGTGTATGGGTGTTTTCCAGTGGGTTGCGGCTGGAAAGTCATCCGCTGGGTAAAACATGCTTAAATAGTTGGCAGTTCATTCAGCTGTCAGAACCTCTGATAAATAAGGGACTAATCAGAAGCAAAATGAATGAATGAAATGTGCTTGGACTGTTGAACTCACCAAAAGCAGGGCCTGTTGGTTGATGAATGCCTGCTGTTGATCCATTTGCTGTGGGTTGACAGCAGGCATGGCTTGAGGCATGGCAGTTGGCATCATCATAGCTGCAATCCAAAACAAGCAGTAGGAAAAGGGTGAGGACTTTACAGATCATTCTATCAGAAAAGGACTATGCGAGCATCAGGGATGGGCTTACGTGGCATGGGCTGCATCATGGGCATGGTAGCGGGCATCATGTTTGGCATCATTGGTGTGGCACCATAGCCAGCCATGGCAGGATTCATTGGCATTCCTAGATCAGTCCCAAAATAAAGCATAGTGTCAAATAGGGGAAATACTGGCTTGTGTTTTGGAACATGGATAGTGCACAAAAATGAAAATAAATAAACACTAATTAATAAAAATACAAATAAAAATGCAATAAATAATTACATAAATAACACATTTAAAACAATAAAAATATTAAATATAAATCTTGAGGAATGTAAATACCAATTAATTAAAAGCAAAAAAAAAAAAAAAGAATAAATGTGTGTAAATTAATAGTAACATATTTAACTTATAATATATAAATAAAATATCATAAATAATCTAATATTTAAAATAAAATATATAAAATAAAACATTAATAGAATATATAATTGTAAATATTATTATCATAAAATTGTATTCGCTGCCATTAAACTGTAATACATTTTCCTATCATAAACAACCCAGCTCTGATTAATGATGAGTATCTGTTGAAGACTACACGCAGATATACAACTGTACCTGCTCCGGTGTACATGCTGGGCATCATACCTCCTCCACCTCTCATTCTGCGATTTAGCATGGCCATGCGGTCAAAGTCCTGTCAATAAAAAACAAATAAAATGCAGATAAAAAGACCTCAGGCTAGAACGCCGAGATAACAGGCAATACAAGCAGATCTCAGAGTTAATAAGTGGCAAAGCTGCATAATTCCTTGCTGGCTTAATGAATGATAACAATATATGTATGTACGCAGAACATGTGCTGGTGCTCATGCAGGTGACATCAATCTACAAAAATATATATTATAACTGTATCATGCATAAATGACAGTATCTTAGGGGAAAGTCATACAAATTAATTTTACTATAATAAGTTCAATAGATTTTATGTGATAAAAAAACGCAGTTGCAATTCATTTGCTATGAGTAGTTCCACACAGAATCTGCGTGTACAGATTTTTAGCCCATCGAGTCTATTTATTTACTTGTGTAAATGTGTGTAAATTTACTTTTATTCAGTTTTTAAATTCATTTAGTAATAATATTGACTAATATGAAAATGTTCATATGATTTATTTACAATACAGTGTGTAAAGTAATAATATGTCGTTTAGTAGATATATTATATGAGAGACTTGCTTTGTTTACCAAATAAGTGGATTAAATTGGATTTGCATTGTAAAAAATTTTAAAAAGGTAAAAAGTTATTATTTTTTATTTTATAAATTAAATTTTTAGTTACGATACTCCTAAATTCTGCATAAATCTGCAGATTTTTTCAAAATTCTGTGCAGAAACAACAAAAAATGTCTGCAGATTCTGCCTGGCCCTAGTAAATTATTAAGATAATGATGTATAGAGTGTAAGTCAAGCCTTATGTGATTTAATGTTTCCTTTCTTTCACTTGACCTTATTTGAACACATAAACAAATCTCTAAACAGGGTAAAATATTGATAAAACAGATATGTAGAAAAATATATCTCCATAAATAAAGCAAAGATATTATTAAATATATCTATATAGTTATTCAACTTTTAGAATATTCATTCATTCATTTTCTTTCCGGCTTAGTCCCTTTATTAATCTGGGGTCACCACAGCGGAATGAACCGCCAACTTATCCAGCACATGTTTTACACGGTGGATGCCCTTCCAGCTGGAACCCATCTCTAGGAAACATCCATACACACTCATACACTAGGGACAATTTAGCCTACCCAATTAACCTGTACCGTATGCGTTTGGTCTGTGGGGGAAACCGGAGCACCCGGAGGAAACCCACGAGAACGCAGTGAGAACATGCAAACTCCACACAGAAATGCCAACTGACCTAACCGAGGCTCGAACCAGCAACCTTCTTGCTGTGAGGTGAAAGCACTACCTACTGCGCCACTGCACCGCCCACTTTTTAGAATATGTTTATATAATTTTTTTATTTGTATTTGAATTTAGTTTTTGGTTATAGTAATTTTTCACAAATTTAGTGAGAAAAAGTATAAAAATGAAAAACAATTATAGGATTTAGAGGAAATATGTATACACTGTAAAACTCAACAGTCCACTTTATCAAATGAAATGAGTCTAGTTAACTCAAAATTGACTGAAAGTTAATTCTACTCATTTGAAAAGACTTTTGAACTCAGTGTTGAAGGTAATGAGCTACTTAAATACTCATTACCACAACTTAAATGGATTATACATTACAGGTTTTTCAGAAAACTTTTGTTTTATTTAATTCAACAACAAATATTTTAGTTTTATGGTTTTAAGTCCCTATTTTGGTCACATTTATGGTCAAATTTATATAATATGATAATAAGTCTTTATTAGTTAATGTCTTTACTAACATTAAATATTAATATAACAATACGGTAACACTTTATTTTAGGTCACAGTATTAACAAACCATTAACTAACACTAGTAGATTAATAAACTGTTCATTAGCTGTTAATTAAGAGTTAGTAAGGTAGAAGCTGGGTGTTTTTGGTAGGTTTTAGGTAGCATTTGGTATGCAGGATAAGCTCATACTTTATAACTACTAATAAACAGTTAATATCCTAATAATAGGCAGGTAATAAGCCAGTAGTTAATACCATGTATTGTGACCTAAACTAAAGTTTTACCAACAATACTTATTTAAAATCTAGTAATGCAATATTAAAATCCAAATTTATTCTTGTTAAGATTAGTTAATGTACTGTGAGTTAACATGAATAAACAGTGAACTACTTTGTTTCCAATAACTAATGTTAACTAGGATGAATAAATACTGTAATAAATGTATAATTTATTGTTTGATTATGTTAGTAAATACATTCATTAACCATAATACAACCTTATTTTAGGGTGACACTGTGGCTCAGTGGATAGCATGAAGGTTGCTGGTTCGAGTCCTGGCTGGGTCAGTTGGCATTTCTGTGTGGAGTTTTCATGTTCTCCCCATGTTGGCGTGGGTTTCCTCAGGGTGCTCCGGTTTCCCCCACAAGTCCAAAGACATGCGCTATAGGTGAATTTAATAAACTCAATAGGCTGTAGTGTATGTGAGTGAATGAGTGTGTATGGGTGTTTCCCAGTACAGGGTTGCAGCTGGAAGGGTATCCACTGTGTAAAACATATGCTAGAAAAGTTGGCGATTCATTCTGCTGTGGCGACCCCTAATGAACAAAGGCACTAAGCCGAAGGAAAACTAACAACCTTATTTTAAAGTGTTACCGTTATGTACAATAACCCAGACTCAAATCAGCTGTATTAGAACCTTAAAGTAACACTACAGATTTAAACAGGGCCATACTGACCGGAGGACCGTGATCAAACACAGGATCAAAGATGTCATCAACGTACGAATCCATCTGCCGACCCTGAGATCCTACAAGAAACAATATCTCAGGAGCGTCCTATATAAAATCGTTTTATTTGCTCTGCAGGGCGAGACACGTCCCAACCCTTGTACTGTACATTTCATTCACTCTCATTTCTTTGATCATCCCTGTGCAAAGCTATGAGAGAACAATAACTCAGAATTTACTGTCTGCTAGTAATGGTTGGTTGCTCACCCTGGTAAGTGGACAAGGGTTCATACGTGTTCCAATGAGATGCTTCAAATGAGGGCAGACCAGGGGCTTGCATCGAGGGAGCAGGAGGAATAAACGCATCAATGTCTGTGGTTTCCATCCTGACAATAAGAAATAAAAGGATTTGTTAACGTACTTGTTAAAGGAATATTAATTTTACAACTTGCCTAGAGTTAAAAAGTTGAGTTATACCATATTTGAATCCATCCAGCTGATCTCTGGGTCTGATGGAAGCACTTTTAGCTTAGCTTAGCATAGATCATTGAATCAGATTAGACCATTAGCATCTCACTCTCTTCTGTAGTGACATTGTGTACTAAGATCGATGGAAAAGTCAAAGGTTTCTAGATTGCTATGGCTAGGAACTATACTTTCATTCTGATGTAATAATCAAGTTGGCGCAGTGATATTGCACGGCGCTTGAAAATAGTCCACAGCTGGCTAACTAGGTAACAGTGATGAGTAATAACACCTGCTGAAGCCATATGGCAGCAAAGCTCCTTGATTATTATGTGAGAATGGGAGTAAAGTTCCTAGCCATATCAGCCTTAAAAATAGCAACTTTCATTTTCTGTCTGTCTTAGTACACAATATAACTACAAAAGAGTCAGGCTTTAAAAATGTACATTACTCAAACTCTTTTACTTTTTTAAATGAGATGCTAATGGTCTAATACAGTGGTTCTCAATTTTTTTTCATCAAGTACCACCTCAGAAAAAAATAGTCTCTCCAAGTACCACCAAAATGAGCAGTATTGAAATACAGTAGCGTAGTAGGCCCAGTAAAGGAGCTACAACTCTGCAAAGTAAAAAAAAAAAACGTGGCAAATAACCTCAGAAACATAGGCTATATGTCATATATGGCATACAACATACATCATTTTTGATAAATTTTGAAATATATGTAGCATGTATATGACATATTTCATTCCTCCGCGTACCACTAGAAGGAAGCCTGCGTACCACTAGTGGTACACGTACCACAGTTTGAGAACCACTGGTCTAATAAGATTCAATAATTCATGCTAAAAGCTAAGCTAAAAGTGCTAACACCAGACCTGGAGATCGGCTGAATGGATTGAAAAATGGTAAAAAAATCGAGGAAACTCCAGGGGAGCTGTAAAATGAGCCTATTTCCAAAAAAATGTGTTGATTTAGGTCTGATATGATGTGCCACAGTTTATCAGATGTCAAAAGAGAACAAATGATACTAATATACACTCGCAATGTGCTGTAATACAAACAGAAATCCTGATTGTGGTGATCTTAGACTTTATAAATAACTAATATATCGGTGTCTAGGCTGCAGCAGGTCCAGAATGAACACCATGATCTTGTAAAATATTTACTTTAATGTGTGTTTATGACCCCTGGTCAAATCACACATTAAAGCAATAAACCCCAAGAAGCCATGGTTTGCAGTGCATTTATAACAGTGGTGATCAATTCACTGTAAACCACAGCTTCATGGGGTTTATTTCTTTTTATAAAATGGTTAATCCATATACATAACAAGGCTTCACAAAATAAAACAAATGCAACAGTTTCTTTGGCTTATAGCACTGAATCAGAGCCACAGAGAGAGTTTCAACAACGGAAGTCCAAAATGTTTGATCGTCAAGTGGTATCATCTCAAAAACGTTGCAAGAATTAGATGCTTTGTTTACTAGTGAGGACTTAGAGAAACTGCTTTTATCAGCAGTAGGGTGGATTACTGTAACAGCCTCCTCAATAGCCTTCCCAAAAAGACAATCAGGCAGTTGCAGCTCATCTAGAACACAGCTGCCAGGATTCTGACCAGAACCAGGAAATCAGAGCAATTTACACCTGTCCTCAGGTCTTTACACTGGCTCCCAGTTACATTCAGAATACATTTTAAAGTATTACTACTTGTATATAAATCAATAAATGCCCTAGGACCTCAATACTTTACAGATATGCTCACTGAATACAAACACAACAGATCACTCAGGTCATTAGGGTCATATAACAGCTTAAAACATGGCTCAACCAATCAGAATCAAGGACAGGCAGTATCAGTTTCGTAATGAGAGATTTTTCTTCCCATTTAAAAGAGTATAAGCTTGGACCCGGAAACAGCATTATATTGTTATGATACTTCTAGTGAACTGGGAGCATTGAGCTCTACAAGCCGCACCTGTCACTGGTGTCACTGAATAGGTAATCATTCTCCGTAGGCGGGTGACCCATGGGCACATCAGACTCCACTCCAGCCAACAGATCCATCACAAAATCACAGCCTGTCAGGTCCGTCCACCCCTCGTCGGCCAGGAGAGACACGGACCAGCCCTGTGTAGCATTAGTCAGACCTCTGAGGGAAAGAAAATGGGATATTAAAAATTGAATAAAGAGTGATGGACTATAACTGTAATGTGTAAAGTACACTAATGAACTAACTTGTGAAAAAATTATTTAATTATATATCTTATATGGATTTTACAAAGTCAATTAGGACCTTTCATGGTCTTGAATTTAGCTCTGCATAGTCAAATATAATATCATTATCACATTTTTAATACATCATATTTAAGTGAAGTTTATTTATAAACTAATTTCAAGAGGAGAAAGTGCTTATGATTGATCACAGCTGGTCCCGCATTAACTAATGCATGATTCACCAATCAGATGATCCCTAGCTCACTATAAATAACCATTTTCTTACTTTAGTTATCTTCGCCTTATAGAATCCCCCGTTTCACCCCTACTCCTCCACCTTTCCTTTTATAGGGCACTGGTGCAAGAACGTCACTGGTTCAAACCCTAAACAGGCCAGTTCGTCACCTTAGAATTATAAGGTTCTATCTGGCATTATTGTCAAAATTGTGTTATTGACATATTCTTATTAAATGACAACTTATTTCCATTATGGAATGTTTTTTTATAAGTTGTTTACATTTTAAGTATTTTTATTTAAAAAAAACAAATGTTACACACATACTGTTTGCTATGGAATGCAAAAACTTTGCTCAATATCTCAAAATCATTCAGAACTTTGATAGAACTTATAATTCCAAGGTGACGATTTGTCATTTCTGTGCGGAGTTTACATGTTCTCTCTGTGTTCGTGTGGGTTTCCCCCGGGTTCTCAGGTTTCCTCCCACAGTCCAAAAACATGTGTAATAAGTGAATTGATCAATATAAATTAGCAATATAGTCGAGCTCTTACCCAGCAGTATATCTCTATATAGCAATTTATAATCTGTCATCAGCTATAAACAAAAAAAAAAAAGAGGGGGGAGGTTATTGAGACCTACCTAAGCTCAAACTCCCCTCTCACAATGCAAACGTGAGGGAGCTCCAGGCTCAAGGATCTTATGAGCCCCGGGCTCGAGGATGAAACTAGCTTTATAATCAATAATCATATAAGTGTGAACTCTTGAATTAATTTAATCATATAATATTTTGTTTACTACACTTTGCTTATCTTTGGATTTTGGTGACAAATATATTGCAAAGCTGAAACGTAGCAAAATAATAACGCTATTTGAAAACATAATTCTATAAATAAACAAATAAATAAATTAAAAAAACACATACAGTACAATAAATGACATATAAATTATAAAAAATATTTATTTTTAAAATGAATTAATTAATAAATGTGTATGCATACATTTAATTACAACAATGAGGTTTACAATTAGGTGCATAGTATGCCCAATTTTCATTATGGGATCATTTTCATGATCCCAATCATGCACGATAATGAAATATTGACACAAGTGAGTGGGGTTTAAAAACCACCTGTAGGAAAAATATTTTAAAGGTCTTACAAAATATGCCTCTTTTAATGATGAGAATTACAGTATGTGGGAGAATGTACGACCTACAGTAAATGTTTTGTGTTTCTCAGACAAAATATATTCATCAATTGTCTTACCTGTAGCTAAGAATCCAAGAGGCCAGCTCTTCTCCTGTTGTCCAAGACTCCACCTCCACTGCTAACTTTTCCTCTGAAAAACAAAAAGAGTCAACAAAAAAAAAAACTCAATTAAAAGAATGTTAGAAACGTGAAGCCACTGATATACACAGTAGGAAAAAATACTATGAAAGTCAAGGGCTAACAGTTCCTAACTTTCTTTAAAACATATATTTTTGGGCATTCACCAGTAGAAGAAAACTCAAACTGGTTTGGATCAAGATGATGGTAAAGAAATGATGACAGAGGTTTCATTTTCTGGGTAAAGTATCAAGTTAATACTTTTATCGTTTAGTTATACTTGAACGGTTTTAATATCATTTAGTCCTCTGAATTTAACAGTGCAAAAGTCCTGTTCACACTGGGATAAATAATTTTGAAGATATAATTGAAAAGAAAAGTGAAATCCAAATAACTATAATAAAAAAAAAACACAGAAAAAACAACACAGGTATCACTTTGAAATAGTTTTTCCAGCTGGTTAACAATTAAAGCACTGCCAGCCAATCAAAGTCCATCCTGAGTTTAAAGGGACAGTTCACCCAGAAATTAAAATATATTCACCATTTATTTCACCTCGAGTATTTCTAAACCTTTACAAGTTTCTTTCATTGGTTAACCTCAAACCAAGTTATTCTAAAGAATGTTGGAAACAGGTAGCCACTGACATCCATAGTAGGAAATAAATGGAAGTCAATGGCTGCTGATTTCAAACATTTTTAAAAATATCCTTTTTCGGTGATCGACATAAAAACATATTACAAGTTCTCTAACAAGTTCAGAACAAATGGAGATTGAGTAAATAATAGATAGTATAGTAAACTATCCCTTTAAGCGGATGATTAGCTCACTGCTGCGCCCACATTATCATTACAGTTTACAGGTCTTGGTGTAAGAAGATCTTAACTCCAGTTATCAGATAAGAGCTCATGTGTTCAGCTTTCTTCACCATTGAAAGTGTTGACCTCAAGCACCATCTTTCCTTTCCTCTGATTGGCTGTCCACTCCAGTTGAGTTGGCGGGTGGCGTCTGCAGGCTGGTGAGGGCAACGGGAGGGACGTGAGAAGCTTGTGTTGACATAGAGAGCGGTATTCACCGGGACCCCGATCTGACACATACCTGATGACCAAAAAAAAACAAAAAAACTCTGGTTTTAATTTTATTTATACTCCTGCATTGGGCTCACACATACACTCTGCACTCTGACTACTTCAACAATGTTGATAAGCCGTGCTGGGCATTTCTCTCTGTCTCACACTGAACGCAGTCGATCAATCACAACAGACTGGGTCATCGAACAGTCAGCGCAGATTAGCATCGCGCTATTTTAAGAAGGCGTTTGGGAACAAATTAATCGCTGAATGAATCATATGGAAGTCGTTGGGATAATTAGGTAAAAATAAATACATATTAAAAGACAATGAAAGTGTTTTTTGACCTCGCATGCATATGAAAATGTTGCTGGAGACCTCAAAACTAAAATATTTTAAATGCATTATATGGGCTCTTTAATTGTATTTCTAAAGTTTACACTTAGATATTTCTTCACACTTTTAGCAGGTTTGGCATGCTGTCCCGGGAGAGAACCCTAAGCTCGGAGATAATTGAGCTTAGGGCTCCTGCCTAGTCAATTAGCATGTAATAGGGTCCAAGACCAGATAGGTCTCGAGAGCTCCCTCTCGAAAAGGAGATGAAACAGGAAAAGGAGGAGATGGAGTGGATGTTCAGTTCTCCCAAACTGAAAATAAGGCAGAAAGGTGATTTATTGTAGGATTGGATTGATCTGATTGGAATATTGCTGATGAGAGACCCGCCGCGAGCAATCATATCACATGCTCCTTTGGAAATTAGTTTGTAAAACTTCACTTAAGTAATCATAATTAATTATTACTATTATTACATTATTTAATTCATATTTGATCAATTTAATCCTTACATCTGCATTTTCATTATCATTTTTTGTATTATTTTCAAGGCTTGACATTAACACCCACCAACTCGCTATATGCGGGTAGATTTCAGCTATGGGGGGTTAGACAACCACACCCACTTGCCACTTTGTCTGGTTGAAAATAACTTTTAATTGTAGTTTTCTTAAAAGCAAAGTATGGCAATAAGTAGGCCCATCAAGAAGCAGCACGACTGACCAAATCAACTGTGGTCACACAAAGAAAAGAAAGCAGGTGAATAGCGGATAATTTTGTGCATGGAGAGACTCTCACTCACTGACGAGGGCTGCAATGACGTGCGCATCACATTAGTTGTGTGCGCGACACCGAAGCCCTTGTGTTTAAATGCTTGCACGCTCACTTTTCCTGGAGCAAAGCATCCGTGCCTGGAAACTGAACTGATGCGATCGGTTCCCTTTTCAAATAGACTGGACAAAAAGCAATGCTTGTTTTCAAGAGTTTTTCACTCCACTTTCACTTTAACCATTCTTTGAAAAAACTATTAAAGAGCCTAACGTTAACCGTGTGCAGGTAATCATCCTTTCATTATCGTACACAGTTTGCTTTTCAGCTGCTTTCTTTTACAGTTATTTTTTTATTTATGATTTAATTATCATCCTTTACAATAACATTGATTTAGGAGATTAACTTCCCTTTTTTTCTGGAACCTTTAGCCAGGACAGATCACTGTGCATAGTTATAGACACATGACAATAATTCTTTTCTAAATGTCAAATGTTAATTTTTTTTTTTAAGAAAAGCTTTGTTGAATAAAAAGTGTATGTATAGTCAAATGTATTAATGAAAATGATATATTTTCCTAACAATAAAATTGTGGCTAGTGAAAATGGCTAGTGGCTAGTAATGTTGAAAAACTACTAGCCACAGTGGCTTGTAATCAAAAAAATTTAATGTCAGGACCTGATTTTTTTTTTTTATTATTATTATTATTATTTTATATTTTGTCATTTTAAGATAAACATTTGTAATATTTTACTTTTTAGCTTTTTTTGCTGTTAATTAACTAGACTACAAAAAAAGATGAATTTCTTATTTCATTTGATGATGAACAAATAATTAAATAATTATCAAATCTCTTTTTTGTAGTAGAGTTAATTAAACGCTATTATTGAGTTCAAAGGGACAGCAAAAAACCAAAATGTTAAATATTACAACTATAAATATTAAATAATAAATTAATAAATGTTGTAGTTATTTTCTATTTTGTCATTTTTATGTAAATATTTAATATAAATATAATAAAATGTTTAATAAAAATATTTAATGATTCTTTTAAAAATATAATTAGGGAAGGCTGTAACTGCTCTGTGCTTTGGATTCTAAAACATATTTTAATTGAAAACAATCTCTTGTTGTTCTAAAGAGCCCTGTTTTAAGTATGTCTACAGCTAAGGACGTACTTGAGCAGGGGTTTCTCCAGGTCAGGAGAGGGTGTGAAGGCACTCAAACAGCAGGCCAGAAGTAACCAGCCACGCAGGTTGGTCTCCTGTCTATCTCCATCCCAAGTGAGGTAAACCAACTGGGCTAGAATCTCATCTCTGATGCCGGGCCGAATTTGACTCTTCTCCACAATGTAGTTCCCCAACATCTGCTCCTGCCAGCCATTCAGATCTGAGTCCCCTGTGAAGCGCAGGATCTAAAGAAGAAAATAGATGACAAGCTCCAATCATAGGTTGAAGGTTTATGTTAAAGCAAGACACAGCAGGTAAATATTGGGTAAACAAGATTAACTGATTATCATCATACCTACCCAGTTTAATTGATTATGTTATGATTTCTTGTATTACAAGCTTTCTAAAATGTTATGTTTACATATTCTAATGAGGCATCAAATTAAATATGCACTAATTAGCATACATTTCTAGAACAACGATTTAAACATTGGATGAAGTCGACTTTAAAAGCTCTTATTTACATTTTTGACATACTATTAAAGTCAAAGGAGATAGTTTCACTTAATAATTTAATAAATACTGCAAAGAGCCAGAAAATAAACACATTCTAACATATTTTTTGTAGAATAAAATGTTGTACATAATCAGGCAAATTATGTATGAACAAATGCCTTTAAATTTCGTACTGACCAGTTTGTAGATTTCCAAAGCTGTACGGGCATCCTCATGGTCAAGGGACGTCAAAGGCCTCTGAAGTGGATAACCCTGTGCTTGGCACCATCCATCCTAATCAACAAAACACCAAATAACTGATTTAACAAATGGGCTCGACAAAACCACATATAGAAAAGACAGTATTTCCTCTCCATATGCACCAGACACTCTAATACATACTTCAAAAAAAAAAAAACATTGTGCGATTCTTAATGTGCTTCTCACAGGTAAGTGGTGTTTACAAACCACCTATAGAAAACAAACTCTTTCCTTTTTACTCTCCATATGCACCAAACACCTTCGTATAAACTCTCCATGTTCCTAGGAAAACACTGTGTGATTCTGAGTGTGCTTTACACTGGTGAGTGGGGTTTACAAACCACCTGTAGGAAACACACTCTTTGCTTTTTCCTCTTAAAACACCCTGTGAAAAGGATTCGATAATAAAAAATAAGAAAATAAATAAGGTGCTAAACTAACTTCCATTTGTCATAGCGTCTATACATTTTATATAAGATCTGAAGTACTTCTTCATTTGTGAGTTATTTTAGATAAATCTGGTAAACGTAAATGTATGAAACTGAACTGACGCATAAAAACAGTAGACGACCACTAAATAAGAAAAGAAATCTGCATGTTCTTATATTTCTACCTTCAGGACTGTGTTGGCATATTGAGAGAAAGGATGTCTGTCAATGTCCAAGGGCAGTGAGAGTTTGTGGTCTGCTTTGACCTGCGGCGGAGCTACTTCTGACACCCCTGAGCCTTGAGAACGTCCTGAAAAATATTGTTTTAAAACACATTGAGATCAATGCAGCCCAATTATATCCATTACATTAGATAGATGAACTTTACTTAAGTGTGAAAATAGTAAATGAGCAGTCTGTAGGGGTAATTATCAAAATGTACGAAAGTTTGAAGTAACTTTTTTCTAAAGTTAATGCCTTCACAAAAAGGATTTTCTGGATTGATGGTAAATACATTTATTCTGTAAAACAAATGTTAGTTTCATATACAGTTGAAGTCAGAAGTATTAGCCCCCCCTCTGAATTATTATTATAATTTTTTTATATTTCCCAAATGATGTTTACCAGAGCAAGGAATTTTTCACAGTATGTCTGATAATATTTTTTCTTCCTAGAGAAAGTCTTATTTGTTTTATTTCGGCTAGAATAAAAGCATTTTTTTTTATTTTAAAAATTATTTTAAGGTCAAAATTATTAGCCTCTTTAAGCTAAACATTTCTTCGATTGTCTACAGAACAAACCATTGTTATACAATAACTTGCCTAATTACCCTAACCTGCCTAGTTAACCTAATTAACATAGTTAAGCCTTTAAATGTCACTTTGAGAAGTATCGAAGTGTCTTGAAAATATATCTAGTAAAATATTATGTTTTGTCATCATGGCAAAGATAAAATAAATCAGTTATTAGAAATGAGTTATTAAAACTATTATGTTTAGAAATATGTTAAAAATCTGCTCTCTGTTAAACAGAAATTGTGGAAAAAATAAACAGGGAGGCTAATAATTCAGACTTCAACTGTAAATGCTTTTGTCTTGAATATTTTCACCCAAGAATGCAAAGTTACTTTACTATTATCGTATCAAATTATACCAGTTTAATGTTTTTAATGTAATTTTGCGAATGTTTTTATATCTATTTTATACAACCTATTATTATTAATATTATTATTAGTAGTAGTAGTAGTAGTAGTAGTAGTAGTAGTAGTAATAGTAATACTGTAGTAGTAGTACCAGCAGTTTATGTGACCAAACATACAGTAACAGTATAGAATTCAAGAGAACGACATAAGGTACATAAAATAAATAAATAAAAATAATCCTAGTGCATTTTGTGGTCTTTTTTTGTGTTTTATCAATTATTTTCAATTTTATAATTAAATTATCATTACGTTAAATTATAATTATTACTACTACTGGTATTATTATCATGTATGGTTCATATTCTGTATTATTCTATTCTATCTCACCTACCTCAAAATGAAACAGTATTGTGTACAATATTATTTTTCAGGAAATGTGCTCAAGTAACAAACATTAATCTCCAGCATCTCTTGATTTCAGACTTTTTAAAATTATTTTAAAGTGTGAATATTTTACATCTATGCACTAACTGTACACTAACAAAAATGTTACACACATACTGTTTGCTATGGGATGCAAAAACTTTGAAGCTCAATATCTCAAAATCATGCAGATTGCAGATAGAAACTTATAATTCCGAGGTGACAAAATGTGTAACAATTTAACATTACTTTCACTCAATAGTGTTTTTGACTAAATATTTTAAATTCTTAAATTTAAGCATAAACATTAGGTAATGTTTTTTATACATTTCAAGTAAAACCAAAAAGTAGCAAGGATCTCACCTGATGAACTGCGTAATCTGGCCGACAGTTCTGCCGGGATCTCCAATATCCCCACATCCTTAAGAAAAAAAACACACTACTTTATTCTGCTGTGATTTTCAAAATTAACTTTTACTCTGAAGCGACTGTAAAAATTCACACACTGTCATAAAAACCAGGTGCTTGGAAACCTTGAGCGCACAAGTCAAAAAGTCTCACCATCTCCGAAGAACTAGATGTAGGTTTTGCCACTTCCTTCACTCTGCTTCTATCAGTATGTTCCTGATGAAGTACAATTAAAACACAACATTACATTAAATATTTGACCTTAGTCTTACATTACAATAATTCATTCCTTTCCAGACTGAACAACGGCACAGTTATTTTGTAAGGCGATTCCTTTTATTCATTCTATTACCTGTCCGAGACATGGTATGAAAAGGTAAACAGCACTATTCTTAGCAGCTGAGCCACTTTTATATCCCAGAATGACCGTCCCTCCCCACGCTCCTCCCCAAGCACAAGAACTACATGACAAATGAGTGACCTCCCGTTTTATCTTATCATTTAACATTATCATTGTGTTTGAAAGGCCTTTTATATTGCGTTTCATTGTTGCCATTAGTGAAATAAACACAGGCTTTAGATTGATTTCTACATATTGTTGGACTAAATCTTAGAGTATTGTTGAGTATATTGTCTGTTAAAGTTGAATCAAATTAATATTATGAGTTATTTGAAGTTAAATTACAATAAACCAAACTCTTAATGCTTGTATAGCTTTAAAAAATTAAAGGGATAGTTCACCCAAAAGTGAAACTTCTGTCATCATTTACTCTCCTTTCACGTCACAAACTTGTTTGAGTTTCTTTATTTCTGTTGAACACTAAATAAGATATTTTGAAAAATGTTGGAAGCCTGTAACCTTTGACTTCCACAGTATTTGTCTTTCCTACTATGTAAGTCAATGGTGACTGGTTTTTAGCTTTCAGAATATCTTCTTTTGTGTTTCATAAACTCATAAACATTTGGAATCACTTCAGCGAGTAGAAAGTGAGTACCTATTCATCTTTGGGTGAAATCTTCCTTTAAGTTAGAAACATTATTTATACTATTTAGATTTTTACACTAGGTAAACTGTAATATTAAACAAATGCAACTTATTTTAGACAAGCAAAAATACTCTATGACCACACAAAGCTTTACCTACCACAAAAAGAATGATGTCTAAAACCAGTCTCACCACTTAACAAAAGCACAGCAATTACTTTAAAGTGATTTGACAGCAGCGAACATGACAGGAGGACATAGTCCAAACTGTATAAAACAATGATGGTAACAAGGAAACAGAACTGAAAGTAGCGCAGAAGTTTATATAGCATAAATTAGTGGATCAGTCAAAGATTTGACTTAAATACATATTTCTGGTAAATATGAATAATATTTGTTTGAATAAATATAAATTACATTTCCTTAAAGTAACATTTTTTGGTCTAATTTACATTAAATAATATAATATAATATAATATAATATAATATAATAGAATAGAATATAATATAATATTATTATATTATATTATATTACATTATATTATATTATTATATTACATTAATATATTATTTTAAATTATTATATTATATTATATTATATTATATTATATTATATTATATTATATTATATTATATTATATTATATTATATTATATTATATTATATTATATTATCCATACATTCAATTGTGTTCTTAATTTTGCTCAATCATATTTTAAAGTATCCCAATCATCTAAACTATTATATTGTGTAAAAAATTAGATTATATTAAAATTATTATATTTATTATATTATATGATATTGCATTATACTATATTATTATATTACATTAATATACTATTTTACATTATTATATTATATTATATTATATTGAATTATATTATGTTATATTATATTATATTATATTATATTATATTATATTATATTATATTATATTAAAATGTTATTACATAAAATACAATAAATATAATATAATATAATAATTGTGTTATCTAACAACAATGCAAATTATAACATTATAACTTTATTATTATTTTGCAATTAAGTAAATAATCATAAATAAATTATAAAATATGCATGTGCCAAAGGCATTATGAACCATTTGAGTGTCTGCATCAAATTAATTTGTACAAAAGTGACTTTACATAGAAAACAATTAACAGTTTTTGTGAAAATGTCATCAAAATATGTGAGAATTGTTGTTCCATCCTCATGTAGGCTAACAGATATATTTAAATAAAAATAAAACAACATACTTATTCTGACCTGTACTTACTAAAACTATTGAATTACTAAAATAATATTTCAAAAATATTGCTCCAGTGTAAACTGTGTACTTTTCATTTGTCATCAAATGATTCCTGTTCTAAACAAGTTTGGAAAGATGTTTTGCTTTATAAACTTTTGTTCCTCTAAATTATATTTTTTAATCAAGTAAATAAAATAAATGATCATTATTTTATTGTTCAGAAAAACACAATACAATTACACAGGACACATTCGTTTATCAAATACACCTTGTTTAATCGCTGAATGTCTTCTCGATTGTAAGTCGCTTTGGACAAAAGCTTCTGCTGAATGACTCAAATTAAATGTAACATTGTTTGTTTCTATTTATATTTCCACCCAATGAAACTCAATTGGTCCAAAATGTTAATATGCAAATAAAAGAGCAAATAAAGTGTAGGTTTACACAATGATTTACCTAAAGAAAATTAGAAATGCTGCCTTGGTGACTATTATATTAATCAAAACGTGGTGAAGCACTGAAGATTCTGATACAAAAAATATATATGAATATTTAAAACATCATGATAAAAATAAAATGCAATATTAAATCACTAACAGTTGATTTATTGAACTTAATAATGTATATTAATACATTAAATGTATAATAGTATAATACATTTATAATAATGTAATGTATTAAAAAAGACTAAATAAATAGGTTGTATTGTATATTTAATCTAAATTGTTCTGCATTTATTTTAATTGTAAGCACAATTAATGAATTACGATCATTGAAAAGAAATGTAATAATACTAATGATATAATATTAAAGCAAACCTAACACTTCCTTAAAGAAGAAGATTTCCAACATATAAGGCCATGTTAAACAAAACTTAAAATGCTGTTATCAATATAAGCACTTACTTCTGTTCCACCCTGACTTCTCTCTCTATCATTAATCTTTAATGTTTGCCATAAGTGTGTGTAATACGGATAAATATTAAACACACCTACCTAGTCTGATATTGCAACAAACGAAGCAGTCTCCATGTAAAGTGCTCTTTAACTCGTGAAATTAGTTAGTGAAAATCCAAACAGAAGTGCTGATTAGGAGATCCTAAAGAGAGAAGTGCTGCTTTAGACGATCTCAACAGAAATGAGAGAGAAAAGTTGAGGAGGAATGAATGAGACAATCAGGGATCAAAGATGAAAGATCAGGCCGGCGGGTGGAGCTCAACTCAACTGACTGACTAACACCGGTTACATGTGTACACTATTAAATGACCCGTAACACACTAGACTAGAAAGACCCAAATATATCATCTGCATCTATGAGTATAGCTGTATTTAAGTTCTTTTTAAATTTTGCATGAGAATTACCATTTTATGAGAAAACAGGATTAGAAAAATGAAGCAGTTTTTAAAATTAAAGTGTTTTCCGGCAGATGTTGTGCAATTGGAAATGACTTTGAGCAATAAATTGAATTTCACAATCTCAAATTCATTTAGAACACAAATGGGTCCAAAGTCCTTTCAAAGAGTAAGATATGTTATAGGATTATGTGATGATCTTGCCTGACACGTAATGTAGGAAGCAGCTCTTGAGACATTTACAGTATGACTATCTAAGAGAGTATTTGATTGATGTTACTTACATTAGATAACAATATAAGACCAGCAGGAATATGGAATCGATACATTATTATGGAAGGAGTGAGGCTGGTGTTTATTGCATTGTATTAGCTTTCATATATAATCAAATGATCTTGGTTGCCTAGCAATGGGTCATTCAAGTAAACAGCTGATTTTGTGATTCATGTGTATTTGTATATGCACAAATGAACATTTGTGTGCCCATTTAAAGTTACACACAGAATCATAAAGGGCAAAATGTCACAAAAATACAAACATCATAAATGCTTTGAATATATATTTTCTGACATTTTTGGATAACTAACACAAATTAATTAATCTTAAAGGCTTTAACTTATTGAGCCCTTTCATACTTCTGGCGCAATAAGGCATGTTTATGGCATGGTTTGTTGCTATTTTCAGACTAGTGCAAACCTAATTTTCATGTTTTGAGCCACATTGTATGAATAACAAATTAATTTGCGCCACTTTGTGGACTCAAGGGTGTGCTGGTCTAAAACGGAGGTGTGTTAAGGTGCATTGTTGGCACGCTGCTATTTTGAGGAACTGAAATAGACCGCGCCATTGACCAACTAAAAGCTTTTTCAGTTTATTCAGTTTATTCATGACATATCTGCATAATGTTATTATTAATTGCAGTTTTATTTATCATATGCATGTTTATATTTGTTTGAATAAAAACAAGTTTAGATTTGTCCAGCTGTCTGGTTTTGGAGACATTTGCATCACCAAATGGGGCATAGGACGTGTGTTTAGATATAACTTTGGATTTTTTGACCACACTTCGTTATTATTGTTCATTTATTAATTTGCTGGAAATTAGAACTGAATTTAGAAACAAATCTTTGGTGTTAACAAACAAAATTAAATATGTAGGCTAATGGATGTCTTCGTTGGAGTGCATATGTAATCCCACCAGTCCTACACCACCCAAGCCGTTTCGAGCTGGGATCGAACCAGCCACCTTCCGCAAGGGAGTCGGTTGCTCCACCAAGGAGGCTAAAGACCATAGCCTCTAGCGTCTGTCGCTAGAGCACCTTTAAAGGTCAGAGGAGTGAGGTTTACCTGCACAGCACTTACTAGCTGGCCTCCGTTACACATACAGTACAACACTGTTTTCTTATACACGAAAGTAAAGGAGTAAAGAGTAAAAGTACAATAAAGAAGCAGAATGGCGGAGGCTCATTCTTTATCCTCGCAAAGATGGTCTGTTTAACTGTTTTCGTGCTAGGGAACCATGCAGTTTTTCCACTTACAAAGTCCGCCATGTAGCCTCAATAGCCATGTTGCATCGCAACTGACTCTTAAAGGCAATGGGAAATGAGACTCTTGATTGGTTCAATGCACATTATGTTCAAAACACTCCCATAACCCATTAAGAGAATAAGCACAACCCTGTTAGACCATGCGCTGGGCACATAGCTTATTTTTCCATCCTTTAATTAGCCATTATCCAAGTGGATTCGCCCTCAATGCTTTTGCGCCATGTGCTTTAGACTTTGCACCTAGATCATTAACACAGATACCATTATTTTTTAAATAACGCAACTGTTGCTTTAATGTGAAAGATATTCATTTTCTATACACTCAGTGATAAGTATTTTGTCGCATAGAAAAAATCTAACACATACACACACATACACACACACACACACACACACACACACACACACACACACAAAACAATCTCTCATATCTATATTAACATACCCACATAATTATTATAACATAATCAAAATTAATTTAGCCTGCAGTGCTCAAAATCAGAAAACATTAATAAAAGATTAACTCCACTAACCAAACCTAAATAACTTAATAATTATAATGGTTAAAATTGTTAAGCTTTGCCAACAAAATGGAACCCTGTGAGCAAAAAATGCATGACTTTTTGCTGTGTAAAATAGGTTGATGAAATCAGTGTATATAATATTTAGTAATATATCATGAAATATATTTGTAATGTATTTAACATATTACACTCACCTTCCAGTGACGTCTCTTGATGGTGTTTCTGGTGATCATCATAGTTGCCCAGAACTGTGTGAAGCACTGCTTCAGTTGCTTGAAGTACTTCCTGTAACAGAAAGAGGGCGCTCCTGATTCATATTCACGTTATGAAGTCGACGTTAAAGGGATAGTTCATCCAAAATAAAAAATTAAAGTGGTTCCAAACCTTTAATAGTGTATATTTTTCTCTTGAACACAAAAGAAGAAACTTTAAAGAATGATGGAAACTGGTAACCATTGACCTTATCAGTTATAGTTATGACCTTATAGTTATCAATTTACAGCATAACAACAGAAAGAAACTTAAACATGTTTGATTTTTTCAATTTTGTATTAACTATCCTTCTTATCTAATGTTAAATTGCTGCACGCACCGAGCCTGGTGGCCTCTGATGTGAGACTGGATGACGATGGCCTTTTTTTTAAAGAACTGGAAGTTTCTTCGGCAGATGAAGCCACGGATGTTTCTTTGGATGGTGACTGCTGCCCATGTCTGAGTGCTACTCCATTTTTCCTCCACCTGCTGATACAGGGTCTCCTTTAGAAACACCTGGGGGATCACAATAATGAAATCGACTGAGAGTGGGATCTTAGATGAGAATGAATGAGAGAATAATGCAGGTTGAGTTATATGGCTGTACTTTAGTGAGTCCTAGCTGGTACTGGCCATCCTCTGCTCCAATAGTCTCTATTAAAGTCACCACCTGCTCTTCAAGAGACTGGTTTATAGGCCTCTGGGACAGTAACACACCATACCTAATATATAAAACAGAGGATGTTATTGAAACTGAACTATAAGGAAAGTGCTGTAGCAAAATGCCTTAATAAATTCTGATTTTGAGATTAATTCTGTGTTTTATTTGCCTAAAATAATGACTAATGAAATTAAAGTAATACATAAATAATACAGCTTATAAAAAGATAATAGATTACATAAAAAGAGAAAAAGAAAAGTAGATAAAATAAATAAACAAATTTCAATATAAAGACAATAACTACAACAAAGCCCCGGACAGCAATTCAAAGATCAAGTAAGTATGTTTCGAATAATGCCCAGATCTGTTGGAAAATGTCGGATTTCAACTGTAAATCTGCAGTCATTTTCTCAAATATATATCTGTTTCAGTCTCTGTGTCCATTCTGTCAAAGTAGGTCGGGCGGGTCTTCATCCAGCTCACTGTAATTATCTTTCTAACAGTTATTAATAATATGTGTAGTGCAAATAGGTGAGACTTAGTGAACTGATCAGGGGGAAGCCATCAAGCAGAAAAAATACTGGGTGCATTGGTATGTAGCATCCTAAAACTGTACTAATCTTCCTTTTAACGTCTTGTCAATATACTTGTTTTTTGAGACATTCCCAAAATATATGAACATACAGTAAGCCCCAACTTCTCCACAATCTCTCCAGCATTGTGATAATACTATCGAATCTGACGATCACTAATGGCACTCTGAAAAACCTCATCTTCATCTTTCAGTCGAACTCCTTTCATATTTCACTGCTTATACCCTTAACAAATTTTTGCATATTTGTTTCTCTCATTTCATCCTCTATTATAGTTTTTACCTATATTTCTCAATTTCTTTCGATATACTAAGAGTCGTCAGATTTATTCTGCATTAATTTCTATGTAAATGGGCCACATGATTTTTAGTAGCCAGACCAATAATGTCTATGAAATATTTTTCTATATTTGTTAGAGATCTCCAAAACATATTTTAAGGCATAACTAGAACAAAAATCATTTAAAAACTCAACAAGAATAATTGTAAAAAAAATGAAAACACTGCATTAAATTATTAAAGTGCAAACCAAAATACTAAGTAATTACCATTTTCCATCATTATATCTTATCTGTTGTGCTAAATGATGGTGAAATGTTGAATATTATTTATTTAAAAGCATTTATATCTGTATTATCACATATAAAATTTAGGTAACACTTTACAATAAGGTTGTTTTAGTCAATGCTAGTTAACGTGTTTACTAACATAAACAATTAATAATACAGAATTTATTCATCTTTGTTAACTTTAGTTATGGAAATACATTTTTAGTTCACATAACTCAGTGCATTAATTAGCATTAACAGGCATGAATCTTGATTAACGCATTCGTTAACTTTGATTAACGAATAGTGTTACAGTTGTACAAATTGCGTACATTATACAACTAGTGTTTATACTTATTTCATGTTATTAAATACATTAACGAATAAAACCGTATTCTAAAGTGTAACTAAAATTTAGATTCAAGTGTTTTTCAGGTACAAACTCTCTACACAAAAGTCCTGAGCACATTTTAGTACACTTGATATGCATGCAACAAGCAGTTTTTCCTGATTGTAATGTGTTGCTGTGTGGTGGCTAATGTGCGCTGGGGGTTGTTAAGATACCACTAGTTGGTCACTAGGGTGTTCTGTGCACCAAGTCTAATGATTTATAGAAGTAAAAGCACACCGCTTCTTGACCCGTGTGTATTGTTCAAATTGACTACCCTTTCATTATGCTGGTGGCAGTTTTTGCCCTATAGATTTCCATTATAATTAAATTTCTTTGATTGCAAAGCCATGACAGCATATAATCATGCATTCTTTGTTGTTGGTGGTTTTACAAATTGGGAAGAGGTCAAATTTGTATTTTTTACTGTTGATCATCAGTTGGCACCATTAAGCCTTTAGATAGCCCTGTGCAAAAAAAAGTTTCTGGCTTTTATATGGAGTTGAAGTTAAGCAGCAGATTACAGTGTGTGTGCATAAAAACATTTACTAAGTTTACCATGTTCTGAGAGCTGAGCTGCTTATTTTGATTTCTCAGACATATCAAGATAAGTGCGCAAAGGTCTCTCTCTCTCTCTCTTACACACACACACACACACACACACACACACACACACACACACACACACACACACACACACACACACACACACACACACACACACACACACACACATACGCACAAACACACAATACTTCATAAAATTCTGTCTAAAAGCCAGAAACGATGCTTTTTTTGCACTGCAACTGACAATCAACAGTAAAAATGACAAATGTTACCTCTTCCCAACATGGGAAATGACCAACAATCAAGAACGCATCATTATATGTTATCATGACTTTACAAATAAAAAATGTTATAATGGAAGTCAATGGGGCAAAAACATCCCCTAACATAACGAAAGGGTAGTCAATATTCAGTTTTTTTAAAGGTTTCAGTGTTTTTTTCCTAAACTATGCGCCAAAATAAGATTTGTCACCAAAAATCATTCCATTTGCTGAAACAAAGAAAGTTGTGGCCAAATTAAGACTCAAAATCACCTCAGTAGTGAAAACAAAGCCAACAGCACGCAAGGGTTTATAACTTACATACAAAATACATTATATCTGTAACAAACAAAACAAGTTCATTCACACAAACAAAAAATGAATCGTTGACCTAACATATTGTGGTCTACCTCTCCATGAACTGGGCGAAGGGGATACGAATCGGGAATCCTTCTTTTCGTATGTGAATGGTCTCCAGGATCCCTCCATGCCTCAGCTGTGTGGTTATGTAGTCTACATCAAATATGCCTGGAAGCTGAAACCACAGGAAATATTAAACCGAGGTCTATAGATACAGCTGTGCTCGCTAGAAAGATCATATGTAACCCATTACACACTCCCAAATTACCTTAACATAGTTTGGCTTAAAACATCGTACGAATGTAGTTTTACATCTGAAAACAGACAGAATGGACAAAAGAAAATAAACAAATCTGTGTATAGTTTGCGTTGGATCACTATACAGTACTGTGCCACCAACTTTGGGAGCCTAAGACTTTTCACAAATTGATCCATCTAAAAGGTATAGAGCAAGTGCAGGGTCATTAACTCTGGGTGAACTATACCTTTAATATACACAGAGAAAATCAGGAAAATGTGTACAAAATATTAAGAACTAAATTACTTTTAGAATCAAAAGACTAGCCTCAAAAGTGTGTTTAACATGACTTCTTTGTTCTTTCTTTCATTTTCTCTCCAGTTGAATCTTATTCTGCCTATTACAGTCCCTATAAATACTGTATATAATATTTAGGTCTGGACTCTAGGGAGGCCACTTCATGACTGTCTTTGTTTCATTTTCCACTTGATCTTCTTGTTTATCATTTGGAAAAGTGGCAGAAAGTAGATCACAAATACTGCAGAAGACCTATTGGAACCCACATGGACCCAAGATTCTCACAGAAATCAGTCAAGTTTGGTGAAAGAAAAATCATGGTTTAGAGTTGCATTCAGTATGGGGAAGTGTGGGAGATCTGCAGAGTGGATAGCAACATCTACAGCCTGAAGTATTAAGTCATTTCTGATGCCGAACCAAAGGAAAGGGCAAATTCTTTAGTAGGATAGTGCTCCTGTAATACTTTAGCCTCCACATCAAAGTTCCTGAAAGCAAAGAAGGTCAAGGTGCTCCAGGATTGGCCAGCCCAGTCACCAGTCAAGAACATTATAGAGCATATCTGAGGTAAGATGGAGGAGGAATTGAAGATGAACCCAAAGAATCTTGATGGGAGTCCTGCAATAACTCTTTCTTTGCCATTTCTGATACCAAATGATCATCTAGATGTCAAGTTATTATTTGTTGCTCCTAAAACTTTGATAGGCGACAATACTTTTGTCAGGTAGTGTACCAGAAACTCCAGTATTTTTTATTAATTTGTTTTAAAAAATTAATCAGACACCCAAAACCCAACTAGAACCTTTATTTTCTGGTTGTATTTTAATAAAGAGAATGAAAATTAATATATAATGTCATTATACCCTGACTAAAACAGCAAAGGTAACCTAAGACTTTTGCAGAGTACCGAAATATTCAATTAGAGATGCCAAATGCTATAAATTAAATAATTATGACATTAGTTGACCTCTCTAAACGGGTGGTGAGCTCTGTAAGCGACTGCTGAAAGTTAGCAGCGACGGTTGACATCTGGTTCCTGTGACCTCTTGCTCTTCCCAGCTCCTTCTGCTGGATGTAACGCTCCTGAACCTTTCGGAAGAGACCCGACACCATCTACACGAACAAGAAGACACACTCGTATTACCCAGTACAGGTTTTCGTTACCAAACATTGACCCTTTAAATCTTAATGAGACCTAAAGCTTGCATAAATGATATAGGTTGTTGCTGACTCTTTTGTTTTGTTTGGGTTTATTGAAACGCTCATGAATAATTAATAGTGGACACATTATTGTGTTTCTCTGCAATCTTGACACATCGCAAATCAGTGAGGACAGTGTGTGTTTGTGTGTGAAGTGAGCATCGATTTACCTGTAAGCGACTGCGGGCAAAGAGCTCTAATACTTCAGGGCGAAACTGGTCGTGATTTTTGTTTAGAAAGTTGTGAACCTAGTGAGGAAAAAATTACAATTATAAATATTGCTACAAATATATTAGTAACAGGAATCTGATTTTTTTGTAAAAGGTTAAAACTTACCACTTATCTAGTGTACCTTAGCAACTACTAAAATGTACATTAGCAACCACACAGCAGCACAATAAAATACTCGAAACACCTCAGTGTCTACATATCAATGCCTTAAAACTACCAAATATATATATATATATATATACACGCTCAACAGCTACTTTATTAGGCACACCTGTCTAACTGCTCATTAACGCAAATTTCTAATCAGCCAATGACATGGCAGCAACTCAATGCATTTAGGCATGTAGACATGGTCTGCTGCAGTTCAAACCTGGCATAATTGTTGGTGCCAGATGGCCTAGTTTGAGTATTTCAGAAACTGCTGATCTACAGGGAGTTACACGCACAACCATCTCTAGGGTTTACAGAGAATGGTCAGAAAAAGAGAAAATATCCAGTGAGAGGCAGTTATGTGGGCGCAAATACCTTGTTGATGCCAGAAGTCACAATGGAATGGCCAGCTGATAGAAGGGCAACAATTACTCAAATAAGCACTTGTTACAACCAAGGTATGCAGAAGAGCATTTCTGAACGCACAACACATCCAACCTTGAGGCTACAGCAGCAAAAGACCACACAGAGTGTTGCTCCTGTCAGCCAAGAACAGGAAACTGAAGCCACAATTCGCACAGACTCAACAATATAGGATACCAGAAGATTGGAAAAATGTTGCCTGGTCTGATGAGTCAATTTCTGCTGCAACATTCAGATGATAGGGTCAGAATATATTGTCAACAACATGAAAGCATGGATCCATCCTGCCTTGTATCAATGGTTCAAGCTGGTGATGTTGGTGTAATGGTGTGGGGGATGTTTTCTTGGCACACTTTGGGCCCATTAGTACTAATTGAGCATCATATTAACGCCACCAGAGTATTGTTGCTGACCATGTCCATCCCTTTATGACCACAGTGTACCCATCTTCTGATGGCTACTTCCAGCAGGATAACACGCTATGTCATAAAGCGCAAATCATCTCAGACTGGTTTCTTGAACATGACAATGAGTTCACTGTACTCAAATGGCCTCCACAGTCACCAGATCACAATCCAATAGAGCACATTTGGGATGTGGTGGAATGAAAGATTCGCATCATGGATGTACAGCCGACTGCAGCAACTGCGTGATGCTGTCATGTCAATACGGACCAAACTCTCTGAGGAAAATTTCCAGCACCTTGTTTAATCTATGTCTCGAAGGATTAAGACAGTTCTGAAGGCAAAAGTACTAGTAAGGTGTACCTAATAAAGTGTCCGGTAAGTGTATATCTATGTAGTATATAATAATCATACTAAATTATAATAAAACAGACTTATAAATGTTATTTCTGTGAATATATGACTAATATAATATTAATATATTATTTAAAAAAATAATCACATACTTATGTTCTGCTCTACTGAATATACGGGTTAAAGACAGAACATCTTTATTAAATGATATTAATGCATTGTTTATATGCTTCAGTTAATATATGGGTCAAAGCCAGAACATAAATGGCAAAAGCAAATTAAAGCAGTTCATCATTATTTACTGTAGCTAAACGTATATTTATGTAAGAATAAAAAAAACGCTTATTTTTGGCTTTACTTATTAGAATATCTAAAATAACTTAATTAATTTTACTTTATTGGTTTAAAAAAAACTTTTGATGGCAAAAGCTAAGACTGAAGCATAAAGTAGTAAAAATATCTAAAGTAACTATTATTTTGTGGTTCACTGTGATCAATGAAGAGAGCCAATTAATTTGTCATCAAATGGTTCTTGTTTCAAATATGCCTGAGAATATTCATTGACCCTTGAGTGAGTCGCCCCACGTGGCTTGAATTACAATAAAAAATTGTGCACGCTCAAATCAGACTTGCCTGGTACGTGACAGCCCCGGCATAGTGATATATTGTGAACACTGGCAGAGGAATTTTAGGCTTGGTGTAGTAGGGACAGTTGCCATGGTGATAGTGACATTTCTGCAAGAATGTGTGGTCTGTAGCCTGGGACAATAAAGAGAGAGAGAGAGAGAGAGAGAGAGAGAGAGAGAGAGACAAACAAAAGAGAGAACCACAGACAAAGACAACCCATGAATACATTGTTGTATAAATAATTAGCATTTGAATCAACACTAGGTCATTTTGGTGTATAGTTAAGGTTTTTAGAATATTTAAAATATAACATTAGGGACACACAACAATAACTAAACTGAGCTCAAGTACACGCTTATGATAAAGATATTGTTTGTTTCGATAAACTTTATCTAAAGTGATAAAGGTATAGTAATAGTTTTGTTTAACAAGCCTATTTGTGGCCTTAAAGGGGTATCCATCCAAGAATTAGGGGATTTTTTTATTCTTCAGCAGAACAGTTAAGAAGGTTTTTAGCTAAAACGGTGGTCTTGGTGATTGCAAATTAATGAGTACCAGCACTTTCAGAGTCGAAAAAAGACATGCAACATAAAATAAATGTACATGACTCCCAGCACTGGCGTGCATTAATGAAAGTGTGTGTTGTATCATTCTTCAAAATTGTATTTGTTTTAATCCTGGAAGTTGTAAAATAAAACCTTTGTTATTTGCATAATGTCATTATATGACAAATGTTGTGCTACACACTTTAATGATCATGTTTGAGGAGGCTGTGATTTGAATAATAATGTTGTAAATAATATTGTTTGTTGTTTTTTTTTTTTTGTGAGTACAACTATTCACTTTTTAAGGACTCAATAGCTACATTTCCATCCACCTATTGTATGCGCATTTTGAATATGCGCATAAAATTTGGGTTTATAAAAACCAAAAGATGTGCATAAATTGTAAAAATGCGCATAAAAAAATATGCGCATAACTGAGTAAACAAATTCCTGTATGCGCATTAAAAAAGGTCATGTGATTTTAATAAGAGTATATGATGTGATAAGAGATCATATGATGTGAATAAACAAACCAGTAGGCTGAGCACATTGTAAAACATCTGGAATATTGTTTTGGTCATTCTAAAACACCTTCACCATTTCAGTATTAGTGATATTATATTAATAACGACCTCCAGAATTGTCAAGAGCATCTGTGCTCTGCGTCTCATGGCTTCAAACGCCACCGCATGTTCACTGCGTGTCGGCATCGTCTTCTGAGGTGAAAGTCATTATTTAAATAAGAAAAGATTTAAGCAGCTTCTCCTACTGCAGCAAATTCCATTTTTACTGTTGATATTTGGCGCCAGATAATGAAGAAATTACAGTTTTATTCTCTTTGACTACTTGGATGGAAACGCTGCTTTATTCGCATGTCTTTATGTGATATTACAGTTTTCCACATAAATTTAATTTACATTTTTGGATGGAAACATAGCTAATGCATCCTATGGAGCTGCAGGTATTAATTTTGTGTTCCCTGTATGTTTTTGTTTACTCTTAAATTGATGATAGCTGACTTTTTTGAACAACCATGGACCAAATATTAAAAATATATACTTGGCAGTTGTCTCACTCTATTCCTGGAGAGCCATAGCCCTGCACAGTTTAGCTTCAACCACTTCCAGCTCACACCTGCTTAATAGTCTCTAGTAGTCTTGAACAACTTGATTAGTTGGATCAGCTGTGTTTGATTAGGATGTGCAGAGCTGCGGCCCTCCAGGAATTGAGTTTGAGACCTATGACTTAATAGCCATCTGCTTTTCTGTATCAAGTTTTTCTTACTTAAGAGTTTTTTTTTGTCTGGTTTTTAGTCCAATTATCCAAAAATGTTTAAATCAAGAAGCTTTTTCTAGGTGAGCAAAAATATTGTCTTGTATTCAGAAATAATATGTTAAAATTAAGTGAGATTTTCCTTAAAACTGAGCTGAATAATCTGCTAATTGGTAAGTAATATAAACTTCCAAGTGAAAAACAGATTATTTTGCTTGTTTTAATGAACAATTTAATTCATTTTCATATTTCATTCTTGAAAACAAGACAATATATTATATTTATTAAGAAAATACTTATTGATATAGAATTTTTAGACATGTGGACTACAAACAAGACAAAAACTATTTTTGCAGTGTAGTAGTTCAAACAAGAATGATAATTCTATCTGTTATCATTTACTCACCCTCCACTTCTGTTTGAGTTTCTTTCTAGTGTTAAACATAAAAGACATTATACTGGAAGGATGCTGAACAAGAGCTGCTATTGACTTCAATAGTGTTTTGTTCCTACTACTATAGATCAATGGCTGCTTTTTTAACATACTTCAGAATTTTTACATTTGTGTTTAATAGAAAGAAAATTATATCCACTTGAGTCAATTGTGAGGAAATTTGCATTCTTTAAGACCGTACACAAGTATATTGACAGATTAACACTTGACTGAAATATCTCTAGCACAAAGCTGTGAAGTGCAATTACTTGAGGAAGGGAAGTCTGGTCATCCAGGATGCGCAGGATGCCGTACGGTCGTGCTGAGATGAGATCCAGACAGCCATTAGAGTCTTCCAGAACTATAGGGTACCACTGGATGTGCTCTGCACTGTATTCCTCCTAACATAAACACACACACAGCCAACCATTTCAATCCCCTATAGTACTCATTATTTCCAGTCTTACCTGCAAAGCCCTATTTTGGGCTGTAATAACTTAAAAGAACAGTCCACCTAAAAACAAAATTTACACACCATTTACTCTCACTCGTGTGATTTTAACCTTTTTATTTACACCACCTGAAAAAAGTCTTGTCGTCAATCCCAGTTTTAGGAGCAGCAAATCATAACTTGACTTCAAGTTGATTGGAAAAGTGGCAGAAGGTAGGTAATTCTGATGAATCATCTGTTGAACTGCATCCTAATCATCACAAAAACTGCAGAAGACATATTAGAACCCGCATGGAGTTCAGGATTATCACAGAAATCAGTCAAGTTTGGACAAATCATGGTTTGGGGTTACGTCGACTATGGGGGTGTGCGAGAGATCTGCAGAGTGAATGGCAACATCAACAGCCTGAGGTATCAAGACATTTGTGCTGCCTGTTACATTACAAACCACAGGAGAGGGCAAATTCTTCAGCAGGATAGCGCTCC